GGACTTGAGGGACCCGTACTTATGGGGTCCGCACTTGAGGGGTTCCGGACATGAGGGGTTCGGACTTGAGGGGGTCCAGACCAAAGGGGGTCCGGAGTTGAGGAGGTCCAGACTTAAGGGGGTTCGGACATGAGAGATCTGGACTTAAGAAGGTCAGGTCTCAAGGGAGTAAAGGCTTAAGAGTGTCCGGATTAACGAAGGTTCACTGTGTACAAACTCATTACATCATTATATTTATAAGAGAAGTTAATACTACAAACAGAGACTAGACTGTTGAACCAAGCTCATGAGAAACAAGTAACCTATATCAATGAAAGAGTGCATATTGGTATTTCAGTATTGAATATCCTGGACAATTTTTATACTTTGTGAGTGGCCTGTTATTTTATATGATTAATTCAAGGAACCATTGCGTGGACTGATTATTCTCTGGCGTTGACATTTGCAATGGAGAAATACACTTTTACTCATTTTTAACGTCCCCACCATTACTCGTCAGAGCCTCCAGTTTCCGGATTACAAAGGGTGGAGACTCATAGGATATCATAGTAAACTAGTATTGAAAACTTAATGACAAAGTTTGGTTATAAAATATGTTGTGACACTCACCAGAAACATAAGACGGATTGGCGGATGACAATATGGACAAAAGTATCTGCCACAAGTAATCTTTTACATATTTGGTAAACCTATAGTGTCGTATAACAAATTGTTAGGGAGATATCCGAGATAAAATCAGCAAGTCACAAACTGATTTGTTAGACTCACTACCTCATGGCATTGTACATCAAGCCGACAGACATAGGGATCGGGTAGTCTGGCCTGAATGTGTTATCGTACACTGATGGCGTGGATCGGTGCTCATGAAGTCAACCACTGTTTTTTTATCACCATACTTGATTATGTACAAACAAACAAAGCAAAGACTGTATGTGCAGACAGCGTCTTCTGACTGGAAAGGAGGCTGATGATTCTCTCTGCATCTTTGTCCATCCTTCATATAAGTCCATCTAGCGTTACATGTATATGATACAGTTGTCAGTGCTAACTCTAGATGGGGATCGTCATTTTTTTAGGATGGCATCCATTTGGTTGCTGAAAAAGAGAAGTAAGTGAGTGAGTGAGTGAGTGAGTGAGTGAGTGAGTGAGTGAGTGAGTTGGGTTTAACACCGCATTTAACAGTGTTGCAGTTATATCAGTGAGCGTCAGGTTAATGTTGGAGGAAAGCCCGAAGTGATGCAGTTCTCAGACGTTTACTCCTTCGGTGAAACCAACAAGCACAGTTTTGGTGCTGAAAAACCCAGAAACATAATCAAGGAGGATTCGAACCAAGCATACGTTTCTGGAGTGCCCAAGGGAGGCAACTCTGAACAGCGAATTGCGGCGTCTGAGACGACTGGACCACCCGTGCCTCCTTTTCTTAAGGACGTCCATTATATCTCCAGCCAACACTTCATTTTTCTGGTATAATCTGAGTCGAGGCTATTTTTATCTTGTGTCATTTCTTACCAATTTGTGCTCCCAACAATAGTACACTGTCGGTCACTGAAGTTACTTTAGAGTACGATAAACAGATCGTCGGAGAAGTTAATCTTGAATACGTCCCATGGAATTAGCATAATAGGAATGTTGTAGGCACTACTGTACGGTGGCCAATAAGGGACGTGGAGTCTGTTTTTCAATATTTTGATATTTCACATATTGTTATCGTAACCTTTTGCAAATTATATAAAATATTGAAAAACATGTCCCTTATGGGCCACCGTACTTCTGGTTTGGTGATGTCGCGTCAGGTTTTGTAGTACATCAACAAGTTTAGAATATGTGCAACTATTGATCATTGGCCAAATGCTTTGATGACATGCTGTCATCGGGTTGCCATCAATACAATGTACCAGGTAACGAAATCACTGCATGCACACATAAATGCTTAAATGATTTCAACATTTACAGGGCGGGCGGGAAGCCTAGCAGTTAAAGCGTTCGCTCGTCACGCCGAAGACCCGGGTTCGATTCCCGATATGGGTACAATGTGTGAAGCCCATTTCTCCTGTCCCCTGCCCTGATATTGCGGGAATATTGCTAAATGCGGCGTAAAGCAATACTCACTCCACATTTACGGTCATCTTAACCTTATCCCGTATAACGTTTATAGATGCAGTAACTACCAAGTCTCAAGCCTGTACCCGTGAAAATGCAAAAGTAAAAAGCAGCTGTACTTTACACACTAGGTCTTGACTTTGGACAGACATTACACTGACATCTGATGTGGAGAGACTTGTTTTACCCGTGTCGGGAATCGAACCCGGGTCTGCAGGGTAAGAGACCGAAGATGTTACCACTGGTAACATGCACCCAAACGGTGCCCTTGACCTTTGGCTAATCTTAATCATGATGTTAATCATAATCATTTCAATCGGTACCCTTTAACAGATGGGTATATGCACAGTTTGTTTGTACGGATGGGTATATGCACAGTTTCTTTAGCATAAGTTGTTTTATATGACCTTGACCTTTGACCTCCTTTTATGTGCCGAAAATTAACCGGATTTATTATGGCGATGTCCATAGCCTTTAATATCAAAAACAACATTTCGTAGGATCCAAAAGAATAATGTCATAAAAAGTCGGCACACTGCTGCTCTGTTCTAAGCAAAACATTCTTGTACTTACACGTAATAACTGGCGTTAAATGTTATTCGTTTCCACGTACACACAGGCATGGTTGTCGTTTCGACAACAGTGTATTTCACACTATTCAGGCCTTCGTATCCAGCTCGATCTACGCCTCTTTTAAACAGAGGGTTCCTGAAATACATGTTAATCGTGTTAATTGAATGATGCATCTGTTGTCTGTCGAGTGAGTGAGTGAGTGAGTGAGTGAGTGAGTGAGCTAGTGAGTGAGTGAGTGACTTGATTTTTCACCAAATTTGTTATAAATTGACTCTAATTAATCACAAATAGATTGGGAAACAAGTCATTTAAAATTGCGTTTTAACGTTATATAAAACAATATTATTAATAAAATCAGTTTGTGCTCGAGCAAGCAAAAATTAATCAATAAAAAATCAAAAATAAATAGAGGATATTTCATGTGTCGAGTGAAATATCTCCTTTCTCCCGTCACGAGTTGAGAGAAACATGATATTTCTCTCGACACATGGCATATCCTATTTATTATATACTTATTGTGTAGCTGTCTTCAGGAAGTAATCTTTGTCATTACAAATGTAAAACCTTGAACATGTTGAAACGTAAATTCTCCCTACCTAACAAGCAGGGGCATTTCACCACCCCTTGTAATTGCGCATTATAAAGTTTTCCGAGTTTGCAAAATCTTAAAATATATAAACAAAAGTAATAAAAAATCTACTTTCCGATATGATTATATACAAAATCAACTTTAACATTTTTTCTTGAAAACTACGAGACCGCTGTTGGGAGCGAAGGAATACACGCAGGTGAGGTGACAAAAATGGTGCTTTGCGAAATGAACAGTCTGAATAAACGAGTAAAATGAGCAATCTACAGTTTATAACGAAACATTTTCAAGAGAATAACTAACGGCAAGAAGCAAAATTAACTCCATAAATGACTACTTGTTATTTTGCCTTGTCATTGTGGAACTAACGTAAAAAGGAAGTTAACAGTTCGTGTACGGGCCTGACACTTACGATAAAGGGAGACAATGTGCAGGGAGGTAACTCTTGTATGAAATTTGTTCAGTCAAAGTGGTATGTTCACTGCAGTGAAATATCAAGTGTTATGTTCACTGCAATGCAAATATCACTTTTCTCAACTTCAGAAATCTCAATCTTTCTTTGAAGTATATAATAGGTAATAAACAACAAATAATACGTCTTTGAAAAATTGTACAAATCAATTATAATGAACTCAACTTAATGTCGCAATGTAATGTTATCCAAAACATAATTTATTGGAAATGAAACTCTTTTTTTGGCAAACATATTTTACAAAGAGTAATCTGTTTCGATAATCGGTATGCTGGCAATTAATATTTACCCATCTGCATTCCTTGGATTCCCCCGATCTCTGCCGTGTGCTAAGGAAAAGAACCTCCCGTCAATTTGTCGAGCCTCAATTGGTATATTATTTAAAAACTGTAACCTGTAGGCGGAAGTAGACGATCAGTGAAATAACATCATACTGGGTGTTCCGCTCCATTCCTTGATCACGTGACAAAGGACATGCTAAAGGACAAAATGGCTACTGTCAAAACTCGAGTGTAGCAAGGTACCATCTCGATACATATACACAGTCTACATCCCAAATAACCAGCTGGAGATTGGGAGTTCAGTGTTGTGCAGGCGATGTCGCCAGCCGTTCTTCTCGTGTCTGCTTCAGAATGGTTGGTTGGTTGGTTTGTTGTTAAACGCCGCACTCAGCAATATTCCAGCTATATGATGGCGGTCTGTAAATAATCGAGTCTGGACCAGACAATCCAGTGATTAATATCCTGAGCATCGACCATCGCAATTGGGATCGATGACATGCATCAACCAAGTCAGCGAGCCTGACCACCCGATCCCGTTAGTCGCCTTTTACGACAAGCATAGTCACCTTTTCCCGCAAGCATGGGTTGCTGAAGACCTATTCTAACCCGGAATCTTCACGGGTCTACTTCAGAATGAAGGCCCTTTTGTTAGGATAGCGTGTCAGATCACGCGGAACTGAATATGGACTATTTACAAAATGTGAAAACCCTTAAATGTCTACACAATACATAAAGGTGTAATACATATTCAATATAATGATTGTTTGTATGTTGATTTACAACGTTCCAAGCAATATTCCAGCTCTATAGCGTAGGCAAGGAAATAATCGAATCTGGACCAGACAAACCAGCGGTTGATATCATGAGCACATCACACGCTGCCTGGTTCCAATAACACACAATAATCAGGTCCACGAACCTGCGCATGGCCACCAGATACAGTAAGTTGCATCTTACGACATGCATAGGATGCTGGGGATCAACTCTAAACAGATATGCCCAGGGTTGTGTTCATCAGACCAAGTACCAAGAAATACCTTCTATACATATCATTATCTTCAAATCCCCATCCAAAATATAAGTTGGAAAAGCCGTTGATTGCTTGGAAAAGATGCGGTGGCATGGTGAGTACTCCTCCTGCAAATTTGTAGCGGACGCTGTCAAAATAATCATTGAAAATATGCATAGCTGGCAAGATATATCAGAATTGTAATATTGACCAACATGTACTGCTGAATGTGAAAGTCATAATATCATTATCTATGCCTTGCAGACATTTATAGATATGTTTCGTTTGTTTGCGCACCCAGCAATGGTCCAGCTATATAACGGCGGTCTGAAAATAATCTGGACCAGACAATCCAGTGATTAACATCATGAGCAATCAACGCAATTGGGATCGATGACATGCATCAACCAAGTCAGGGAGGATGACCACCAAACCCGTTCGTCGCCTCTTACGACAAGCATGGGATGCTGAAGACCAATTCTAACCCGAATCTTAACTGAATTTTGTATTGACATGCACTGACGGGTAAACATGGAACACTTTAGTTATATCTTAATACGAACAGTTTGGTGGAACACAGTCCATTTTAATTCTGGAAACCCACCTGTCTAGAAACATTCCGCGCTGTAACAAGTCTCGGTCAAGGGTATTTACAAAATTTAACATGGAGTTCTTAAAGCTACATACTAAGAAAAGAAAATTGTATTAAATATTCGAAAATTCTTTTCATGGTGTTGTCGAAACACAAAGTGTAAGTGGAAGTATTGCCACGTGTAATTCAACTTTTCATCTGATAATGTATAATTACGTCATTATTTATTGTCACGTCTGAGAACACATATTATAATTGTCTTATCTATGCCTATGCTTAGCTGGGCAGACAAGACACAATATTATTATTGTTTACCAGTGTGTTCAACTTGATAAACACGTCCTTGTAGTATCACTTGATATGCACATCAAATGCGTATGATTGGTGTAGAAGGAAAGCCCCAAGCGATGAAGGTTGTTTGGCAATCCAGTGATATCCACGAGCACGTGTGTGGCGCGGACAAACCAAGAAAAGTAATCAGGGTGCAAGTGGGAATCGAACCTGTGATGCCATAAGCGATGCAGAGCGCCAAAGAGCACTCAGTCTAGTATGGTGCAGACAAACCAAGGTTGATAATTAGGGTACATCTTGGATTCGAAAATACGATAAGCAGATCCCGACACGATCAAGGGACATAACTCTACACAACAAATTACATAGAAAGTTGATGTATAGGGGGAGGGGTGGCCCAGTCGTCTAATGCGCCGCAATTCAATTCGCTATGCAGTCTTCCGTCTCTGGGACAGAAACAGACCGTCGGTTCGAATCCCTGTTCGCCCCGATTACGTTTCTAGGATTGTCAGCACCGTACCCGTGCTCGTGGGTTTCACGAAAGCTGTAAACGTCTAAGACCGTAATCACTTGTGGATTTCCTCCAACATGAAGCTTCCACGCCGTGATATAACTGGAATGCTGTTAAAAGCGGCGTTAAACCCAACTCACTCACTCACTCACTCTTACGTATAGTTGAAGACAGATACGGCGGATGGGAGGTGGTAGGAGCGGTTGAGGAGGCATTCGTACGGGACGTTGCTGGTTTCAGGAATATAGTCAACATCATGAAAGATGAAACACGTGAAGTAGTCTTGTTTCAGTGCTTCCTTAAAACCAGCGTTCATCAGAAGTGCTTTGTTAAATGTTGTATCAAGATCCTGTTGGCGAAACCGAAATAAAAAGAATGTTTTAGTGCAATTCAATACATAAATGTTATTACTTAGGCACCGAACATTCTATGTACGACTGTGTGTAGGGGTGGGGTTGGGGTTGGGGTTGGGGGTGGGTGGAGGGATGATGGTGGGAGATGCCTGGGATTCTGAACGAAGACAAAGGTTACAGCTGCAAATCCAGGTATTTTATTTAATTAAAACTATGAGCCTAAGTATGTTTTTTTTCCTAAAGAAACACATTAAAACGATGCAATATTTGTTGCAGACACTTTCTGGGGGTTTTTCAACAGTCTGAAGCATACTTTGTTTTGTCAATTTTCTGTGACACCACCATTCCCATTCAGAAGAATTATTTAAAATTAATTATTACATGGGTGTGAAAATGCCTACTAGACTGGACCCACGTGAGTAATACGTAAGTCCTTACACAAGGAATATCCGAGCATAGGCGACTTAAACCACTGTGCCACCAATGCCCCTGTTTATCCATCTTCCCGAGGCAAGAGAGTTAACTGACTTTAAAAATCCAGTTTCCTACACTTGCCGAACTAGGCTGGAATTACTGGGCTCGATCGTAGCGCCACCAGTGGCTATTTCCAGTTATTCCCCTTCTAAGCCTCTCCTATGGACCAATCAGATTCCACCTCTCGTATGACTTGCATTTGCTTCACACAAAATGGTTGCGCACGGTCAGGACAATCTGATCGATAATCAAGATCTATATTGTGATAAAACGGGTCTTACATCGCGAAATGCATCAAATCACGGGAGCACCTTGATTAAAAACATGAAATGATTTGGAAAATATCTGCTGACAACGAGTTGGCGGTGCACATACTTTGCAAATCCTGCAATCGACCGAAATCTGCACGACAGTTTACGAACTGGATTTCGATTTCGGTGCGCGATTTTGATTGGACTATTGAAACTGGACTTTTATAGTCGGTTAACTCCTTGCCTCGGGAAGATGCTGTTTATCTAACACACATGCATTTACAAATATAAAGTGTAACCACAACTGGCCATAAGTCCTACTTGTTCAATAACAAATATGGTGAAATCCTTGTTTCGGTTTCTGAGGACCGGAATGAGGTTGTTGAGGAGGATGGTGAGGTTGCGATGTCGTTCCCGGAACGGAATGATAATGGCTGTCTTGTCTCTTCCCGCACATGTGGGGGGTGTAAAGTGCCCATCGACGCCATCTCCGTATTTTTTATTCAACTGTTCGAAGGTAATATTTTCAAATAAGACTCCTGGCTGATCTGTAATGAATACGTACAAATTATACTTTATTGACTTTACTGAACATGAAGTCCCACATCTCGAAACATCGGATTTGTAATGAGTTGAAAGTGTTACACATGCAGCTTCACTATAGAAAATATGCTATGTTCCCTTCCTTTCAACAGTTCCAGAGAACATTACATCATAAGTAAACTGACCTTCATACGAGGGTTGATATTCCGTGCCTCGAATTGAAGGAACTGAGAAGCGTGATGGTGAATATGTATATTTATAAAAACGTTAGGTAGCTGAGCAAATTGTTTCACTGTGGCAAGTCAGTAAAATCGGCAGGGTCATGTAACCTTTGGAAAATGTACAAACTGGAGAAACGTACAGTGATCAGGTACTTGCAAAGAAAAAGGCCCAACACCAACAGTCATCCACGAAGAGACGAGTACAACACTGGGGAAGGATTTCACACCCTATGCTACTGTAAACAGGTGGCGGTAGAGGTTAAAAGCGACAGGGAGAGCCTTGAGGGCGACCCACGTCCTGGAAAACCTGTGACATCAGCAACACTAAAAATGACCCAGAGTATCAACGATACGGTGAAGACCGACTGGCGAATGACTGAGCTTCATGCCGCTAGTTCAGTAGTCATTTACCAGGAAAGAGTATAGAAACATTGGCAATGAAGAAAGTATCAGTTCGTCGGATTCCAAAGCTTCTGACTTCTGATCAACAACGCAACAGGCACAACATGTCTCGTGATAATCTAGCTCTGTTTAAAGCTGATCCAGTAGGATTCTTGCAAGGGTTTCTAACTATGGATGAAACCTGGAAAAACAGTACAGGCAATTAACATCGCCATGGAAGGCAAAGACTGTCCCATCATCTAGAAGGTTGTGGCCTCCGTGTTCTGGGATGACGTGGATGTCATCATGGTCGACTCTCTTCCAAAAGCCCACACCTTTGAGACAATTGCGAGATGAAAAAGACTAAGAGGCAGAGAAGCTTAAAAAAGGTGAGGTTTTTTTCCATCCGGACAATGCACCAGTGCTCAAATCAGTCATTCACAAACATGAACTTGCTCAATGACGTCATAGCAACTGAGGTGAACTTTTGGACAGACAAGAGAAGAACTTCTACGAAAGATAAGATCTCCCCTACATCCTTGACAAACGTGTATCAATGTCGAAGGGGAATATATTTGAAAGTCATTTTAATGTCTTTGTCGTTCTATGTCCGACTCAGAACATACCCCTCGTATGTCCTCGAAATGTTGTCAGTGATGCCTAACTTGCAATGTTCATATATGAGAACCTTCACAAAGAAATGATGAGAACTGACACTCTGAATAGTTACAAAAGGAATAATGAGTATTTACCTAAGGAATAAAGATGACTCGCACAAGGAATAAAGAGTACACACACAATGAATTAATCACTAAATGGTATTTACCCAAGATACTTACACAAGGAATAATGGGTACGTACACAAGGAATAAAGAGTACGTACACAAGGAATAAAGAGTACGTACACAAGGAATAAAGAGCACGTACACAAGGAATAAAGAGTACAGACACAAGGAATAAAGAGTACGGACACAAGGAATTAATCAGAACTTACACAAGGAATGAAGAGTACTCGCACAAGGAATAAAGAGTACGTACACAAGGAATAAAGAGTACGGACACAAGGAATAAAAGTGCGTACACATAGAGTAATGGGTACTTACACAAGGAATTAATCAGAACTTACACAAGGAATAAAGAGTATGTACACAAGGAATAAAGAGTACTACACAAGGAATAAAGAGTACTACACAAGGAATAAAGAGTACAGACACAAGGAATAAAAGTACGTACACAAGGAATAAAGAGTACGTACACAAGGAATAAAGAGTACGTACACAAGGAATAAAGAGTACTACACAAGGAATAAAGAGTACGGACACAAGGAATAAAAGTACGTACACAAGGAATAAAGAGTACGTACACAAGGAATAAAAGTGCGTACACAAGGAATAAAGAGTACTACACAAGGAATAAAGAGTACGGACACAGGGAACAAAAGTACGTACACAAGGAATAAAGAGTACGTACACAAGGAATAAAGAGTACGTACACAAGGAATAAAGAGTACTACACAAGGAATTAATCAGAACTTACACAAGGAATGAAGAGTACGTACACAAGGAATAAAGAGTACGTACACAAGGAATAAAGAGTACGGACACAAGGAATAAAAGTGCGTACACATGGAATAATGGGTACTTACACACGGAATTAATCAGAACTTACACAAGGAATAAAGAGTACGGACACAAGAAATAAAGAGTACGTACACAAGGAATAAAGAGTACTACACAAGGAATAAAGAGTACGGACACAAGGAATAAAAGTACGTACACAAGGAATAAAGAGTACGTACAAAAGGAATAAAGAGTACGTACACAAGGAATAAAGAGTACGTACACAAGGAATAAAGAGTACTTACACAAGGAATAAAAGTGCGTACACATGGAATAATGGGTACTTACGCACGGAATTAATCAGAACTTACACAAGGAATGAAAGGACGGACACAAGGAATAAAGAGTACGTACACAAGGAATAAAGAGTACGTACACAAGGAATAAAGAGTACGTACACAAGGAATAAAGAGTACGTACACAAGGAATAAAAGTGCGTACACGTGGAATAATGGGTACTTACACAAGGAATTAATCAGAACTTACACAAGGAATAAAGAGTACGTACACAAGGAATAAAGAGTACGTACACAAGGAATAAAGAGCACGTACACAAGGAATAAAAGTACGTACACAAGGAATAAAGAGTTTTTACACAACGAATTAATCAGAACTTACACAAGGAATGAAGAGTACTCGCACAAGGAATAAAGAGTACGTACACAAGGAATAAAGAGTACGTACACAAGGAATAAAGAGCACGTACACTAGGAATAAAAGTGCGTACACACGGAATAATGGGTACTTACACAAGGAAGTAATCAGAACTTACACAGGGAATGAAGAGTACTCGCACAAGGAATAAAGAGTACGTACACAAGGAATAAAGAGTACGTACACATGGAATAAAGAGTACTCATATGAGTTACCTGCACCAGGAATAATAGGAACTTAGAGAAGGACTTATGTATACTTGATTAAGGAATTAAGAGTACTCATATAAGGTACATGCACCAGGAATAATAGGAACTTAGAGAAGGACTTATGTATACTTGATTAAGGAATAAAGAGTACTCATATAAGGTACCTGCACAAGGAATAATGGGAACTTAGAGAAGGACGTATGCGTACTTGCATAAGAAGAAAGGAGTTCTCATATAAGGTTCCTACACAAGGAATAAGGAGAGCTTCCACAAAGAATAACGAGTACTTTAACGAGGAATACTGAGTACTTACCAAAAAAGCGAGTAGGATGGGGACATAGTGGCAGGTTACGATGTTGCAGTATCGAGTTGTCTCTTGTGTGTCTATGTAAGAAATCACTCCACGAAGTGTCTTTATTTCTACAATCCGTTTTCTGATCACCGGATCCGACCAAGGTATATTTCATTATAAAAATCAAATTAAGTACACCTGGAATGGATAAGAGAATAAGTTTCTGGTTCGAACGCATGATCTGGCAAATATACCCTAGTATGGGTATACTTGTATACTCGGCGGGTATGTCTTGGCGTGCATGGGGAGTTGTATATATACCATACGGGAGTTATATGTCACGTGGAAGATAACATCTCCATATGGCCCTCAATTACACACGTCCAAGCATATTACAGAATGAAGCTTCGTCACCTTCAAAGTGATGCTCATCGCATGGTTCACTCACAACAGCTGGGAGTGCGACTCCATACCGATCTCATGTAGGTGTCTTCTAAGCCTGTGTACTCCGTTCGCATAGAAATTGTTCGCCTACAATTCACTTCACCTACAGTATAAAATGCTGATAGACTTGCTTTCTTATGAGGCAGTCTGGTGATTTAATAGAAATTCCTGATGATGATATACAATTCGTTAAAAATTTACCCATTCCTTCACTCGCATATGAACCAGTTCAGCAACACATTTGGTTATAATATTATAAAATTTACTTGACATATTATGAATACATGTATGTGTCGTTAGTTTTAGAGTATATCAAATTCTACGTCACTCTACTTTGACCCTTACATCCGTAGATGTGTGTCAAACGTGCAATTATTAAACTGCATTCGGAAAATAAGTATATGTCACTAAGACTGTTGAGGAGATACCTTGAAACTGAACATGATTTATTTTTTACAAACTGCAAACTATGGCAACTTTTGCATACATTTGGATACAGAAACAAAGATAACTGTGAAAAAAGGGCTATGTTATGTGAATGATAAATAATTTAATTATATTTAAACCATTAAGCAGAAAAGTGAAGAAGGATATGAACCTGTTTTCCTAGATGAGACACGGGTAAATGCCTCTCACACAGCCAGCAGTCCTCATACCGTTGTATTTTGTTTTTGCTCTTAATTGTAATAAAGAAGTTGTTCATCCATAAATTCTTGTCCTTACTTAGTACTCCAACTTCTAAATGCCTATCAAAGAAGTTATTTGATGGACTGTTCCCGATTTTGAGTTATTTTGCAATTCAGCATCACATTTTGAGCCAAACGGATTGCTTTTGTACTTGTGCGGAGACCTGTGCTGTATTTGAAATACCTGTATGAATTCCATATATGAAATTAACATCAATTATATTATATTAACATTATAAAATTTATTTATTTTTAATTTAGGGGCGCAGGTTACCCCATCCCACACCACACCCACACCTACAGCCGTGGAGTTATAAAGAATAACATTGATTGATCTTTGAAGTCAATTGGTGCTAATTGTCTCATAACAGTAATTGTCTCACAACAATTGCATGCACCTGCATGCAGTAGATTATTGAATAATGTACGCCAGTAGTCCGCCCAGGTGTCTCATGTATAAATCAGCCAGCCATGTGTATAGTGTAATGTAACACGTCAGCCGATTCATCTTTTTACTTCTATTTGAAGACTGCAACAGGGTATTGGGATTTGGATAAAAATAAACTACAAAAATAGCCAGAGTGTGTTTTGCAATCACTTGTAATTCATGCGTCCAAGTTCGGGATCCTCCTGATTACTTTCGTTACTGTTGTCGGTCCCAGGGTTCAAACATGTTAGGGTTGTACTTATTCTTCAGAAATTACCAATTTACCTTCCGAGAAACATCCATATTCCATGATAACTCGAACACAATTGTCACTGTCAATGTCATGATCAGGATACCTAAAGAAGGAACGAAGTAAGTACGATCGATGTTTCATCATAGTATACAGAGATCAGGGAATCCCCCCCCCCCCCCCCCCCCCCCCAACAAAAAACAAAACAAACAAAAAACAAATTAAATGGAAGTACCGAAACGCGAACAATGAACGCAATCGAAGAGATAGCACGTTTCGCACATAGTTTTCACATTGAAAAGTCCTTTGTCACATTACCGTAGTGGAAGAACAGAGGAATATATTTTAACCTTCTAATCCACTCATACAAAGGAGAGTAAAGTATACAAACGATCATTTTTTACTTGTGGAGGCGCGAACGGAGGGGTGGTGGGTGTGTGTGTGTGTGTGTGTGTGTGGGGGGGGGGGGGGGGGGGGGGGGGGGCGTGTAATTTTGGCGGAAATCACCCTCAACATAACCCCCAAATATGTGGCGCCTCCTTGTCCAGCCTTTGAAATTGATAGACAGGAACTGAAGGGCAAATGAACCTTATTTACCCTACGCTTTCGATGCTTTGATTACGACTGCATCAAGGATGTTACGATTTATCCAATTCTGCAAAGTTGTATATACCCAGAACACATAAGGTAAAATGATGATATAAAGGTTTTAATTTCAAACAGACATTTATTTCATGACATGATATATATAATTGTCAGGAATCTAAGGCCGTTCAAACGATACATGTATAATAAGATCAAAGGCCCATTTTCACATCTGATTACATGAATATACACACGAACTAGTTATTAAATGTAGTTGAACAATTGACTTGCCTTTGCATGTGTTTGTGACGGATGACACCGGTGGGGCAGGATACGCTCACCTTTTCGCGAACACCTGGTATCATTACTATTTGATAGTGATTCATAAACACATGCTGATGATACAGTCAGAATTGTACAATCGACTCTGCTTTATGCAGAGATTTCTTTTGGATATGGAAAGGATTTTGTTGTTTTATTAAGATATATGATTTATGACCATACACCCTTGGAATTGTTTGAAGTTGGTACATTATAAAGGTAAACTCTCTTCTTCTTTTTTATGAAGGCTATACATCTCTTGTGTATGTGTTGTACGTAACTGTTTATGTGCAGACCAAACTAGCAGCAAGTAAGATTCACCATCAGTATAACCACAAGTACATAATAGATCACTCTGTGATATATTAAAGTATCTTCCAGTTTCAATACGCAATAAATGTAAAAGAATAACGAGATTTTGCAAGGGTCACTTTACATTTCAAGACACATGTACAATTAAATAAGAATGCATTGGTCTCTATGTGTCTAAATTACAAATAATCATTTACATGACTCAGATTACTGATGTTGAGTTAAGGTCATTGGGAATTTAATGATGACCTTCTCTTATTTCACGTTTTGCATGCCTTTAAAAATCATTTGAAGCGTCAGCATGTATCTCAGTGTTTATCAGCGACCTATACAGTGACTCGGGTTAAGGAAGTGAAGTAGTATGCTATACAGGTCCCAAACGTTTCACAGATCTCAAGCATGACCTGCTAAAACGTGTTCACATCGAAGTGATATGATCACTCTTGCTGTAAAAAACCTCCAATATTCGTCCGAACTGATGTTAATTAAGAGGAAAGGACTTCTTCTTTAAGATTGCGTCTATCTGTTTTCTGTAAAGAGAAGTATTTGAAAAATTTAGTCCACCATCATACTGAATACGAGAATGGAGTGGTGAGATCGCTTTGTGAAACCGAGCTCTGGTAGAGACTGAACGGTAACACGGGATGTTTGCTTGTCAACTTATTGCACCGCCAGCTGTCACACACCACCTCAACCAATAGGGAACATGCATGTATAAACTTGTAGCACCAGTAGCAACTGCAGCAGCAGTAGCAGTTCTAGTAGCAGTAGCAGCAGCAATAGGAGGATAAGCACTACTGCCACAGTACCACTACTGTGTTTTTATGCTCCCGATCCATCAATATTTTAAAGCGCTGACTTAAAAATATATATTCTGTGTCAAACAAAAAGCAGCTCTCGACACCTCGACACACACACATACTCTCTCACACACACACGCACGCACGCACGCACGCACGCATAGATACAAACATAGTGAAAGAATAGTGACTTGAAATACTGTTACTTACAGGTAATAGTCGGCATCAAATGATATCTGTTTGCGTGTTAACACATTCGCCACATTCATTCTGCCTGGAAGACCAACGGAGACTTTCAGTGTGTTTAGACCTTCGTGTTGAGGTCGTCTCGAGACAGCATCCAGTAGTTTTAGTCTGCAATAGAGGAAGACACTTTGAGCACGACCATGAACTAGTGGTCAATAGCATGAGTAACAACCAAAGTCATCTATGTACAAAATTACCTGCGCTACTTGGGGCCAAGTTTACTCCCTAATCCCCACGAGCCGAGTATGAAGAAGTTTAAAAAACTAAATTGTGACACTTGTTCCAAAATAAAAAGAATTCCACGTTTGGGGTTTATAACAATCATACACTAGCAGAACTTCGTTTAAGCCTTTTTATAACATTTTGTAAAATAACACGTAACACATAACAGTGATCGATGCTGCCTGGTGTGACAATAAGTACTCGCACTGTCAACCTCTGGTTGGCCTTGACCGGAAAAGGCCATTTAAAGGCCACAGAGATACAGCTTGAATATTGTTAATCGCAACGTAACGCAACAATAATAAACAACATTATTACATTCGACTCAATAATAAACGCAAAGGTCATTTCTGATTCAAGATTCTCCGCGCTTCATACTCATATCCTTAATCTGTCAACACTATGCTGTTGCTCTTCATATTCACTGTTTTATTAAAATTATAGAGCTACGATTTTACCTCTCTTGGGTTTCACCGAAGTGGTAAAATTCCAAGAATTTCATCACTTCGGGCTTTCCTCCCGAATCAAAGCGGCGTCAGACCCAACATGACCACTCACTCACTCACTCACTCACTCTTGCGGCAAACCTCTTCAGACTGAGCCTAGTTTGGTCTTCCAGTGAGTGAGTGAGTGAGTATGGTTTTACGCCGCTATTAGCAATATTCCAGCAATATCACGGCGGGGGACACCAGAAATGGGCTTCACACATTGTACCCATGTTGGGAATCGAACCCGGGTCTTCGGCGTGACGAGCGAACGCTTTAACCACTAGGCTACCCGACCGCCCCTTGGCCTTCCATCCACATTAAGGTGACACAATATGATTGGGATGAAATACAGTTCAAAGCTGTTTCAAACCTCATTTTCTGGCTCACTCAAAGTATTCAGCAGTTATTTACAAAATACGAACTATTTACCCATCTTCATTTCTGATATTCGCTCTGTTTCCTGTGTCTCCTATTCGGACAAATATTCCATCTCTCTTCCGTGCGTCTACCGTCGAAATATTGAGAGCCTTCAACCTTTAAAATAAATGTTTAAATGAAAGTTGACGTCTTCGAAGGGGTGTAAGGACTGGTGTAACCTACGCACCACGAGAAGCCGTAACAGTTAGAGACATGCAACGCGTATTTTCCTTTTATCAAATATACATGAAAACAAACTGAAACATTTACTGGCATTTTTGTGTGATTTAATGACATAAAGCTTCTAAACTACTGCGAATGCTAGATTCAACAGCAAAATAGATTCAATTCTGAAGACGGTGTTGGGAACACTTCTTAACATGCTAAAATATTAATCATAAACTTTAAAATGAAAATATACTTTAAATATTTATTTTTTTATCTTGATTACGCATTCGCATAATCAATCCCCACCTTCGTTTGGAATGACTGGAAATTTAGCTTTAAATCTTTGATTTTGTTTTGAGCTACAATTCTAATTATCAAGCTGAATTGTCTGTGTGAGTTTAAGTATTAAACAACATTTCAGAAACGTTTTGGTGTTCATGGGACACTAGGATTGGGAAAACTGGCAATCCTCTCTATTAATTTCAAGACATTTATCTCGATTTCATGTAATCTATTACTGTACCAATTGGAGGTAAGCCTTAGTTACCTAGCGACATTTCAGTGTCTGAAAGGGATTAAATACAATCTATAGACCATCGCTGTCAATTGGCAACAGAACAGAGTAACGAGAACCCGGAACCCAAACGCAATTCGCAACCCAAGCCAATGTGATTCAAGTTCTTCCAAACCTATTTGTTGGTCTTCTAACACAAATTTGATTTTATATATTATGAATCAAACATTTATAGACACCATCTTATATGAGGTCAGTGTTAACTATTCAACTTCGACCAGACTGCCAATGACCTCCTTACGGCATACAAAGGTACCCACAATGTTCTTGCAACATTCACATTCAACCTTCACAACACCTAAGCGACCCGTGAAGATCCGGGGTAGAAAAGGTCTTCAGCAACCCATGCTTGCCGTAAAAGGTGACTATCCTTGTCGTAAAAGGCGACTAACAGGATCGGGTGGTCAGGCTCGCTGACTTGGTTGATGCATGTCATCGATCCCAATTGCGTGGATCGATGCTCAGGATATTAATCACTGGATTGTCTGGTCCAGACTCGATTATTTACAGACCGCCGTCATATATCTGGAATATTGCTGAGTGCGGCGTTAAACAACAAACCAAACCAAAACCTAAGAGCTATTTTTTGCCGATCAGCAACACATTGAGCTAAGACTTCAGTCAACGCCAAAGGTCCTGAAAGGCTTCTTACTTGTCTAACTGAGGTATCATCTGTAGTTGAACGTCACATTGAAAGAATAAAGACGCCGGATTCAATGTCAACTTTTCAATGATGCTACAACCTCCACAACGGCACTTAAAGATTCAGAATATAGAAAAGGGGACAACAATATTCTCATAAACATTTAACATTCCACAGTTCCCACTTTAAGATGAACTACCGTATTCGACGTAATAAGAGCTCCGCTCTTATAAGCGCCCACGGCGATATTTGCTAATATATTGGCTAGTGAACAATCCTAATTAGCACCCCTTCCGATAGATCAAAGTACACAAGACTTATTTATTCGTGTATAATACGCACTCGTGTGTTATGCACCCTTAATTATGGACAATTAAGTTCTGGAAGAATATATCTGGCGTATGCAAACATTTTAGGCTGTCAGCATAAACCACAAAATTTACGATCTTTCAACTCTGTTTTTTTTTTTCACCAAAATAATTTTCTAATGAGAGCTCACTATTCCTAATTTTGAGAGCGCCCTAGGCTCTTATTACGGTATTACTGCGAATACGGTATTCTCGTTATCCGATGAAACTATAGACTCATACCTCTGGAACATATCTTGGACTTCGTAACCGTGTCCGAAGTACAAGTTGGAGAATCCATTAACTGACTTGAAGAGTTGAGATGTCATAGCAACGACACCACCCACCCGGTGCTCCTGGACGCTATGGAGAAAGAACAAGACGATGTCATGCTACCATTCCGGCAGAATCCAAAAGAACATTAATATCGTCACTCAGCTTGTCTCGAAACATGATAACTCAATACTTAATATCTCATGGTCGCAATGACTGGATGGGAATAGAAAGAATTTGTTGGGTTCTGCGTCGAACCCATCTGACCGAGGAACGAAGACACAACATAAATTTCAACGTGTAGATTTCCGTCGACTGCGGGATTTGCAAAGCATGTGTACTGTCAACTGGGCGTCGATAGATATTTTGCAAATCTTTTCATGTTTTTAATCAAGGTGCTTAAATGATCTGATGCACTTCACGAGGTAAGACCCGTTTTATTACAACATATATCTTGATTATCGATCAGATCGTTTTGACTGGGCGACGCCATTTTGTTTGAAGCAAGTGATATCTAGTGGAATCTAATTGGTCAGTAGGAGGGACGCTGCTGGTGGCACTACGATCGAGCCACGAAATTCCAGCGTAGTTCGGCAAGGGTGGAAAGTGGACTTTTGTAGTCAGTTAACATCCTTTCCTAGGGAAGATGGCATCAACACAGCACAGAGGTCTTCTCGCTCATGACCTTGAAATCAACAACCAATCTAAATGTATCATGTGACTCCGAGTTCGCCCTGGATAGATATTCACAATCGAACCGATGCGTCGCATTCGTAGCTAAAGACTGCAACGAAAGAACTAGTCTGTCTCCCAGACTCTGGACAATAAAAACGAAAAAGTGTCCATCTCAAGTCTAGAATGATTTGGCAAGTCTAGAATGCCTCAGCTCCCGAAATTAAGGATCTTCAGGACTCCATTTGGATTGTATACTTAATTATGCCGTTGATATATATTTTAAATTTTGAGATAATTTTATTTCTGGGACTAAATGCCAGTATGCGAATGAACATGCAGGCGCTAAAGGTATATTAATGAATATTTAGAAGGGAATGAAATTTTAAAGCTATAAGACGTCCCTTGTTGCATTTGAGACGACATCAGCAAGACGTCGATTTTTTTCTGGCAGGGAGTCTTTGAAATACTATATAGACCCCGGTACTGGTGATCTAGCCGTTTTTATAAATCACACTTCATCGATTGGACGGCTAATTTTAGCGATTTTGACACATGCTAATGATATGGTCGGAATCGAACAATCGACTCTGCTTTTCGCAGAGATTTCTTCATGAATGTGGAAAGGGTTTTGCCGCTTTTACTCAGAGGAACTGGATTCTAAACGTAGCTGTGATTGAGAATGGGCCAAGTGTATTTATCAGAATAGAATGGATTTATATTACTGTTAACAATAGAGGATGGTTGCAAGGTTGATACGAAAGAACAACTATACATGCAACGGCTTACGTGTGGTTAAAACTTGATACATTCACAGAGAGGTGGTGGAGTTGGTTGAACGGGCACTCGTAAGGAACGCTGTTGGTGACAGGAATAAGGTCTTCGTCATGAAAGATGAAACACGTGAAGACATCTTGTTTAATGGCCTCCACAAAACCGGCGTTCATCAACAGAGCTTTGTTGAATGGTGCGTCAGAAACCTGCAGTACAAATACCCTCTTAGTTCATTCAGTTATCCTGGTTCAATAACGCGGATCTGGACCCACTTGCACAAAGCGATCTTAGCTCTAAGATGATCGTAACTCCCCTACGTTAACATAGGTATACGATAGTCTTAGAGCTAAGATCGCTTTGTGCAACTGGGACCTGATGTGGATTGTTGTGGTTGTTTGTTTGTCTGTTGTTTAACGCCGCAATCAGCAATATTCCAGCTAAATGACGGCGGTCTGTAAAATAATCGAGTCTGGACCAGACAATCCAGTGACTGAAATCATGAGCATCGATCCACGCAACTGGGATCGATGACATGTATGAACCAAGTCAGCGATCCTGACCACCCGATCCCGTTAGTCGCCTTTTACGACAAGCATAGTCGCCTTTTACGGCAAGCATGGGTTGCTGAAGACCTATTGTAACCCGGAATCTTCATGGGTCTGTTGTGGTTGTAGTGTGTAGTAATTGTTAGAATGAGTGAGTTTGGTCAAACGTAGCTGTTAGGTTTCCAGTCATATCTCAATGCCAGCTTAATGTGTGGGGAAGCCAAAGGTGACGCGGGTGTTATGTGTGTCACTGGTGGTGTATCAGTTAGGTGACACTGAACGCAGAGGTGAGGTGAAATTGGGTTTAACGTCGCGTCCAAGATTATTGCACTTATATAGCGACGTGCATGCACGTGTATGTGTGTGTGTGGCTGCTTGTACTAGTCCGGACTGATGCCGATTTAAAGTGCTAGCTCACTGAGATACCATGCCGCAGTTTAACATGAATACTCCACTCAGACACAGTATACTGACTCCGAGCCGACCAGTCCTTGTTCTAGCCCCTTAATGCCGAGCGCCAGACAGGCTTACAACAAGTAACGTCTTTTTGTATGACGCGGCCCGGGATCGAACCCTGGACCTTCCGCTCTCCGGGCGGACGCTCTACCACAAGACCACGGAGGCGGTCCACTGAACGCAGAGTCATACATAGATAGACAGACGGACGGACCTTCCACGTGTAATGTGGGGATGTCGGAATGAACTATGCTTTGAGGTATAGTGTTTAGATTCAGCCTAGATCACCACGTTTTAGGTGAGGTGAAATAGAGTTTAACGTCGCGTTAAAGATTATTGCATTCACATAGCGACGCGCATGCACGTGTGTGTGGGTGGCCTCTTGTACTAGTCGGGGCGGTCGGGTAGCCTAATGGTTAAAGCGTTAGCTCGTCACGCCGAAGACCTGGGTTCGATTCCCGACATGGGTACAATGTGTGAAGCCCATTTCTGGTGTCCCCCGCCGTGATATTGCTGGAATATTGCTAAAAGCGGCGTAAAACCATACTCACTCACTCTTGTACTAGTCCGGACTCATGTCGATTTATAGTGCTAGCCCACTGAGATACCATGCCGCAGTATAACATGAATACCCCACTCAGACACACTGTACTGCCTCTTTTGGTTTGACGCGGACGGGGAGTGGACGCTTTACCACTAGACCACGGAGGCGGCCCCCTCCCCCCTCCCACGTTGTAATGTGTCCCATGCGTGAGACTTATTCGTTGACGTTGTTTTATTACTATAACCTTAACTGCTAGGTTGATTTACCAGACAGGAAAAGAGGATTGTGACTTCCTTATATCAAATCTTGCTATACCTGGCTGTAACATCAAGCCCAGATCTACTTTAAGATTACAGGCGCCCCAATTCGTTGAGCAGAGTTGCGTCCCTTGGGCAAGCCAGAAACCTATAATGATTTAAATCTCTGTAAGCCCCAATTATGTTTCTATGTTTGTCAGCACCATACCCTTGCTCCTTGGTATCACCGAAGTGGTAAACGTCTGAGACCTGCATCATTTCGGGCTTTCCTCCCACATTAAGCTGACACACCGTGATATGACTGGAATACTGTTAAACAATTCCAATTTCCAACAACGGGACCCACAATAATTTTGTTAGAAATGGTGGGAGGGAGTGTGTCTTGGTCACTGCTTCTAAAATGAGTTGACCAAAATAATGTTTTAGAATATTTTAAATCAAATTATGTTTCTTTTTAAAATAAAAACATCTCTCTTTTCAGCCTCCCACATCACCCACCACCCACCCCTACCCCCACCGCCAACACACAGCAACCTCACCAAATGGTCGCATCTATGTCAAGTTATTAAATTTAATTGATATCCTTAGAAGCTATCTGCTCGAACTATCCATCATCAAGCTAACGCGGATTGATAAAACTGAAATACTGTTCACGCACCTGTTCAATGACAAAGATGGAGAAGTCCTTGTTTTGATTCTTGAGGACCGGAATGAGGTTGTTGAGAAGGATAAAGCAACCGTCTAGTCGACCATGTAACGGAACGATAATGGCAATCTTCTCCTTCGTCACACAGTTGGGTGGTGAAAAGTGGCCATCTACTCCAGCATGGTATTTCTTATGCAAATCAATCAAGCTGATGGTTGATACATAAGGTCTTCGTAGCCGTTCTGTAAACACAATTCATGTATGTTATGGTGCGTGAGTCCTCACGTTGAGACTTCATTTGGTTGTTTGTTTGTTAGTTGGCTGCTTAACGTCCCACTAAGTAATATAACTGTTATATGACGGCGGCTGCAAGTCATCGAGCCTAAATCGATCCATTTTGTCGCCATCAACGACCTATTCGAACCCGGAATACTTACATGGTTACTCAATAGTTTAAAACAGTATAACAACACTGTTGCAATCGCATTTCTATTGATTTGACCTGATTGTGTTCCTGTGTTTCATCCCTATACCCGTGTTCATGGGTGTGCCAAAGTGGCAAAGGTCTGCGACTTTCGTATGGCTTCCGAAAAACAAACTGAATTCCGTTCAAAGTGACATTAAAACAACTCGTTTATTTGTGAACCTTTGTTCAGCTTGGTAATGTGTTTGAGTGAGTATGGTTTTACGCCGTCTTTAGCAATGTTCCAGCAATATCACGACGGGGGACACCAGAAATGGGCTTCACACATTGTACCCATGTCGGGAATCGAACCCGGGTCTTGATGGTGACGAGCGAACGCTTTAATTATTAGGCTTCCCGACCATCCCATCTTGGCAATGATGGCGTGGAGGAAGATGTGAAGGAAGAGCTGATGAACTGACACAGGATAGAAGAAGAAGAAAAAGGAACGAGAAAAACTGGATCGACTGGAATTCTGTTCCCATGCAGATTCTCAATTCCAGAAAGTGAGTGAGTTTGGTTTTACGCCGCTTTTAGAAATATTCCAGCAATATCACGGCGGGGACACCAGAAATGGGCTTCACACATTGTACCCATGTCGGGAATCGCACCCGGGTCTTGATGGTGACGAGCGAAAGCTTTAATCACAAGGCTACCCGACCGCCCCAAATGTATTTCAGAAACAAATACTTTTGACGCAAGGTTGTTCATATTGTGAAGGATAAATACCTCATTGTCACCGTTTACAAATCTTACACAGTGACAAGCTGCAATTTAGAATACTGAAATTTACGTAACTTTTCGTAATGCGTTCGACCATTTTTCAGGCATCGATGATATGTTTCAATATCACGGATAACAATAATACTTCAATGACTGTTTTAGAAGTTGCAACGTATTATTGACCGACAATGTCTACATGTATATGCATTCTTGTGGTCGCTTCTTAAAATATGTTTTGAATAGATTCAAATATTATCTTTGTTTCAGCAGTGCTTTCCTTTACATCTTCCTGAGGCAAGAGAGTTAACTGACTATAAAAATCCAGTGGAAACAGATAAAGCAGCTAAACTATCCCTAAAAATCCCAGAAATAAGCTTAAACTTACCCATCTCAAAATCAGAAATTAAAAGTGTAAACAAGCAAAAAATCACAAAAAATGGCATAACCTATATCTAAACTCAAATAGCCAAATCTAAAAAGTGCTCAGCAAACCACTAACCAAACCAAAAATTCTCCATCCATCAAAAAAAATCGACAGAGTAATCACTAAACTCAAAACAGGACACACCAACCTAAATAACCACCTTAAAAAATAAAAAAAACACACTACAGGTAACTGCCCACACTGCAAACAACCAGAAACCCCAGAACACGCACTCATCCACTGCACACACTACCTAACACATCGAACCGCATTACAAACCACCCTCAATCTAAACAAGGATCTCACTCTAGAAGCAATACTAAACCCACAAAATAAACTAGAAAACTTCAAGGCCTTAGGCGTGTTCTTAATAAAAACGGAACTAATAAAACGCATCTAAAAACACAATAACCTACCAAATCAAAATCACATAAACAAACAAACATCCATCATACCCAGCTCCCTTAGTTCCATCGGCATCTATTCCAAATCTCAAAATTCCCAAATTCTATATAAGCAACCCCTAAACCCCCCTCTTGGGTTGCACAGACCACTTTCGCCCCTTTCGGAAACACATTAAATGGCCTGGCCGGGCCCGTGTGCGAAATACGCATCAGTCGGAAAGCGCACGTTAAATCTCCAAAGTAAGTAAGTAAGTAAGGACTTTTATAGTCAGTTAACTCTCTTGCCTCGGGAAGATGTTTCCTCTATAACGAATGGTACATTTCGAATTGAGATATTTCTAATGCAAAACTGATCGTTTTTCGTCAGTTTTGTAATGAGTGGACAAATCAGTATGTAGTGATACGCATCCTCGAAGTTCTGACCACATGTACAGGGAGACTCAGGATGAATATGCCGAAGAAAGCGAAAGTAGTTCATATATAGCACAGCAAGGTGCGTATGAAGATACACAATTTATATGATATTTTAATTAAATCGTAACCATTAATACAATCAACAATGGAGAATAGGGGAATGATTGAGCCCAGGGAGTGATTGGGTCTACGTGGGTAGAGTGCCCTGAGCCTTGGGGTAGTGATCGGAGCCGAGGCTCAAAACACTCTCGAGTGATTTTAGCCAAGGGTCAAATCACTCTTGAGTGATCTCAGCCAAGGGTCAAATCACTCTAGAGTGATCTCAGCCAAGGGTCAAATCACTCTAGAGTGATCTCAGCCAAGGGTCAAATCACTCTTGAGTGATCTCAGCCAAGGGTCAAATCATTCTAGAGTGATCTCAGCCAAGGGTCAAATCATTCTTGAGTGATCTCAGCCAAGGCTCAAAACACTTCAGAGTGATCTCAGCCAAGGGTCAAATCACTCTTGAGTGATCTCGGCCCTGGCCCAAGTCGCTCAAGAGTGGTTTGAGCCGGGGACTGAGTTAACCAATGTTGCTGTCAACATTGATATTTGCTGCAAACATGAACACAAATTGATACATTTACTGAACAAACAAAGCTAGTTTGTTCGGTACATAAGACAAGTAACTAGATATCAACAATGCTTCTTTATCTGCAGCAAAGAAACATATGAATTTCTTTTACTAAAAAGACACATAATTATTCGTTTTGTTGGTTTATATCGCTTCATCCTTACTGAATATGGAGACAAACATTAGGGGTGCCAGCTAATATGGTTCCATTGATTCTACGAAAGAAAAAATGAGAACACTATTAAGCAGCTGCATCTACCTTCGTAAACCGTCGTTCATGATGCAGTGAATTAATTATCCTATAACCACTGTCATGGACATACAGGTTATTAAGTCTTACGGTTGTTTAAAATAAAATTAACATTTTGCCATTTTTAAACATATTTCAACAAGAATAATAAATCTAAGGAAGAGAAGTTTTGGGTGTCAACTTCTTTATTTTGTTTGTTTGTTTATTGTTTAACGCCGCACTCAGTAATATTCCAGCTATATGACGGCGGTCTGTAAATAATCGAATCTGGAACAGACAATAGTGATTGACATCATAAGCATCTAGCCACGCAATTGGGATCGATGACATGCATCAACCAAGCCTGACCACCCGATCCCGTTAGTCGCCTCTTACGACAAGCATAGCCGCCTTTTACGGCAATCATGGGTTGCTGAAGACCTATTCTACCCTGGATCTTCACGGGTACAACTTCTTTATTATAAGGATCACAACGTTTTGGAGTATATGCTTACTCCTTCATCGGGTGAAGTTGACATCCATAAGTTCTCTTTGTCCTTACGTGTATCACTTTCAAAGACTTGAAGAATAACAAATCATAAACTTATTTGACAAAATATTCCGGGTACCCCGGGTATATCACGGTGTGTCAGCTTAATATGGGAGGAAGCCCGAAAGGCCGAAGGATCGCAGACGTTTACCACTTTGGTGAAACCCACGAGCACGGGTATGGTGCTGACAAAGCAAGAAACATAATCAGGGCGAACCGGGATTCGACACACCGGCATAGGTTTCTGGCTTGCTCAGGGCACGCAACTCTGGACAGCGAATTGGGGCGCCTTAGACGACTGGGTCACCCGTGCCCCGGTTTTCACTATGAGGACACTGATGACAAAATGTGTTACTTTATCATACATACCCGTCTGTACTGGAAGATCTGAACAACTTTGGAAATGAAGCAGGTGATGGTCGGAGTAGTTCCTTTTCTGGACTCGGACCATTTCAACCCACGAGGCGTGACGGCTTTGGGATTTGTGAACATAGTGAAACCCGTCAAAAGCATTTCTTATCAATACGATCCAATTCAAAATTCCAGACACGACTATCACAATACGTATAGCTTTGTTTACCATGGTTTACTAATGTGCGCTATATACTTGTGTACATGGACCTTAGTTGGCACTGGGATTTCCTGTAGTCACTCTACAAGGGGCACATGGAAAATGTTCCACTGTTGACGTGTGAGATTGTATCCGAAGATAGTACTTAATTACTCACAGTTCGGCATTGTGTGAGATACCATCTCCACTGTTGGTGCTGGTCACAGCAGCTGATATTCACTGTTACAGAGGTGATTGTTTGCCGCCTCCGTGGTCTAGTGGTAGAGCGTCCGCCCTGAGAGCGGGAGGTCAGGGGTTCTATACCCGGCAGTGTCATACCAAAAGACGTTAAAAAATGGCACTTGTTATCTCCCCTGGCGCACGGCATTAAGGGGCTAAAACAAGAAGTGGTCGGCTCGGAGTTAGTATACTGTTTCTGAGTGGGGTTTTCATGTTAAACTGCGGCATGGTATCTCAGCGTACTAGCACAATAGATCGGCATCAGTCATGACTAGCGCACGCACACACACACACACATAAACACACACACACACACACGTGCATGTATGTCGCTATATAAGTGCATTATTCTTTGACGAGACATTAAACCCCATTTTATCTCACCTCACCTATGCCTATATATGCACATCTTCCCGAGGCAAGAGATTTAATTGGCTTTAAAAGTCCAGTTTCCACCCTTGCCGAACTAGGCTGGTATTATGGAGTTATATTTTGGTCGATTGCAGAATTCCAAAGCATGTGCACCTCCAACTCGTTGTCAGCAGATATTTTCCAAATCTTTTCATGTTTTTAATCAAGGTGCTCACGTGATGCATTTCGCGATGTAAGATCCGTTTCATCACAATATACATCTTGATTATCGATGAGATTGTCCTGACTTGGACGCCACCATGTGTATATAATTTTAAATAATTGTGCAATATAGGAAAATATCTTTTTAGAGCATGTCTTAAGAAGTGAAATACTATAGTTCTGTACATGCTCCTGTAGTAATTGTTAACATTGCCTGTATCATTATGACATGTAAATTTACTGATGAGTTGTATAGCTCAAAGTCAATATAGAATATAAATTTATGTACATAGCCTAGTGGGTAAAGCATTCACTTGTCACGCCAGTTCGAATCCTCAGGGAAATTCTATGCAAAGTATTTTTAGCGCACTACCACCTTTTCAGAGCGCAGGGTCCAACAAAGCGATCTTAGCACTACAACAGTCAGAAGTCTATGTTAAGGTATGTGATTTTAGCATGAACGTTGCTTCATGTGCAAAATTACTATATTTACCTGAACCTTGAAATTTTTTTGTGAAGTCATTGGAAAATATATGTTAAAACACCCCCAAAAAACACAACATGTAGGTAATAAACTTAGGATTGTAATGTATTATTCATATCTTCTGATTAGTATTGAGTACTAAGTATTGAGTCTTGAGTATTGCTATGTGCCATATTAAAGTAAACTCACTTACTCAATATCTGGCCCCCAAACGTCCCATAGTAAGTGACCAATGTGAAAAGCCCTGCAAAGGTGGATCCAGCATTTTTAAAAGGGAGGGATCCAAAATACATGTATCGACATCCTCTCTCAGATAATTTTACTGCCTACAACATGCTACATTTAGTTTTCAAAAGGAGAGGATGCGGGTAAGGACACTTTGCGACTTTGGCTTGTCCAGATGTGTGCATGCCTCAGTATGAAGGGTATGTTACTTTTTTAAGATAGTTTTTGGTCAGATACTGGTGTCAAGGTAGCCTTTGAACAATGGTTTCTATGAACAAATTTCAGGATGCAGTGACCCAGGCTCCTCGGTGTTTTCTGTAGAAAGTCAGATTGCTTTGGTTCAGGATGAACACCAGTAACCAAGTACCTTCTCCATACTTCAAGTCCTGTTAATCAACCAAAGTCCACAAAACAAAACTGTCAATAGGATAGGCAGCATTGGGTCAATCCTATTGATCCAGCCAATTATAAACTGATCCATGTCATTAAAACACCTGTAATAATGTACAGGTCTATATTGCCTGTGTGAGAAGGATTATTGCAACACATGCCTTTATTAAGTTTTCAAAAAGGTCTGGAAGGCCGAAAATGCTAGGGTAAAGACCATTTTTTTCAATTTACTCCATTTTTATGACAAAATAGTAAGATCAGGCATTAGTAGATTCACTGCTTCAAAACAGCGCTCAGGAAGCAATGAGTCAAAAACAGTTTTATTAAAGATGTTTGGTTGAAGAACAAGAAACAGATTCGTTTTTATATTAGGAATTGTTTATGATTCAGAAAGAAATGAACCAAATGTGTTAGTATTCCAGTCAGTTCAAGGTTGTGTGTACTTCAAACGTACCCATTTGGGGAATCAAACCAAGAACTTTGAGTGATAAGCCAACGTCTTAACCACTGCGCTACACCACCAACCTGTGTACCAGTAACCCATGTGCATGGACAAAGTGCTGAGAAATCAAGCATCATTATTCTGAGTTCGAATCCCAAACTCAAGTGGATCCTTGCAGCTTTAGAAGACATCCATACACAGTGAATTACGAACTGTTGCAATATCGTCATTGTTGGGCCCTTCGGCTTGGCTACCCCTCAACTCTCAAGCTCTCAGTAATTCACGAAATCAAATAACATATCCAGAGTGCCGCATTAAGCTACAAACAAATAACACATCAATGTACAGAAAGAATATATTTATACACAGTGCATGTTCACACAACTGCATGACAGATGCTAACATGCATAATAAATGGACGGAAATATTTGAAATTCCTCACACACAAGAATCGTGTTCTGCTATAATAAGTAATCATTCGGTGTCAAGGAGAAAAATGTACAGTGAAACACAATATCACAGTATACATGATTGTTGAAAAAGTTCTAAATTTGAAAGTATAAATATGTTTATCTCACAACAATATCCAATAAGGGTAAGGATGTGAAGGACACATATATAGTGAGTGAGTGAGTATGGTTTTATGCCGCTTTTAGCAATATTCCAGCAATATCACGGCGGGGGACACCAGAAATGGGCTTCACATTATACCCATGTCGGGAGTCGAACCCTGGTCTTCGGCTTGAAGAGCTAACGCCTTAACCACTAGGCTACCTTACTGCCCCTTTAAAATATAGAATAAGCAACAGTGACATTCAGGGATTCATCACAACACACAAAACATATTTCACTTTCAATTTTAAGAAAAAATATGCAACGCTATGTCATGGTAAAAATATCAGATGTTAAAAAATGATACCTTCAACAATCTCAGGATAATCACAAGACCACAGCCTTGGGCATTGGCATCAATAAATTATGATTATTAGTTCACATAATGCAATAAACTACACACGGTATACATACACACTTCCTTTATACACTCATATATACAAGAAAATCATATGATTATTTCAAAAGAAACTAATTGAGCACATGATTAAAGCATGTCAACATATTTTAGATTTGCCACAGATTAGATATTTACATGATGGTAAAATGGCTCAGGCTTGTCTTGTGCGTTAGGGAGTATCTGGGGTTTAGCCCCCCTCAGCAATATCCTAGCCATGGCATGGACACTTCACTCTACTACAGCCATCTCACTGGGGTTTATCTGGGGTTTAGCCCCCCTCAGCAATATCCTAGCCATGGCATGGAGACTTCACTCTACTAAAGCCATCTCACAGGGGTTTATCTGGGGTTTAGCCCCCCTCAGCAATATCCTAGCCATGGCATGGAGACTTCACTCTACTACAGCCATCTCACTGGGGTTTATCTGGGGGTTCCAAATTAAGTGCCCCAGGTAAGCAAATTTGTGAGGGGAATGATTCTTTTGTTGAAAATTGGTATTTTTAAAATATGTTTTCTTAAATAAGCAGTATTTCAACATTGAATCCATTTTGCAAAAATAACCATTCAAGCCTCTTCCTCTTACTATTATCAGTTATATATGAAACATCAATGCTTGAGAATAACCAGTCTCCATTATCCATTGAAACAGTTTCCATTGAGCATTAAAGTCAAAATAGCGTGAAAAAACAGGTGACCTGTGAAAAATCATTACATAACATTACATTAGTCATTAAACTACAATAGCATCACTGGGGAGATTCGAAATTCCAATTTGGGAAGATTTGTTAACATCTGCTGTCTATTTGGGGCCAAATATCTGCCTGTGAGCAGGTCCAGATAAACCTGAGTCATCTTCTGAATGATGAGAAAATGTAAGGTTAAAGCAATAACCCCTAGTGTTTGAGTCTTCAGAAGGATCTAATAGAAGAAATTAACATCTATAAACAAACCCACATTCAGACTGGTCAATTTGTTTACTATCCTGGTCGTTCTGTTAACTACCATGAACTATAAGAGTCCCCCGATAGATAAATCGGTATAGCTGCATATTCATTTCATGGTGAATACAAAGAAGTCAAGGTGTTTCCTGAGTCTGGAGGAATGACTGAGTCTTGTAGCATAATTCTTGGTGGAATGTTGACAGTCTCCCCACTGGAGGCGGTATTCGTTCGAAGTGTCCCTCACCATTCAAAATCATCATCAGATCCTTTTGGACTGAAAAAAAGAGAGAGCATAAAGTTGAGGCTTCTGCAGCATAGTGTTTGTTTGTTTGTTTGTTTGTTTGTTTGTTTGTTTGTTGTTTCACACTGCACTCAGCAATATTCCAGACGGCGGTCTGTATGTCATGGAGTCTTGATCAGACAATCGAATGATTGACATCACGCATATCGATCTATGCAATTGGAATACAATGAGATGCATCAACCAAACCAGCGAGTCTGACCACCTGGTCCCATTAACACCCCTCACAACAAGCATGGGTTGTTGGAGACGAATTCTTAAACCAAATCTTCACGGGGCTCTGCATCATAATGCACGTTTCTCACAGGCCTCTAATGCACATGAAGTACTTGGGTAGATGTGAGCCAGTGTCTCTGAGTCACACAAGTCGGTGGAACAGGATCAAAGCAGATATTCAGGTCAAAAGTCCTTCTGACCTAAATCATACGTAATTTGAACTTAAAGGTAGGTTAGCATGTATTTGATACCTCTTAAAATCGACTGGTATGATGGTTAAATGCCGCTCAAATTCCATCTATATAATGTCAGCCTGTAAATAATCGAGTCAGTGCAAGACAAACCAATGATTGATATAAGGACAAAAGATCTGATCGCCCATATGCATTGTCATAACCCCGACATATAACATCATTTCGTCATTACCAAAATAAGTGTTATTTTGTATCATTTTATTCTCGGTGAGGTAAGATCAATTGTGTCAAAGGGTTCATAACAATTATATTATAATTAGAGTTCTACTTTGTTTAAAAACAAAATACAATTTCCCAAAATGGTAACCGGTTTACTTTAAATGTATTCACAGCTAAAGATTATTACCCATTTCAGTGTTTTGAATTATGTGGAGTAAAAGAATAGCCAATCATTGAACTACATTCAGAATATAAACAATCATCAAAATAATCCTTGGATCATTGATATAATTTTGTTAAGGATAGGCTAAACTTAGAAGTTCACTTCTCAACATTTTCTTTCTTTTCATATATGGTTTATGTATGAAAATATAAAAAGCAGAGCCATTTCATAGAAAGAATAAAAAGTTAATATTAGGAATCAAATTTCGAAAACTAAAATATAAAATGTTGGGTATATCCGACGTGATGAACGTTAATGAATAATTAATGGGGCGGCAGAGTCGTCTTGTGATTTAACAAGTCTCAACAACATGGCAAACAGATTCTGCTGGGAGATTGCTGGGGATCTATTCTAACCCTGAAAACCCTTACCTGTGATGGTCTTCCGCTACTGAGATGTCATTATCTGTGTGGGGTGGAGATCCTTCCTGTTGCTGAAATTAAACACGTTGGACAGATGGCTCACAACAAATCTCACTGCAGGTGGGACACCAATGTATCAACTAAAATTGAACTTCCTCATGGGAAAAAGCATATTAGTCATCACTACCAATGGATTTTGTTGCAGGAGGAGATTCTTAACATTCAGCACATTTGTAGACCGAATGATCAGTCAACTTAATTTTTAGATGTATACAGAGAGAATAGGCATTCTAATTTGATATTTTAGAAATTTCTACAAGGTATAAATAGACAAATATGTTTTCAGGACTATCTATGGACAACGAATGCATTGGGCCTTGTAGCTGTATGTCTTCTCACCATGCTGCCAGATCTCACCTTGTGAGTGAGTCAGTGTGGTCTTATGCCATCTTTAGCAATATTCCAGCAATATCACGGCAGGGGAGACCAGGGCTTCACACATTGTACCCATGTGGGGAATCGAACCCGGCCCTTCGGCGTGACGAGCGAATGCTTTAACCACTAAGCTACACCACTGCCCCTTCTCACCTTGTGACCCTGTGACCATGTGTCAACTGTCTTCTGTACAACCTGCAACATGAACATGAAACATATTCTGATACTGATCCTGAAGATGTGTGAAGTGGTCAGAGAGTGTCTCTGTTCATATCATCAGGACTTGAACTGATCTCTAGCTGGATACATTCTATCACGTGATATCTTAAGAATTCTTACCTCTTCAGAATAATGCATAAAAGTACATGTTCACTCATGTAAGTTTGTTAAATGCTTCTTTGAACAGTATTTCAGCTTCATTACAGCATGTCAGCATGAAATCATATGTTGCAGGTCTTAGATGCTTAATGGCCCTGTCACACAACAACGTATAGCAGTAACGTATGGCAACATATGAGAATTTTTGCCAAAACGCCGGCAACGCTAGAAACACGCTATGGATAAGTTAGGTGTAAGTTGTATACGTTAAAAGCATGCTGGTATACCTTGTAGTATACCAAGGCTTAAAAACATTTTTGTGCATGCACACAATTTTCGGCGTATGGGAACGTATGAAGGTATGAATTATATGTTAGGCATACATACACCAGATATACGTTGCCCATACGGCCTATTTTAGGCACCTTTCCCTTACGCTGAGCGCTTGTCATATGTTACTCATACGCTGGCCATACGTTGAACACGCGAGACACACGCTGGCAATACGCTTTTATAAGTTATGTATAAGTCAGTGATACGCTACTAATACGTTAGACATGGGTTACATATACGGTAAACTCTTGTTATGTATATGCTATGGATACGCCAAAATCATGGTTTTTCAATGAAAGCTCGATGTATGACAGAGTACTAACTGTCTTTTACACGCTAGGTGCAAGTTACTCTAAAACGTTGTACTGTGACAGGGCTATAAAACTTTTGAGAAACCACCAAGCATGAGTATGTTGCTGACAAACCCAGGAACATACTCAGAGTGAACCAGGATTCAAACCCACAAAGGTTCTTGACATGTCAGAGGGACACAACACTACACTGTGAATTGCTACAGCACCTGTGACAACTGGGCCCCACATTCCGCGGGGTCATCTGGCACACCCCAAACTCCCTGAGGGAGTGGATGCTCAAATCTCACTCTTTGTAAAGGGAGGGGTAGTTACTTAACACATCTGTGAGACTCAAATATCAGAGTGAGTGAATGCTGCTTAAAGTCAGCAGTATTCCAGCAGGTATGTAAATGAATGAGTCAGGACCAGCCAAACTGTGAAGGGATACACAGTGATGAACCTCATCAGGGTACAGAGGCAAGCATTTACTTATACCTGACCATTTATCCACAGTTTAGTAAGTTTATACCACAAGCCATCTTCCCAAGGCAAGAGAGTTAACTGACTTTAAAAGTCCAGTTTCCACCCTTGCCGAACTAGGCTGGAATTCCTGGGCTCGATCGTAGCGCCACCAGTGGCTGTTAAGAGTTATGTCCCTTCTATGCCTCTCCTATGGACCAATCAGATATCACTTGCATTTGCTTCAAACAAAATGGCTGCGCCCAGACAAGACGATCTGATCGACAATCAAGATCTATATTGTGATAAAACAGCTCTTACATTGCGAAGTGCATCAAACCATGTGAGCACGTTGATTAAAAAAAGATTTGGAAAATATCTGTTGACAACAAGTTGGCGATCCACATGCTTTGCAAATCCTGCAATCGACTGAACTCTGCATGAAAGTTTACAAACAGGATTTCAATTTCGGTGCGTGATTTTGATTGGACTATGCATAGACTAGTTAGTCCAGCCAAAATCTAACTCAATAATACCAACCTAGTTCGGCAAGGGTGGAAACTGGACTTTTATAGTCAGTTAACTCTCTTGCCTCGGGAAGATGACCTCGAGCATAATGAACTGTGGACTTAGTCTGGCATGGAGGCCCAATAGAGGAACATATATTGACAAACATTGCTGACCACCACCATGTAAGCATACACACAATGAGACAGGAGCATGTAAATATGTCATTAAATCATAGCAGTTTAATGTTGTTAGTGATCTAAATTGCATTATCACTATATGAAAGAGTATAATTTATACATATACGCAAATGACATATTGCACGCATCCCTTGCTTAGAGCATATCAAATTGTACAATAATACATGAAGATATGGCAAATTATCAGCTTTCAAATGACATTTTCAATATGGCTGTTGATTCTGCCTTTCAGTCGAAGTACATTGCCTCTCATTAATAATTGGTAGATCTTTGTTCTGTTCACTACATTGGTTGTAGCGAAGATATTGTTTTTCTACATGCAGTCAAAAAGATTTTTTTCAAACAGGCAAAATTACTGTACACCCATAAGGGAGTGCTATCGAGGGCATAATTGTGTTCTGTGGCACTTTTCTTTTGCTGAGATGATAATTTCTGAATAGAGGTGGTAAAAAAATGAAACTAAATCATTTTAGAAAACTGACATCTGATTGAGTCAAGAACCCACCCTTTATTTATCTAATGGTGGTGAAAATTCTACCAGGGTTCACCTGATGCAAACTTCTTTACGTTTCAGCAAGCCCTTGTAATTTGAATTGGCCATGGGCCAATGGGCCAGCGGTTAAATCAACCCCTGTTCTTTGGAGGTGTCCGCAGACCTTCACGCAGACAGGCAGCGTATCAGAGTAAAAGATCAGATTAAAATGAGAAAGGACATCGCTCCTGGTACTTTTTGACAAATGTGCCATGTAGATGTTAGACTATGGTTCCAAACATGTGTCCAAATGTGTCATGTAGATGTTAGACTATGGTTCCAAACATGTGTCCAAATGTGCCATGTAGATGTTAGACTATGGTTCCAAACATGTGTCCAAATGTGTCATGTAGATCTTAGACTATGGTTCCAAACATGTGTCCAAATGTGTCATGTAGATCTTAGACTATGGTTCCAAACATGTGTCCAAATGTGTCATGTAGATCTTAGACTACGGTTCCAAACATGTGTCCAAATGTGTCATGTAGATCTTAGACTATGGTTCAAACATGTGTCCAAATGTGTCATGTAGATCTTAGACTATGGTTCCAAACATGTGTCCAAATGTGTCATGTAGATCTTAGACTATGGTTCCAAACATGTGTCCAAATGTGCCATGAACATGATGAACAGGATACAAAACAACAATTGTATTTTACACTGAAAATACAATACAACATCTTCAGAATATGCTGGTGTGTGAGCATTAATTACATGTGTGTGCCTCCATCAACATGCAGTTATTGCAATACTGTAGCTAGGTCTAGGTCAGACCTAGTTCAATTCTCGAACTTTAAGTTAGATCTACATGTATTTCCATTCCTTCACTAGACTACAGGTTAGATCTGAATTCTCTTGAATTGGTATTTGTGATTAATATGAGACAACTGCCAAATTAGTCGGTCCGGACCCCAATATGAGTGATTACATGCAAGCAACAACCACAGTTTTTATACAAACCTTGGAGCTGTCCTGGAACATAGCAAACAAGGTCAAATTGTAAAAAAAAGAAGAGTTTGGAACCGAAGTCCATCTTGTTGCCATGGAAACGTAAAAAATAGAAATTTCTAAAATTTCTAAATAGCAAAAGGCACCAGTTCAGCATGTACCTGGCAAACCTGCAAAGTTTCATGAAAAAATATTGAACGGTTTCTGAGTTATGCTCCGGAAACGAACCCTACCCTCACAGAACCTAAGTCCATCTTGTTGACATGGAAACGTAAAAAATAAAAATTTCTAAAATTTCTAAAGAGCAAAAGGCATCAGTTCAGTATGTACTTGACAGACCTGCACAGTTTCATGAAAAAATATTGAACGGTTTCTGAGTTATGCTCAAAAAACGAAACGTGACGGACGGACGGACGGACGGACGGACGGACGGACGGAGCCCATTTCTAAATCTCCCGCCAACCTTGTTGGTCGGATGATAACAAACTAAGTGAATGTTTTCTTAATTTTGTGGTTTATGGAGTAAACCAACTAGAACCAAAAACACAATTAGAAAATAAATAATAATAGTTTAACTTCATTTTTACTTGCCTGACCAAAAATCAAACAAAGTTACTGTTAACCTTTGTAATATTAATTGATTTTACACAAACCTCATACTAAAACAAGTCTATGCAACTCCCATATAAAGAGAAAAAAGCCTTCTCGGACCGTGTGTTAATACATGTACATGTTACTGTAAATATATTGAACATCCAGGATGTTTGACATCATCAACCACTTGTTCCTTATCACACCTGTTTCTCACCACCCCTGTTCCTCATCACCCATCTCTCCTCATCAAACCACCTGTTCCTCATCACTACACCTGTTCCTCATCACCCCACTCTCCTCATCACACCTGTTTCTCGCCACCCCTGTTCCTCATCACAACCCATTCTCAAACACCCAACTGTTCCTCATAAACAACCTGTTCCTAAACAGCCACCTGTTCCTCATCACCCCTCTGTTCCTCATCACACACCTGTTCCTCATCACCCCTGTTACTCATCACCCTCTGTTCCCCATCACCCCTCTGTTCCTCATCACACACCTGTTCCTCATCACCCCTCTGTTCCTCATCACACACCTGTTCCTCATCACCCCTCTGTTCCTCATCACCCCTCTGTTCCTCATAAACCACTGTTCCTCATCACCCCTCTGTTCCTCATCACCCCTCTGTTCCTCATCACACACCTGTTCCTCATCACCCCTCTGTTCCTCATCACCCCTCTGTTCCTCATAAACCACCTGTTCCTCATTACCCCTCTGTTCCTCATCACCCCTCTGTTCCTCATCACCCCTCTGTTCCTCAACACCCCACTGTTCCTCATAAACCACCTGTTCCTCATTACCCCTCTGTTGTTCATAAACCACCTGTTCCTCATCCTCCCTCTGTTCCTCAACACCCCTCTGTTCCTCATAAACCACCTGTTCCTCATCACCGCTCTGTTCCTCATCACCGCTCTGTTCCTCATCACCCACCTGTTCCTCATCACCCCTCTGTTCCTCATCACCCACCTGTTTCTCATCACCCCTCTGTTCCTCATCACCCCTCTGTTCCTCATCACCCCTCTGTTCCTCATAAACCACCTGTTCCTCATCAACCCTCTGTTCCTTTTCACCCACCTGTTCCTCATCACCCCATTGTCCCTCATCACCCCTCTGTTCCTCATCAACCCTCTGTTCCTCTTCACCCACCTGTTTCTCATGTTCCCTGTTTTTCTGCACCATGGCCATGTACTGTTTCATCACTGGGTCTATCCCATCATCTGACTTCTCCTGCCTCTCCTCCGTCTCTCCTCCTCCTGCACTACTGTGTGCCTTGGGTGGATCTCGCCCCTGATGCAAAGAACATTAAACTCTGTACTTGTAACAAGAAACACACCAAAATATCTGTACAATCCAAGTTTGAAGAAGAAGTTTCACTTCTCATGCATATTTCTTTTATATGGTAGATCCCACTATGCCAAACACAAAAGCATTGAATATTGAAAAAACTTGATTTGGTATGATTATCATCACACTAAAAGTGTGTTTGTTGGTTAACACAGCCAGTCCAGTCTGGACAAACCAGTGATGGGCTCATACATATGTTTAGGTGCACCACAGGGGGCTTGTACAGATGTTTAGGTGTGCCACAGGGGACTTGTACATATGTTTAGGTGCACCACAGGGGACTTGTACATATGTTTAGGTGTGCCACAGGGGGCTTGTACAGATGTTTAGGTGTGCCACAGGGGGCTTGTACAGATGTTTAGGTGTGCCACAGGGGGCTCATACATATGTTTAGGTGTGCCACAGGGGGCTCATACATATGTTTAGGTGTGCCACAGGGGACTTGTACATATGTTTAGGTGTGCCACAGGGGACTTGTACATATGTTTAGGTGCACCACAGGGGACTTGTACATATGTTTAGGTGCACCACAGGGGACTTGTACAGATGTTTAGGTGCACCACAGGGGGCTTGTACATATGTTTAGGTGCACCACAGGGGGCTTGTACAGATGTTTAGGTGTGCCACAGGGGACTTGTACATATGTTTAGGTGCACCACAGGGGACTTGTACATATGTTTAGGTGTGCCACAGGGGACTTGTACAGATGTTTAGGTGCACCACAGGGGGCTTGTATAGATGTTTAGGTGTGCCACAGGGGGCTTGTACAGATGTTTAGGTGTGCCACAGGGGGCTTGTACAGATGTTTAGGTGTGCCACAGGGGGCTTGTACAGATGTTTAGGTGTGCCACAGGGGGCTTCTACAGATGTTTAGGTGTGCCACAGGGGGCTTGTACATATGTTTAGGTGTGCCACAAGGGACGTGTACATATGTTTAGGTGCACCACAGGGGGCTTGTACAGATGTTTAGGTGTGCCACAGGGGGCTTGTACATATGTTTAGGTGTGCCACAGGGGACTTGTACATATGTTTAGGTGCACCACAGGGGACTTGTACAGATGTTTAGGTGCACCACAGGGGGCTTGTACAGATGTTTAGGTGTGCCACAGGGGGCTTGTACAGATGTTTAGGTGTGCCACAGGGGGCTTGTACAGATGTTTACATGTGCCACAGGGGGCTTGTACATATGTTTAGGTGTGCCACAGGGGGATTGTACAGATGTTTAGGTGTGCCACAGGGGGCTTGTACAGATGTTTAGGTGTGCCACAGGGGGCTTGTACAGATGTTTAGGTGCACCACAGGGGACTTGTACATATGTTTAGGTGTGCCACAGGGGACGTGTACATATGTTTAGGTGCACCACAGGAGGCTTGTACAGATGTTTAGGTGTGCCACAGGGGGCTTGTACAGATGTTTAGGTGTGCCACAGGGGGCTTGTACAGATGTTTAGGTGTGCCACAGGGGGCTTGTACATATGTTTAGGTGTGCCACAGGGGGCTTCTACAGATGTTTAGGTGTGCCACAGGGGGCTTGTACAGATGTTTAGGTGTGCCACAGGGGGCTTGTACAGATGTTTAGGTGCACCACAGGGGACTTATACATATGTTTAGGTGCACCACAGGGGACTTATACATATGTTTAGGTGTGCTGCAGGGGGCTTCTACAGATGTTTAGGTGTGCTGCAGGGGACTTATACATATGTTTAGGTGTGCTGCTGGGGACTTATACATATGTTTAGGTGTGCCACAGGGGGCTTGTACATATGTTTAGGTGTGCCGCAGGGGGCTTCTACAGATGTTTAGGTGTGCCACAGGGGGCTTGTACAGATGTTTAGGTGTGCCACAGGGGATTTGTACAGATGTTTAAGTGTGCCACAGGGGGCTTCTACAGATGTTTAGGTGTGCCACAGGGGGCTTGTACAGATGTTTAGGTGTGCCACAGGGGGCTTGTACATATGTTTAGGTGTGCCACAGGGGACTTGTACAGATGTTTAGGTGTGCCACAGGGGACTTATACATATGTTTAGGTGCACCACAGGGGACTTATACATATGTTTAGGTGTGCCACAGGGGGCTTGTACATATGTTTAGGTGTGCCGCAGGGGGCTTGTACATATGTTTAGGTGCACCAAAGGGGACTTATACATATGTTTAGGTGCACCACAGGGGACTTATACATATGTTTAGGTGTGCCACAGGGGGCTTGTACAGATGTTTAGGTGTGCCACAGGGGGCTTGTACAGATGTTTAGGTGTGCCACAGGGGGCTTGTACATATGTTTAGGTGTGCCACAGGGGGATTGTACAGATGTTTAGGTGTGCCACAGGGGGCTTGTACAGATGTTTAGGTGTGCCACAGGGGGCTTGTACAGATGTTTAGGTGCACCACAGGGGACTTGTACATATGTTTAGGTGTGCCACAGGGGACGTGTACATATGTTTAGGTGCACCACAGGGGGCTTGTACAGATGTTTAGGTGTGCCACAGGGGGCTTGTACAGATGTTTAGGTGTGCCACAGGGGGCTTGTACAGATGTTTAGGTGTGCCACAGGGGGCTTGTACATATGTTTAGGTGTGCCACAGGGGGCTTCTACAGATGTTTAGGTGTGCCACAGGGGGCTTGTACAGATGTTTAGGTGTGCCACAGGGGGCTTGTACAGATGTTTAGGTGCACCACAGGGGACTTATACATATGTTTAGGTGCACCACAGGGGACTTATACATATGTTTAGGTGTGCTGCAGGGGGCTTCTACAGATGTTTAGGTGTGCCACAGGGGGCTTGTACAGATGTTTAGGTGTGCCACAGGGGGCTTGTACATATGTTTAGGTGTGCCACAGGGGGCTTGTACAGAGGTTAAGATGTGCCACAGGGGGCTTGTACAGATGTTTAGGTGTGCCACAAGGGGCTTGTACATATGTTTAGGTGTGCCACAGGGGACTTGTACAGAGGTTTAGATGTGCCACAGGGGGCTTGTACAGAGGTTTAGATGCACCACAGGGGACTTGTACATATGTTTAGGTGTGCCACAGGGGGCGTGTACATGTTTAGGTGTGCCACAGGGGACTTGGACATATGTTAAGTTCCACCACAGGGGACTTATACAGATGTTTAGGTGCACCACAGGGGACTTGTACAGATGTTTAGGTGTGCCACAGGGGGCGTGTACATATGTTTAGGTGCACCACAGGGGACTTGTACATATGTTAAGTTGCACCACAGGGGGCTTGTACAGATGTTTAGGTGCGCCACAGGGGACTTGTACAGAGGTTTAGATGTGCCACAGGGGGCTTGTACAGAGGTTTAGGTGCTCCACAGGGGGCGTGTACATATGTTTAGGTGCGCCACAGGGGACTTATACAGATGGATGTTTTTTTCTGGGAATAAGAATCTCAGGAGAACATACTTCTAGTCGATTCAGTTCTTCTTGTTCTTTTTCAAAAGCTTCTTCTTCTATCCTGCGTCTCTCTTCATTACGACGCTCACGCTCTTCCTCTAACTTTTGCCGCTCTTCCTCCACTCCATCACTACCTAGATGAACAAAAGCTCATGAAGTAACTTTCTTTTTTCCAAGAGCATATAATCACATGTGGAAGCCATGATTTTATAATTAGCCCTTACATGCCTACGTGGCTGGAGGTTACTATCACTTTGTCTGTTAGATAGTAAACACCTGGTTTTAATATAATAGGAAGTGGAAAACATATTGAAACACAAAGGAACCCATCAATACTCCATGTGAATGATAACATGTGAGTACGTGTGTCATATACCCAAAGGCTAAAGAACTATCTGGAGCCCTGGTATACACAGTTGGAAGTTTGACCAATCCAAAAGGCATCCAGTCAATATCATCATCATGATTATCAATCTTTAGTTTCCAATAAATTTACATAATCACTGTTACTTTAGTGTTTAAATATCTGTTCATATTTCATATGTTAATTTTGACGAAGACAGACGGAGCAATGTTGCGTGTAGCAAAGATATTGATGGTCTTATAGGGGTATTGGAGCTTTAAAGTCTATCATAATATTTTGCAATGCACAATGCAATACATATCATGATAGATTGCATAATTTAAATTTTGCAGTTCAAAAGCTATCTGATACATTAATTGATGAATTTGAACAAAAAATATTAAATAAAAATATGATAAAAATCACTATTTGAGCATAAAAAAATGATATTGTGATACTTATCATGGAAAGAATGAACCCAAATTTACCAATATATCGATAATGGTGCACACCCTTATTGTCTCATCACCTTGGGAGGAATTAATCATGAACTTTCAGCGCTTCTCAACAAATGACATTCTGTATTATCAAGGTCTTGTCTGAAAGAGTCTGGAGTTATCTACCTTTCCATGCTGTGTCCAAGGAGATAGGAGGAAGACTTGACGGAGGAAGAACTGGTGTTGTCAGATCCTCTCTCGGGTGATGTCCACTCTGTGTTTCAATTGGCTTTAAATGGTCTGGGAAAACAAACAATGCTAAGATGTGACTATCTTGGGGTGAGGTGAGGTGAAATGGGGTTTAACGTTGCGTCCAAGATTATTGCACTCATATTGCGGTGTGAATGCACGTGTGTGTGTGTGTGTGTGTGTGGCTGTTTGTACTAGTTGGCACTGATGCCGATTTACAGTGCTAGCCCACTGAGATACCATGCCACAGTTTAACACGAATACCCCACGCAGACACAGTAAACTAACTCCGAGCCGACCAGTCCTTGTTTTAGCCTTTGAATGCCGAGCGCGAGACAGGGTAACAACAAGTACACTCTTTTAACATCTTTTTGTATGACGCAGCCGGGGATCAAACCCAGGAACTTCCACTCTCCTGGCAAAGCCTCTGGAATGGGTTTAGGCTTTCAGGGTTATGAGTTCAAAACATATATTCAGAAGTTCTCAAATACATACAGTTCATGTTACCAACCAGGATTGACAGACAACTCTGTTGGCACTACAATACTTTAAGGATTCCTGCATACATCTGGCAAACTATTCATGTCATGCAAAAGTATTTTTTGCTGACTGTGTTGCATGTCCAGTGGGTTAGACTGCAGATGCAGTGTTAAAGGCAACTCTGTCGAATGGAGGAGCTGTAGCACTGAGAGCTTAAATTTGAAATTGGCCCATATTACTACCAACATGTAACATGGTAGCAATTCTTATCAGTTATCCTTTGCTAAAATTGCCTTGCAGCAGCAACAGATTCCTTGGCAACAAGTCAATGAAGAGAACAGGCGGGCACTTTGTACTGGGGCTCACTCACCATCACCCGGACTATGTCCATCACTTGACTCGGACCCTGCTACCACCATGATGCCAGGAGACCCTGGTCTTGCCTCCAGGTCTGATACTGTGATTGGACGATGCTTTACTCGCAATGCCTTTCTGAAACACAGAGTTGTCTCCCTTGAACACATCATGTTCATCAATTCCATATTTCATTCTCCATAGTTTACAAGTTACAATGGTTATGCTCCACATACCTGTTCTACAAAGGAAGATTTGATAACGGCCTTTATTGGGCCACTTGAAATGTCAAATTCAGGGAAGTTCGGCAAACTTGGAAATATTGGAATGAAAAATATCAGTCATGTACAAATAGCTAACATTAAGTCTTTTTGCTTCCTCAAACTTGCAAGCTTTGGACTTCTGACATGATCAAATACATAAATATGGCAAAAACAAGTGAAAAGGCCTGTCTTTCAAACTTCAAATGAAGATCCAAGACTCCAAGACCCAGAATGATTTTTTCATCACAATGTTATGTTTGTACTATGTTACATAATTCTCTGAAACTCAGTCTAAGAAAAATGACTCATGTTCAAATATAAGTAAAATGCTCCCTGAAAACCTTAAGCTTTTTGGCACATTTTATCCTTATCTATGTACTTTGTACTGTCATGAGTCCCAAACATGCAACTATTGAAATGAACAAAGCTTAATTCTCATTCATACATGATAACTTTCGGAATTTCGTAAATTTTTGCTCACTTCTCATATATAAAGCAGAAAGTGTGGGACAAAATTAGCCCTTATCATACCTAGACATTTTAGTGCATTTCAAAATTCACATGATACAAATATTCAGTGGAAAGGTTACTCAAAACAAACTTCCAAAATGGACAAGAGTTTTACCTTAGCTTTCATCAAAGATTGGGTGTGTTGGCTTTTTATGTACTCTAGCTAACTACTTACATGCTAGAAACGTCTTATGACACCTACTCAAGTATTGCAGAAATGACATGACAAGGGATAGCAACAAAACTGTACCTAAGTTGGGAATGATCTACAGCAGGATGGGCAAACAGTTTTATCCTCTAGGCTATCCCAACACCTGATCTGAATTGACTTAAAGATTTTTAAAACTGTTGACTAATGACAAAAGAGACTAAACATTTACCATCTCTCGCAATTGACACCATTAAGTCCCAACAGGGTGTGTGACTCTCAAAAAAGCAGATCAACAAAGTACATTGTATTCAAGTGGTCAGAGTAGGGCTGTCCCCACCTACCCATTGTCCAGCCCATCATCGGACATGTTGGAGATGTCGAACCTCGGCACAGGCTCCACTGATGCCCGGCCCTTGTCTCGACCTCCGCTCAACTCCTCAAAACTGTCTGCAATTACAACATAATGATGATTGAAAACTCAAGATACAAAAAATAATAAATATCTTCATACAACTGGAGAACTGGCACTCTCCTCAAATGGACATTTATGCCTTGTTTTACATTCATTTTTCTGTTACTTTCAGATCATATTAGCATCGATCTATCTATTGGGATACAATGACATCCTTCAACCAAGTGAGTGAGCCTGGCCACCCAATCCCATCAGCTGCCTCTTAATGAAGACCAATTCTAACATGGAAACTAGCTCTGTTAGCATAATAGTCATGACATGGAACACTGTTTATCAACATTTGGCAATCACTTCATAAAGATCCCTATACACAGATATTACATGGTTTTTATAGCTGAGCGACCAATATTCCATCAGAACACAAAACATGAAGAAAAGGGGAGAAAAATGAATTGTCTCAAAAATATTTTACATCACTCAGTTCAAGTAAACATTCAAAGTGCATTAAGTTTATGGAAAAAGGTAATCAAGGCAGTTGTTTTTCATGTTGTGTGCAGGTCCGGGGCATCACCTTGGATTATAGTCTTTGAGTCCTGGGTACTTTGAGTTTGTAGGTCCCATAATGACTACTCCAACTACAATTTATTTGTTGTTGGAGTGTGTGTGATGTTTTATGCTTATTTTAGAAAGGAAAAGGCATTATTAAGTTATATACAGTTACCATGGTTACCATTGTCATATTCAGCCGAGGAGGACCTCTTGCTGGCCTGCTGGTATGGTGTGGAAGACATGGGCCGATGCAGCAAGATGGGACTCTGTGCAGGGGACTCGGCATGATGGGAGCCTAGCCAACACACCAGATACTGAACTTTGGAACTGGAACTGCATTATACTGCTGTAGCGATTTAACAACATACAGAATATCTATAACCATTTTCACAAGTTTTGAGTGTGAGTATGGTATTAGGCTGGTTTTCAGCAATATTTCAGCAATATCACACCAGAAATGGCCTTCACACATTGTACCCATGTGGGGGACAAACCTGGGTCTCCGGTGTGATGAGTGAACGCTTTAACCACCAGGCTACCCCACCATCCTTAAATCTCAGGTGAAAACAGATGTGTATGATCAGGATCAAAATACACAGGATCTAAATCAATTTACAGGATTGATAATTTACAGCTGTATAATTATTGTCCCACATTTTTCCACATGTTATTGTGTTTTCAGATACAAAAACATCAGTCTGGTGATCTTGTCAGATACATTTTTTTCCAGAACTTCATTTATATTTCCAGTATTGCCGCAGTAGAGTGGAAGTGTCTCCTACCTCTGGATGCTCCCTGGCTGACTCGTTTAGGCGACAATCTGTCCGGGACAGAAGCTACGTTGGTCATCTGGTAGTGGAAGTCAGTATATGCTCTCTCTAAATTCTGTTATTATACAGGATACAAGTCATCAGTTGAATGTCACATGTTATGGCCTACCAAATAAGACTATTTTGCAATAACATGACCCAAAACAAAAAACATAAAATGTCTTTTAGCAACTTAATCCATGTGTCAGAACTGTTTCAAGTAAAACCAACATCACATCACAGGTGTTTGAGATTGCCTGAGGTCACATATTTATAACATTTGGTATTGCAAGCCCCTTATGCCTGAAACCTGACAAAGGTTTTCTCAAGTGCTAATTATTTCACCCAATATTAACATGATTAAAATCAATCATACAAGCAATGATCATTGTTTTTATTAATCAGGAACCTGAGAACATATTCTCACCTGAGCTTCCTTCTCCAGACTCTTGAGGCGGTACTTAGCCTCCGCAACTACATCGGCTGAGGCTGCTGACGACACTTCCTCCTCCGATATCTCTCCATGATGACCACCACCAAAGACAAGATCAACATCAATATCATTGTACACATCCCTGGCATCATATCGACCAGGACGTCCTTGACTGCTGGAGAGACGACCTTGACTACTGGACAGTCGTACATTGGACGTGTCTCGAAGCCTTGATTCCTGGCCCATTGATACGTGGGATGCACTTGGAAGTCTGAAATCATGAAAATATGATGGTTCACAGACATATATCTGCCTTTAAATTGTCAAGTTTGAGTTGTCTTGTACAATCTGAACAAAATCGCCACACAAATATTAGAACTTTCACACAGAGACAGGTGCTTTTTCCTGCATCATGAAACAAGTTACTGAAAGCAGATGATATTCACAATCTGACTCAAAAGCTGCATCCTGTGAGTAAAATTGTATCGGTGTGTTGATGCTGATGAACTTGAAGAAATTGAACTTTTAATGTTTGGACAAGTATGTGATACAGGAGTTAGTTTTGTTTAACGCTGCTTTGAACAGTATTCCAGTTATATCACGGCGTGTCAAATTAATGTGGGAGGAAAGCTCGAGGCATTGCAGGTCTTAGACGTTTACCACTTTGGTGAAATCCAAGAGCACAGGATGGTGCTGACAGATCTAGAAACGTAATCGGGGCGAACCGGATCAGATTTGAACCCATGATCACAGGACCAGCGTGCCAAAGGGACGCAAGTCTGCAAAGCGTATTGTGGCACCTTAGGTGACTGGTGTGTAAGATGCAGGAAGCCATATAGACTTACCCTCCACCTTCCTCTGTGTGTGGCTTTCTGTACACCTCATTGTTGAGAGCTGTGGAGATGATATCAGATATCACATATATGATGGACAGTGAACATTTTTGTTTTGGTAACGTGCCATATTGTAAAAAAGTGATGCCGACACTATTGACTACAGAACTAACTGTTCATTGTCTATTTTCTATTTCTTATTGCATTTGTGGCAAAAAGATAATTTACTTGGATATTACATTTCATAATTTAATGAAATTGTGATGAAGTATGAAGTAGATCCAGTAGTGATCAAATTACAATAAATCTAACAATCAAGCGTATTTAAGTTCACAGGCTGCCACATCTCTTCAACGCCAACTTGTCATGGTCAAGGTGTGAGACTGCCTTGTGATGCATGAGTTGCGTTTCTAACTTCACAGGCATTGTCAGACTGCCACATCTCTTCAACGCCAACTTGTCATGGTCAAGGTGTGAGACTGCCTTGTGATGCATGAGTTGTGTGTCTTACTTCACAGGCATTGTCAGACTGCCACATCTCTTCAACACCAACTTGTCATGGTCAAGGTGTGAGACTGCCTTGTGATGCATGAGTTGTGTGTCTTACTTCACAGGCATTGTCAGACTGCCACATCTCTTCAACGCCAACTTGTCATGGTCAAGGTGTGAGACTGCCTTGTGATGCATGAGTTGCGTTTCTAACTTCACAGGCATTGTCAGACTGCCACATCTCTTCAACGCCAACTTGTCATGGTCAAGGTGTGAGACTGCCTTGTGATGCATGAGTTGTGTGTCTTACTTCACAGGCATTGTCAGACTGCCACATCTCTTCAACACCAACTTGTCATGGTCAAGGTGTGAGACTGCCTTGTGATGCATGAGTTGTGTGTCTTACTTCACAGGCATTGTCAGACTGCCACATCTCTTCAACGCCAACTTGTCATGGTCAAGGTGTGAGACTGCCTTGTGATGCATGAGTTGCGTTTCTAACTTCACAGGCATTGTCAGACTGCCACATCTCTTCAACGCCAACTTGTCATGGTCAAGGTGTGAGACTGCCTTGTGATGCATGAGTTGTGTTTCTAACTTCACAGGCATTGTCAGACTGCCACATCTCTTCAACGCCAACTTGTCATGGTCAAGGTGTGAGACTGCCTTGTGATGCATGAGTTGCGTTTCTAACTTCACAGGCATTGTCAGACTGCCACATCTCTTCAACGCCAACTTGTCATGGTCAAGGTGTGAGACTGCCTTGTGATGCATGAGTTGTGTTTCTAACTTCACAGGCATTGTCAGACTGCCACAAATTTTCAACACTGACTTGTCATGGTTGTGAGACTGCTTTGTGATGCATCAGTGTAACCTGTAACCTGACCTACCCTGGTGCGTCATGGCGAGATGCTGGCGGAGATCAATCACCTCTCTGTTCATCTCCTTCATCTGTAGTGTCTGCTCCTCATAGTGGCGGACCAACTCTCGGTTCCGGTCAATCTGAAGACAAGGCACAAATACATCAACACCCACAACTACATCCATATCCACAATTCATGTTAATAATAGTAGAATAAAATAGTATTCCAGCATATTGCTTCCATGACCAACTATATGCAGTTAGATGCCATTAATAAACACCCAGCTTAACTACGGCGGCCATTTTGTGAACATTAATATGGCACATGAGTGTAGGCTGGAATTCCAGGGTTACATATGGACTGGAAAAACAAGTCTACGCATAGTCCAATCAAAATCACATGATGAACTACACTTCCAGTTTGAAAACAACATGGATTTCAACGTTCAGATTTTGGTCGACTGTGGGATTGGCAAAGCATGTGTACCACAAACTGGGCTTCGACAGATATTTGGAAAATCTTGTCAAAAGGTGCTCAAGTGATTTTATTACCTTCTCGAGGTAAGACCAATTTTATAACAATACAGATGTTGATTATCAATCAGATCGTCTTGAGTGGGCGTCGCCAATTTCTTGGAAGCAAATGCAAGTAATATGAAAGGTGGAATCTGATTGGTCAATAGTAGGGATATGGATGGGACATAACTAATAATGGCCGCTGGTGGAGCTAAAATCGAGCCACGAAATTCCAGCCTAGTTCGGCAAGGGTGAAAACTGGAAGATGTAACTCCATCAACATCCACAACTACATCAACACCTACAACAACAACATCAACACCCACAACTACATCAACATCCACAACTACATCAACACCCACAACTTGTAGAATTTTCCTATTCGGAATATTCTATAAGTAATACGTTACCACTGTTATACCGAGGCTGTTGTCTCCCACAACTGCTGCTATAGCGAAATCTACCACAGAGATCTCAATTACCTCATGCAGCACGTGCGTAGCCACCTAGCTGCCATGTGACACCCTTCACTCTTGTCTCCTGCGAGAGCAAGTGCTCGGGGGACGGACGGGCGGGCAGCAGCCCAGTGGTAACGTATTACTTATAGAATATTCCGAATAGGAAAATTCTACAAATTACATTAAGTAATACGTTACCACTGTTATACCGAGGCTGACTACCACAGTAGGCGGTGGGGAGCACCTACAACCCGAATCCTGACTGCTAGCGTTCCTTCCGACCAGCGGAAGTAAACACCAAGGCGGAAGCACTCGATGCGCATGCACCTAGCTAGGCGTTACCCTATAGGAATACCAAAGCACTGTCAAGCGCATACCGTAAGGCTCAATCGTCATTGCCAAAACGATTGGTGACTCCAAACGGCCCCACTGGATAGGTATTTCATCGCCGCAGCGGATGAGAACACTGTATCCGCGTGAGCTTAATCTTAGATCAGGTTAAACAGTCGAAAAGAGGGAAATTAATTTCATTCAGACCGTATATCCCAGAGCAAGCCTACTTAAAGTATGCATTAGGCGCGTGACCTAATTCCAGTATTTGTAAGCATGCATCACAAGGTTGGGATACACGACAGACAATTAAAGACATAATTGTCAAAATACAAATAAGGACAAAGCACACAAAAAGCCGCCCTCACCTGTGGTGTGAGTGCGCTGGTTTGCGGGACCCCAACTCCTGTACCCACGGCAGTGGGAACATTGGAGTAGACCCAGATTGACCACCGTGCAAGGTCAGACGCCTGAGGAGTTCGGAATTGCGCTGGGCACACCCCTTAGGTGCCCGCTTGCGCCGCGATCCGCGGGCCAAGACGGTGCACACTCTCCACGACGGCATCAGCGACCTGTTTGAGGTAATGATTGGCAAAAACCGAGTCAGAACGCCAGTAACAACCTCGTAATATTCTGCGAACAGAGATATTCGAGTGTAGGGCAAATGTTGCCGCTAGCGCCCTGATCTCGTGCGGGTTTGACCCCGCTACCGGTAACCCCCGAGACCGGTACGCCAGATTGATGACAGAACGAAGCCACAACGCAATCGAGTTGCGAGGTATGTCAACCGTGCGATTAGGGTTACACGATATGAACAGACGGTCACGCCCTTGTCTACGTTCATTCGAAGCCTTAAGATAATACTTAAGGGCCCTAACCGGACACAGCGCTCTGTCCTCAGTATCAGCAGGATGTAAGATTTCTTTGAGTGATCTTACAGTGAATTCTCTCTCCGTTTGCCCGACTCTCTGATTCTTGGCGACGAAGCCCATGAGCAGGCCCAGGCGGACCGCTCCTTCGTCACCCCTATCGAATCGTACCTTGGCGACACTAGGGAAAGATCCCAGGCCGGTGCCCGAAGGCGGCCCTTCTTAAGATCGTGTTGTTTGAAACCCTTGATAATACCCCGTATCACCGGCTCTTTGGAGAGACTGGTACCCATAGCAACGTCCCGTACCGTAGCAACGGACGAGACATAGTTGGCAATGGAACCCCCGGAGAGTTTCCGGGTCTCTCGCAAGTGAGACATGAAACGAGCAATATCCTGCACAGATACCTTATCTGGCGAATGAATGCGATGTTTACAACACCGCTTCGTGAAAATAAACCAACGTGCATTATACACCTTCTGGGTAGAATCACGATGCATACTAACGTATGCCCGAGATGCCTGGCGAGAAAAACCTTTACTCCTCAGACGCTCGGTGACAACATCCACACGTGCAGATTGAACTGCCCTGCGTTTGGATGAAGCTGACGGGTGTGAGGGTGGATCAAGAGATCTGGTCTCACAGGCAGTGGAAGTGGCGACTGCGTGACCTTGGTCAGCAAGTCGGGGTACCACAATCTGTTCGGCCACATGGGCGCGATCAGTAACATTTGACAGCGAACTCCTCAGAGCCGGCTTAGAATGTGTGGTATCAACGCTGTCGGCGGGTAAGCATAAGCGTCCAAGCCCGTCCAGTCTAACGCGAGAGCATCGTGATCGATGGCCCTCGGGTCCGGGACTGGTGATACAAACAACGGGAGTTGATTGTTGAACCGCGTTGCGAACAGGTCGACCATCGGACGACCCAAACGTTCACCTCCGTTGCTAACAACTGGATTAAAAACCGTTGCAGCGGGCGGAGTTGGAGACGACCCCATTCGGTGCAGTCCTGGGCTGATACAAGTAGCCCTAACAGCTATTCCCAAAAGTGAACAGTCTGTTGCACCGCTAAGACTTTCGCAATCATCGCCTGAATCTTGTGCCACCAGTCTGGGGGGACAAAGAGGCGATGGGACACCGTGTTGAACCGACCTCCGATGAACAGCAAGTTCTGAGAAGGGGTTAACTCGCTCTTGGGGAGATTGATAATCCACCCCAATTGCTCCAAGAGCCGACGTGCGAAAACGAGATGGCGTGACAGGGTGTCCGTCATTCGATTTGCTACTAGCGAGTCGTCCAGGTACGCGAAGTACCAGACACCCCTCCTGTGGAGGAACCCCACTATGGGGGTGGTTAACCGGGTGAACAGCCAGGGAGCGGACGTGTGAATCATTCTGAGTTCGGCACTGTCCTACTTGGGAACGAGAAATATCCTGGAGTAAAACCCCGATGTTATTTCTGGTAGAGCTTACTCCCGTGCTGCCCCTTCTCCACCAACCTGCCGATGGCATCGGCGAGGATGGGAAGATCGGTTTCCGAATCGAAACCTGCCAACGGGGCAACGGTGAGCGGCGGATTTGCTTTGAGATCAAGCCGATAGCCGTACCGAATCGTGTTGACCACCCACGGGTTGTCGAACACTTGTTCCCAATTCTCCCAGTAAGTCTGGAGTCTGGCTCCCACTGGGGAAGGAGAGGGGGCCCTGACAGGCTGCGGCAGGCGCAACTGTCCAAGGCCAAGTGACTCGGGTTCGCCTAAGGGCCAACCGAAGTTGGTGCTGTCGGCATACGAACCCCTCCAATGAGAGTCACCTGGAGGGGCCCTTGCCATCCTTAGACGACTTGGGCTTCCCCCAGTTCCCCGTCTTCCCGTGAAAGGGCAGCTGATTGCCCATACCGGAGCCCTCAGGGCGGGGCTACTTCCCAGAGGAAGAAGAACCCGACCCCTTAGACCTACCGGCCGCAGCAGCCTGGGGCGCGCTCCGGTTAGGAGCGGCACCCAGGCGCCTATGCAGGGACCCAACAAGAGCAAGTGTGTGCCGAGAGTCCTCGGCAACGTACTCCAGGGAAGCATCTAAACTGAGCAGGCAGTTGTAAATGCGCTGGTCACGGTCCGTGGGAGAACCTTCGACCAGACTGGCCGCTGCAGCCAAGTAAGTGTCTCCGTGAGACATGGAGTGCTGAGCGAGGGCGTCCAGCTGGTGCAAGGTAGCTTGCGTTACCGTAGCAGCCGGTGGGGCACGGACACCCAACCGCTCAACATGGGCCTCCGCGGTAGGACCAGCCTCGGGAAAGGCAAGGTCAAGTACCGGGAATAAACCCTTTCTCCACGACGTCGGAGGCAACAGGAGACCCCGACCGGAGGCCGCCGCGAAGGCGTTCTCCAAGGAACGCTTGATACCGCGCAGCAAGGTTGATGCGGGGAAAGCCGTGTCGGAAGACTCATCGTATACCTCGGAGGAACCCACAGTCGTGGATTCCCCGCGGTACTGGCCGTTGCATGTCCTCAAAGAGGTCATAAACCATGGCCACGCGGTCCTTAACCAATAGCGGGAGCACCGGTTCGGGGGAAGGACCGGTGACCACGGGAGCCGCCGCCGTACCGGTGGACCCCGCGGCCACCAAAGTGGCCGGGGACGGAACAGCCAGCGGCCTATCCTGAGATAAGGCCGCCAGCTTGGAGTCCACAAGTTATGCAAGTAATGCAGCGACGGAATCCCCGGACAGCCCACGGGCCGCCAAGGGATCCGCCGCAGCCGTGGTGGTGGTACCCGCAAGGGGACCCCGACCGGACGAGCCGGCCACCACAGGGGTGGAAACGGACTGCACATACAGCCGGTAGCGCTCGCTTGCGGCACACCCCGCAGCTCCTGGTTGCGGGGGTAGAGGGGGTGGAGGGGGTGGAGGACGGCGAAACATCCATGTCAGACATTTTGTTTGTACTATGAACAAAGAGCAAAACATGGTTACAACACACGCACCACAAATAGTCATAAACGAGTATTTTAACAAGAAAATAAACGAGCAATGGGAATATAGAACATACACATATAACATATAGAGGAATAAGTGATGTAAAAACCCCAAGATATACTAGAACAGGGGAACGTAAGACGCAACGTGCATACGAGACACCCCGCAAGTATATAGAAAAAAAGGGCGTGAAAAATATTTCCTTTTGGCGGGAAAAATATTTCCAAGCGTAGTTACAGCAAACGCCCCGTAAAAGCACAGTTTATTAGAGAGAATAAACAGTAATAAATATCACCGAATGGTCGGAGAAACAGGAACGCTTGAGCAGTTTATTGTACGTCTTGCTAGAGCAAGCGAAGAGACAAGAGGGAAGGGTGTCACATGGCAGCTAGGTGGCTACGCACGTGCTGCATGAGGTAATTGAGATCTCTGTGGTAGATTTCGCTATAGCAGCAGTTGTGGGAGACAACAGCCTCGGTATAACAGTGGTAACGTATTACTTAATGTAATTACATCCACACCCACATCTACATCCATAACTACATCAACACACACAACTACATCCACACACACATCTACATCCACAACTACATCAACACACACAACTACATCCACACCCACATCTACATCCATAACTACATCAACACACACATCTACATCTGCAACAGACCACAGTTTCTTAGGCCCCTATTACAGGATATGTTGAATCTTGGATTCAAACCTGAAACCTGGATCCAGGCAGATAAAAGAAACGACACACAGAAAGCAGTCACCCTACCCCATGGGGACACCGACTGTATACATCATATTCACCTACAATGGATGTAACATACCTCATCCTTCAGCCGTGTCTCAAGTTGCTGTTTCTGTTGTTCAAACAACACCTGCTCCTGTCGGAGATTCTCCCGAGCCCGCTCCAAGTCCCTCTGCATCAGCAGCGTCTCTGGACTCGGACGTCGGAGCTCTCGGAGCAGCTCTTCTTGTCCTTGAAACAACATGTATATCATGCATGGTCCTTATCTCTGTATCAAATCAACAGTTCAAGACGACAAGTCAAACTAAGGCGTAAAAAAATAAAAATTTGTTCTTGGACAATGATTTTTTTAATTAAAGTGCGGGCGGGCGGCATTTTTTATTTTTTTTAGCTTGATCAAATTAGTATGTAACTGAACAGTTGTGAACCATCAATCTTGGAAAGGGCCTCCATACATAAACAAGCAAACAAACTCCTATTGCTGACATGACCATAACACGAGATACAGAGTAAAACAGTGTGCATGTAAAGGGAAGTAACTGTGTGGATCGTATTGTTCTGAAGTATTAGGAATTTTTTATTTTTTTTAAATCGAAATAAAACCGAAACGTGCAGTAGACTTTACGATGATGCGGGCGACGCCGGAGAACCAAGACTATAATTGATTTTAGCCTTAAGATTCTCAGCATCCCTCCTAAACTATCCTGAATCAATGTGTTGCCAACTAGGCATTACTTTTCCTATGCTAATCATAGGGACAAGATTTACTGAAGTTTAAATATTAAGTTCCAATCAATGACAGTGTTCATGAAATATCTTTAAGAAGACCAGGCTCCAGAAATTCGGGAGGCCCTGCATGGTTGCTTTGAGCAGTTAAAACACCACTTTGTCTGCTTACTCAAAGTTATTATCTGGATTCGTAATCTTAATTTTACCTTGTCAGCAATAATGATCTGCTACAGAGTCGGTATCATGGTAAAAGTGGCAGATCACAAGGAAAAGTCTTCCTGGATTTTACCAGTCTTGGACTAGCAGAGTTGTGATAATTCCAACCCTGAATTTTAAATATCAATCTGCTAATGACTACCCTGATTTCGGAGAAACCATGGCTAAGTTTCACACAAACTAATGACATTACTTCATCGTCCATCATGTCAGCTGTATAATAATACATCATGGATACGTTTGTGTCAACTTACTTCCCCTCTCTCTTTCATTCATGGTGAGAAGTTCAGACAACCTCCTGAAACATCAATAACAACTGACCTCAATGTTTAACAAGACAGAATTGTTTTCTATAGGTGAGTGAGTGAGTGAGTGAGTGAGTGAGTGAGTGAGTGAGTGAGTGAATGAGTTCTCTCACGCTGTGGTCAGGTTGTGACGCTGCTCTGATTCGTGAGTGAGTGAGTGAGTGAGTGAGTGAGTGAGTGAGTGAGTGAGTGAGTGAGGAGAGAGCGAGCGAGCGAGTTTTGTTTAATGCCACTAAAGGCATGTCATCAGCTTGATTTTGCGGGAAGCCCCAGTGATGCAAGTCTTAGACATTTACCACTTTGGTGAAATCCATTGTGACAATCCAAGAAACACAATCAAGTAAAGAGGAACAGGGATTAGAACCCATGGCCATAGGTTTCTGGGATGCCTAAGGGACAAAACTGTGGACAACAAACTGTAGTGACTGAGATGACGAGGCCACCTGTGCAGCCAGGTTACTGTACACTGATTATCACTAACAGCCCAATAAAGCCAGAGCAGTAGCTAGCCGACACAAGATGAAGAGTGAGTGAGTGAGTATGGATTTACGGTGCTTTTAGCAATATTCCGGCAATATATCATGGCGGGGGACCCCAGAAATGGGCTTCACACATTGTACCCATGTCAGGAATCGAACCCAGGTCTTCGGCATGACAAGCGAACACTTTAACCACTAGGCTACCCGACTAACAAGATGGAGGAGTTAGACACCACATGCCCAGTTTCTGTTCTGCTCTCTGACATACTTACGTCCTGAGTGTTTCCATTTCATTACGTAAAACAGAGTTGTGTTCTTTGATTGTCTTGTAATCAGCCATCTGGAAAAAACAACAGAATCTTACAAAGCAAGGATAAGATATAATATGGATGAACAACTTCTTTATTACAATTAGGAGCCATGTTTTGATGTAGATTCTAACACCGTTATCGAGCAAGTGATCTTATCTTACTTAGCACTCCAACTTCCAAATGCCTCTGAAAGAAGTTAACAGAATCTTACATTTATAAATTGCAACAGTCATTTTCAGTACACAATTAATGTTATATATCAGCTAATTCAATTCATATGCACTCGGTGACTTGGTCACCATACACAATGGACACCGATTACATCATAATTGATTATTTACATGCTGCCTTCAAATAGCAGGAAAATTGATGAGTGGAGCATATGACTACAAACAAATAGATATATGGAGGAATTTAATCAGATGTTTGAAAAATGAGAATCATATTATATACAACAGTCCTTTATATGCTTTTGTTTGTTGTTTAAAGCCGCACTCAGCAATATCCAGCCAAATGCAGCTGTAAATAATCAAGTCTGGACCAGACAATCCAGTGATTGACATCATGAGCATCGATCCATGCAATTGGGACCACCCGATCCCGTTAGTCGCCTCTTACAACAAGCATAGTCGCCTCTTTATAATCAGATGTTCTTATAAACATGTAAAGTGAGTGAGTGAGTGAGTATGGTTTTACGCCGCTTTTAGCAATATTCCAGCAATATCACGGCGGGGGACACCAGAAATGGGCTTCACACATTGTACCCATGTCGGGAATCGAACCCGGGTCTTCGGCCTGACGTAAAGATGTAAAGATAACTTTAGTCAACTGCTAATAAATATGTTTTAACCTACGGCAGGAACGTGTACTTCAAGGGAAAAGAAATAATCTATTACATATGTATATTCCAGCTTAGAGGTGACATGTAGCCTCTCACACAACATATGCATGGTAATTATTTGTAATATGGGTTGTGTACCGTTAAATACAATACAAAGATCTTGAATCATGAATTTAATCGGCACTTACATCTCGGAGTTTGGAGTTGATGTATTCATTCTGCCTTGTAGCTGATACTTCAGAGTGGCGACATTCCTGAAGGAGCGTCTGAAAGAAAAACATGAACACTTAAAAGTCCATTTCTGCCATGATTACGATCTCCTTTGTAAGGCTGCGTTGCTGGAATTTGCATTGCAACATATTGGGATACTTAGGTCTGTTTTGTGACACACATTGCAATTTATTATAAGTTTCTCGGCAGGATATCGCCAAGGCTCGCTAAATACAATGTTTATTCCTAATACAGGATATTTATCATCCCCAAACACACTCGAATGATAACCTCTATTTATTACCTACAAGGGCAAACATATCAGTTCATAAAAATCATATGTGCCCTAGGGTTATATCACGTCACAAGACAACAGTGTATTGTTTCCATCATCCGGAAGGCATTGTTGACGTCATTCAAATCTTATTGTGATGTGAGGTGGGAATGACCTCAAACTAGAAACAACGTCATAGCTGAAGATTGTTGAATCATTCAACAAATTGTGGTTCCGCTGCTGCTGCGACAAGCTGGCCTTATAGGCAAACACTAAAATTCATCTCTGTATGTGGACATCTTTTTCGGTAATAAATGGAACATCATATTCGTGTTTATGTCATACTATGTTGAGGACATAGTATGACATAAACCCTCATATAATATCCTCTACCTATTGCCGCTAACATTTATATGAGTTCTGTAGCTGAGGACATAGTATGACTTAAACCCTCATATAATACACTCTTCCTATTGCCGCTAACATTTATATGAGTTCTGTAGCTGAGGACATAGTATGACATAAACCCTCATATAATACCCTCTTCCTATTGCCGCTAACATTTATATGAGTTCTGTAGCTGAGGACATAGTATGACATAAACCCTCATATAATACCCTCTTCCTATTGCCGCTAACATTTATATGAGTTCTGTAGCTGAGGACATAGTATGACATAAACCCTCATATAATATCCTCTACCTATTGCCGCTAACACTTATGAGTTCTGTAGCTCGAAGAGAAACAAATAAGATACTGTCAGCTGCAATGATGTGCATTCAGGAACTACACATGGGTCCGCCATTACTGCAGACAAGAACTGTGTTGCTGAAAGTAATGTTCTGTGGTGCCAACACACTGTACATTATGGTAAGATTGCACATTCCTCCTGCATATATTACAGCGACAACATACTATGTATTCTTCAACATTCCCACTGCCCTTCTATCACTTAGACAAAAATATCTCATGATATCACAAGGAAAAAGGTAATTACCGTATTCGTTGTAATAAACGCCCAGGGCGCTCTCAAAATTAGAAATAGGGGGCTATTGTTAAAAAATTATTTTGATGGGGAAAAAAACGGAGTTGAAAGATACATTTCGTGTTCATGTACGACAGATATGTTTTTCCAGAATTTAATTGCCCATAATTAAGGTTGCATATAACACACAAGTGCTTATCATACGCGAATAAATAAGTCTTGTGAACATTGATCAATCGGAAGGGGTGCTAATAGGGATTGTTCACTAGCCAATATATTAGCAAATATCGCCGTGGGCGCTTATTACAGCAGGGCGCTTATTACGTCGAATACGGTATTCCAAGATGTGAAAATTGTGTCCACTTTGTATAATCCCTGTTGTGAATCCGAGTAGCATGTTTGTCTTGTTTACCCATTTTATGACGATCTTAGGCAACACCTAATACCTAAATATTATTGGCAGTATCATCAGAAAGTAAATGTGTACAACTCTTTAGTTCTTTTCATGTAACAACTGTTCAGGCCTTGGCGAAATATATTTTCTAAGCCGTAAAGAAATGAAATAGATTCCTTGCTACTGATAACTGAAAATCACTGAAGTCCATCAATACGCATTTGGGTAAAATGCCAGAGAAATAGATTCACGTAAATACACATTTGTTGAACTAATGCGCCATAACTTCCTGATGTTGAACAACTTTACACTTGACACATAACTAATACATAACTGCCCGAGTTAAGAGATCTTCCCGAGGCAAGGGAGTTAACTGGCTATAAAAGTCCAGTTTCCACCCTTGCCGAACTAGGCTGGAATTTCCAGGCTCGATCGTAGCGCCACCAGTGGCTATTATGAGTTATGTCCCATCTATATCCCTCCTATTGATCATCAGATTCCCCCTCTCATATCACTTGCATTTGCTTCAAACAAAATGGCGGAGCCCAGTCAAGACGATCTGATCGATAATCAACATCTATATTATGATACAAATGGGTCTTACTTCGCGAAGTAAATCAAATCATGTGAGATGCTTGATTAAAACATGAAAAGATTTGGAAAATATCTGTGGACGCCGAGTTGGTGGTACACATGCTTTGCAAATTCTGCAATCGGCCATAATCTGCACGACAGTTCACGAGTCGGATGTTGATTTCGATGGGCGAAAGTATAAGTCCAGCCAAAATATAACTCCATAATTCCAGCCTAGTTCGTCAAGGGTGGAAACTGGACTTTTATAGTCAGATAACTCCCTTGCCTCAGAAGGATTGAGTAAAGAGCAAGGAGATCATAATTGATAATACCATGGTAACCAGAGCAGCCATGTTCCAAATCAGAACAGAAATCTGGTGACATCATCGGATCATCCATGAAGAGTTTTGGAAGATCTTTGGATTTATATGAATATTTATGGATCAAGTGACTCATTATCTGTGAAAGTATGGGCCAGATACATCTAAAATATTATAACAGGGGTCCCTTTGTGTATAGTATGGATGGTTCTGTGATCTGACAATGACCCATGCTCGTTTCAAGGCCAGTTGATGGTGAGTTGATGTGATTTGCTGATCAGTTCCTACAGTGTTGTGTGCTCACAATAACGTCTTTGCGTTGTGACCAAAATCAAAGCTCATTGTAATATGCACGTATTATGCACAAAGTGGTGGTCCAGCGGTAGTCAAATATGGTATCCCAGTATTTTACTCATCAAGGAATACATTAATGTAGGAAGGCCCTAACCCTGGTTGATTGTTCACAACAGTTTATTTGGTAACATACTAGTTTGAACAACCGGGCCGTCTGCCAGCACTATATTTTCAAAAGCCATTGCCTGAGAACCAATTCAGTTATTTTTTTAAGCCTAATGTTAATATACATATTAAATGTACGGAAACAGCAAATAAATAACCTTTTTTACGTGAATTTGCTTGCCAAGGCCTGTAAGTTATCCTAGATAAACCCTGCGTAGGGACCTCCAAGTATCTCATGCGTTATCATTGTACGTTAAGGCTTAATTCTTTCTCAATGTGTCCTTTAAATGGAAGACCTACCTCCAGCTCATTGACCCTGTGAGTCTTGTCCCTCAGATCATCCTTGTAGGACTGCAGCTTGCTCTTCTCTTCCGACACAATCCTCTCCATCTCTGAAAGCCATGAAAAAAAAACACATTTTGACTTTTCATTATATTTTAAAACAACAGTATATTCAGGACACAAAAATACAATTCACAAGATTCAATTCATATTTATTTGTTTGTTTGTTTGTTGTTTAACGCCGCACTCAGCAATATTCCAGCTATATGACGGCGGTCTGTAAAATAATCGAGTCTCGACCAGACAATCCAGTGATTGACATCATGAGCATTGATCCACGCAATTGGGATCGATGACATGTATCAACTAAGTCAGCGAGCCTGACCACCCGATCCCGTTAGTCGCCTTTTACGACAAGCATAGTCGCCTTTTACGGCAAGTATGGGTTGCTGAAGACCTATTCTACCCCGGAATCTTCACGGGTCTCATATTTATTACAGAGATACATGAATCACACATGGCTATCTTCACTGAAGTAAGGTGACGTCAGACGTCTTTATGACGTCATAGTACAATTGTATCCTAGCACCTATAAGGTCCCTTTTCTCCTGGTGGGTCACACTTCCTGTCATTAATTCCATTGTGGCTTATCGAAACGAATATTCTCACCTTTGACCTTAGTTTCTCTGATTTCAATATTCTGTGTCCGGTCAATGAAGCGAGCCTGCGTGTCCAACTTGAACCTATAGTAACATGTCACACATCATCTGTCAGACACATTTGAAAACATTTCAAAATTAACACTACTGTCAGCAGATATAAGTTTCATTGTTAGTTTCTGGAAGGACAGACACAAGTTCACGTTGCTGATGGCGAAGTAAAGGAAAAAAGTTTTCACCTTTTGTACCCATCATGCCAATGTGGCGAAACAAACCAAGTCTAAGGTAAGAAAGGGAAATACATGGCTACCCATAGCTTGTCCACTGTGCTAAAGATGTAAAGAGTTGGGGATATCACTATTCGCCAAATGTTTCAGCGTTAGAAACTGGCACTAGTCCTGTAGTCCTTGCCAAACTGCCCAATAGTTAAGGTATGATAAGTACTAATAGAAACTTGCCATTCTTAAGGGGTTTTGCTAAATGTTAACACTGTAAGGTCTAGTGGACTAAATATGTTAGTTTCTACCCCTGCCAATACATCAAGTCATCGATAATATTCTCAGACAACACGATATGGGATACACACTTACCAGTATCAACTTATATTTTCATCCTGTACTGATTCATATGTTAATCCTGTACCATTTCACACATAAATCCATTCAATCATGTTTATATAATTTCAGGCACACACCTAAGATATTTCATGAACAGGGAATTTGCCATTATATTTAATGATAGAAAATACTTATGCATTGTACTGTCAACAAAGTATCGCGATATGTATGGTATTGGGAGATAGTCGTATCAAGACATACCTATAAACATGATACAGAGCACTAACTGTGCCATCTTGTTGTGGAGTGATATGTATGGTATTGGGACATAGTTGTATCAAGACATCCCTATAAACATGATACAGAGCACTAACTGTGCCATCTCATTGTGGAGCGATATGTATGGTATTGGGAGATAGTCGTATCGTGACATCCCTATAAACATGATACAGAGCACTACGTACTGTGCCATCTCGTTGTGGAGCCTCTGTGTGAACTCGGTGTTCTGTCGCTTCACCTCCATCTCCCTCCGCCGGATCTCATCCTCCTTGGCGCGGTTACGCTCCCCTTGAAGGTCCTTCTCCCTACACAGCAAATATACCACAGGCATTCAGTATGTTATCCCCTGCTGCTACTACACATCTCTTCCCACTACAAACAAGAGTCATCACGTATGACATATTGCCTCCCCCCAGTCTGGTGCAATTCGGAGTATGCCATTGGATTCCTTCTTTTCAGTAAAGAAAAAATAAGCTGTTCCGTATTTTTCAAATATCCCAATTCATCAAAAGACACCAGTTCACCACTAGACTCATCTACAAAGCAAGTTTCATCTGGAAATATTCAACAGGTTAACGCGGTTTGGAGTTCTGCTCCAGAACAAGCACTACCCTCATTTTCAGTGAAGTCCAACTTGTCGTCATGAAAAAATTATTAAAAACAAAAGTCTCAAATCATCAAAAGACTGATCTACATAGAAAGTTTCAAATCGAAATATTTAATGGTTTGGAGTTCGGCTCCCGAAACAGAAAACAGACGGACGGACATGGTGATCCCAATATCGCCCAGTTTTTAAAACCGGGGGGATAAAAAGCAAGATTCACTTGATCCATATCTCCCTGCAGTCACAACATGTTGAAGAGCTCACCATTATATTGCCAATGATTGATGTCTGGACATTTCATTTAATCAACAAATGATGTCGCGTTTGAAACCAGCTCATTATTACCCTTCATGTAGCAAGCCTATTCAGGGTGTCTTTCAATCCTTTCCATCACAGTATCCTTCAAACATTATGTTTTCATCTGCATCTAAATGTGACTGTTAACATTCTAACTCTATATCTTCAAAAATTCTGTACATCAATTTCAAGTATTTGTCCAAAAAATACTAAATTTCGATATTGAAATTACAGATATATAATTTCCACTTACTAAATCAATTGGCTGTAAAGTGTTAACAATGAAAACCAAATTGTTGAAATCCACATTGACACCAAACTATTGTACTTGGTGACTCCTCAAGTACTCAGTGGCTTGCATCTACCTACCTGTGTGTGAGTTCTCTTTCCCTTTTGACCTCCACCTCTCTCTGTCTCATGACTTCCATCTCCTCCAGTAGTGTCTGTCTCTGGGCATAGATCTCCTTCTCCTGAATCTACAGTACAAGACAGCATCACCAGAAACATCATCAGTAATATCACCAGAAACAACACTTAGAAGCATCCCCAGTAACATGACCAGAAACATCACAAATAACTGACCAAATGTATCAGCTTCATATTTAGATCCCCTTGTCTCAAACTACAGACAACTTAATACATTTTTATTACCTTTTGAACTTCAAGTCAAACGATTTTTACAATGCAGAGAGTGAATCAGGTTTCATATCAGCCACCAGTATTTCAGAAACGTAGTGACAGCCTAGATATCAATATAATCAGAACTGGTGCAGGTGACCAATTTTGGTTGCAGTCAACAGTTGCAAAGTCACACCATTTGTACCAAGGGTGAACAAAACTCTAACATGCTCATCCATAAAAGCCAAATTCACTCTCAGCAATTTCAGCAATCCTTTCCTTGCACATTTTTTACTGAAATAGGCACTGGAATACTTCTGCACTGGAACTCAAATAGGACTGCACAAGGGTTAGGAATCCACTCCTATGTTCCTATAAACATGATAAACATGTACCACCCACCTCCTGTTCCCGCTGCAGCCTCTCAATTGAGTTCCTCTCGCGTTCCACCAAGGCATCATACTTGGACTGGTATGTCCGCTCCAGCTACAGAGAAGAAAAGACACAAATACTTCAGCATAAGAAATAGTCTTCCCTTTGTCTTATTCATATCAATGAAATTTGTGTATATGATGGTCACATCCCATTTCAGACTTCAAAATGTAATTATCCCTATCAAATCTTAAACTTTTTTAGCCAAGGATCATAATGGGGATGATTTTTGGATTTACACCCACAACCAGCAAATCCTGACAGCTAAGGTAGACAACTCTGCACAGCAAGTTACACTGCTTAAGATCACTCAGCCTTATGAGACACCACCCACTTTGCCCATACTCAGTTGAATGGTATAACCTTACCTGCATACCAGTAGATTACACATTTTATCAGTGATATATTTCCTAATGGAGCAGTTGGCTGCCTAAAACTCTGACCACCAAGTTAATTTCAGGTTACAAATTCCCTACTTAGCCCCATCTTTCTCCCTACCTCTCTCCGCTGCTGGTCCATCTGGCGCCGACATTCCTCCTTCTCTTCCAGACGTATCCGGGCTATCTCCGTGTCCTTCATCCTGGCAAGCTGAATAGCAACAACAACACAGGCTCATAACTGAAACATCATACCCGCTTCATAGAACATGTTCAGAGTACCTAAGGAGGGATCATAGCCTAGTTTAGGTTCTCACCCATCTTACTTCAATCATGCAAGAGAACATTAACACTAATCAGGGTTCAAAATTAAGACAGTTCCTGGGGACCTAGAGATTTGATAGCATTTGGATCCACAGACTCCCTAAAACTTTTAGCATCAGAGTTATGAGGAGGCTCTTTCACTTTCATGCCAGCACTGGTCGTTCTTACCTCCCGTTTGAGCTCGGAGTTGTATCGATCTTCAAGCTGTCTCTGATAGGACAAGAGCCTGTCCTCCACCGCCACCACGCCAGTCCGCATGTGTTCATCTCGGCGCGAGGAATACAGGTCCTCCAGGCTCTGCAGCTTGTCATCTGCACCAAGGAACAAAGATGGACTTGAAAATAAACACCACTGATTAATGAGGTTGAATCTAGTAGAACAGAGTTACGGCCCTTTAATAGATGTGATATGACATGAACTTAGCTACAGTGACATCTCTCCTTTGGAAACAGAAAAAACTTTTCAACATAAATGTTATTTTTCCTTAATTATGGCAAGTAACATGAATTTCTAAAAAATATTTGTAGGTTAAGGGCTCAGTCACACATTCAGGATTTTTACTGCGATCCTTGATAGGACCATTCCTAATTAAAATTTGTCAAAAGTCTGATCAAGTCTGGTAAAAAATGACCGAATCTGTCCCGACAGCATCCCAATTCTCCCAAATGCGATCCAACAGAGATCAGACAGTGACCGGCCAGTGAACCGACAAAAGACGGTTCGAATTTGGCAAGATCTGGATGCAATCTGAACTCAATCGACAAGAAACAGCAATGAACAATTCACACCCATTAACCACTACTGCGTCCAGATCATAGCGTCGCTTACCAGATCATGAAAGTGACAGTCGGAATGCTTTTTCTAATCATGCAACCTCGAAAACGTTAAAACGGGGTATTCCGAACTACAGTTACGGCCCGTACGAGTGATTCTGTCAAAATTATCGTCTATCTCTCGCTTACATGGGATCAACATTTGAATGAGGAGGCGCTGCACAGTATGTGGGAAGCACTGCCATAGAATCTCAACCATATATTAGACATTCCGGAATGTTCATTCATTCAGTTTTCAAAATTTTCATCGAGAACTGTGAAAACATATTTTTCAAGCGTATTCTGAAATGGAAGTCGCCAGATTGAAATTAGTGCCGTAAAGCTCGAGAAAGCTGCTTTCTAATTGGCTGTTGTCGACTTCTTCTTAGTCATTTCAGTGGTCGGTCAAAGTTCGTGAAAGGTAGTTCTGACGTGACCCGTTATTGGATGTAACCTCTCTGGACCTTTCCCGATCTGTAGGACTCTGTTACGAACGTATACGACTGCGTTCAGACATTGATATGACATTCCAGATCATTAAGGATAGTAATCCGACTTTTTCACTTTTCATGTTGTAGAGCTGTCTGATCTCAATCGGGAGCCATTATCGGCACTATGTGAACCTGGCCTAAGGCCCAGCACAGTAATATTCCATCTATGTGATAGTCATTACTGGACCAGTCATTCTGAATATCAATATTGAGGGTAACGATCCGTGCCATCGGGGTACAATGAGTCAATGACCCGCAATTAACCAAGTCACAGAGTCTGATCACCCGGTCCATTTGATCCCCTCTTTAAGGCTCTTATGACTAGCATAGGTTCCTGGGGACCAGTTCTAACCTGGAATACCCACAGGGTGTAAGTCATATCAAGTTATGTTTTCATCGTTTACTCAGCTCAGTCTCCCACATGAAGGATGGGGTATACAATGATCTGTGCCAATAGCTACAGAACTGCAGTTCCTAGAACAGCAAATGAAACAACTCAAATTGTCAACAATCGAACTAGTAAGTCTTGTGAAAATATTATCTGAGAAAAAGATAACTAGCAAACATGATTAGGTGACTGGTCAAGGGTGTCAGCCTCCAGTTCACCTCAATATAAGAAAACTATCCTGATCTCATGTCTTTCATACTTAAGCATGTTCTGGTGCTACGTTGAAATGACTGCACCACCTGAACCGTCTCGTATAGGGATTCCTTTAATAACATACCTTCAACCCATCTATCACCAATATAAACAATGCAGCCATGAATCACAGCATAAGAGTCAAAATGTGAAATATATATCAACCAAGAAGAGACTTAATTCCCATTTTGCAACAAGTCGCATACAACCTTATGGTAAAGGTGAGTGAGTGAGTGAATATGGTTTTACGCCACTTTTAGCAATATTCCAGCAATATATTGCTAAAGGGGATACCAGAAAATGGGCTTCACACATTGTATCCACATGGGGAATCAAATCCGGGTCTTCGGCGAGATGAGCCAACACTTTAACCACTAGGCTACCCCACCGCCCCATGGTAAAGGTGAACCTTACAACATAACAGATAGGAACCTTTTTAATGAAATGCTCTTAATTATCATGAAAATATAATTGGAGACTACCAAAGTACATGATATACCGGTAACTTGCACAAAGAATTCTTTTATGTCACTGAAGTTGATCAGTTGATGAGGACTCACCTAGTGAAGTGAGAGGGCCGACTCGGATGAGATCCGTCTGAACACCAAACTCATGTGTAGCACTAGCATGTAGAGCTGACATCTCACTCAGAAACTGCCACAAGAATCCTTCAAAGAAGAAACATATATTAGAAAATATAAAAGCATCAACAAGAAATATTTGAATAAATAAATCTGAAACAGTGAAAATACCAGCTGGATTTTATGCTGGTGTTAGCAATGTTCCAGCAATAGGACATGAGTGGGACACCAAAACTAGGCTTTATGCATTGTTCCCATGTGTAGAAGCTATCCCAGGTCTTCAGTGTGATGTAAGAACGCTTTTACCACTAGGTTAAACCACCACCCGAAAATTCTTGTGGTTAGACATTTAATACATGTTATATGTGACTGACTTTATTTAATTATGAGGAAATTTTTAATCATGTTAATTCAATATGATTTCATATTGAAAATTACCTTTTGACGACTTTGAATTCGCAGCGGAAGTCTGCAAAGGACAAGGTAGGGACATTATTAATCACAAAATGCACATCCTAATATGACGTACAATATTTGCAATATAAAGCGCTCCGCTCCAATAAGCACCCCCTGACCAATTTCTACATCAATCCCTAAGTACCTATCATGAAAGTACTGAAATACTATCATGAAAGTGTATCCCGTGGATAAGCCGACCCCTTTCTACAGAATCTTTTTTTCTGGTCCTCAAAATTCAGCTTATTCGCGGTCATATACGGTACTTTTTATGTTTTTTTTTATTAAACATGTTAGTGTTTCATCAACATTTGAACCAAGCTTGATCTCTACAGCTCGACGTCTCACAACAAATATAACTTGCCATGTATGATTTTACTAAGCATCCCTCATAAACAAGTATCTATGTTCCAAGGGTGCTTATGATGGTGAATACAGTATTACATTTACACCACATATCTGTGACACAAACCTCACAAAAACTGTTACTTTCAGGCCACACTATAAGCATGACTATCGTTGTCATCAATTGATCAATCGAGATAATATCATGTGAGTATGATGAGCCTAATACTGGACCTACCAGTCTGGCATGGAGTCTGGACTGAGGGCTGATGTGGAGAAGCTGGAGGATGTCTGGCATGCTGAACACCTAAAGGAACAGTAAACACCATGCTACACAAGGGTCATCGTCAACCTCATTAAACACGTTAAAATCAGATCTTAGATCTTGCTGCCCCTAAACAAAGATCTGAGGATATCCCATTACGGGTCACGTCAGACCAACCATAGCGCCTCTTACCAGATCAGGAAAGTGACAGTTGGGATGTGTTTTCTAATCATGGAACCTCAAAAAGGTTAACACGGGGTATTTCGAACAACAGATACAGGCGGTGTGACTTATCACCATTTATCTCAATGGGATAAACATTTGAAAGAGAAGAGACATTTCATAACCAGTAGGAAGTACTGCCATACAATCTTGACCATGTATTAGACATTCACGAATTTCCTTTTGCTAAGTTTTCAAATTTTGATATAAAACAGGCATGACTACTGACATGATTGAGGACATTTTTAGTATTGCAACATGTTAAACAAGAAAGACTTGTTATTTGATTATACATGCATCATGATGTTAAATGTTAAAAATATCACATTCATTTACTCTTCATAAACACAATGTACATAATGAACATATCAGAAAACAGATCTTTCTGTGAACTGGAACAAGTACCATTACCTTGTCTTGGGAGAGGCCACTTTCAGGCAGAAACACACTGAGAGAGTAGTCATACTGACAGGCCTTGAAGTGGTCGGCAACAAGACTGTTAGCTGCCCGGTGGATAAGAGTGCCTTCATCTGGCACATTCAGGTCTCTCAGAGAAAGCTGTCCTCGCAATGAAGTCTGTAGCTCTGTCACAATACTGTTCCTTAGTTGAGACTGTGAACAAATTCACAAATAATTCATCAAAGTGATAAGTTGAACAAATAACTGATTGTATGAACTATGATTTTGTACCCACTTATCATGCTTATCATGTCTGGACTTTTTCTGAATGGCATCATAAGTCATGATTAAAATGATTTATTCAGAACATTCTGCACTAAACTTTAACATGTTAAATGATTATCATAATCATGATTATCACATGTATGATGGACTTATTTTGAGAACGATTTTCCTCTGATTTTGTGATATGTACATGAAAATTATGATGTCATTTATACACAAACTCAAACACCGGCTGTGTCATATGAAATAAAAAATAAAAACCTAACATCATGAATGTGACATGAATAATCCTGATCATCTATTATCATCACTATAATATCATGAACATTGGAATATTTTCAAATACACCTAGGTCAGTGCATTTCAAACTTGAATCTAAAAATGTTGGTCATGTTATAGTTCTGTACAGGCATTTGTTTACTTGTTTGCTTATTTTGAGCATGTTGAGGTATAATTCTTGCTCGTCCAAAATAAACATGGTAAATATCTTATCAATAAATGACCATGACATGGTCAAAGCATCCAATATAACTGCACTATTGTTCTACGATTGAAATCATGCAAGTATGTTGATGCTTATTTATTAATGATATTATTACATTTGGAGTATTTGATATACTTTATTCGGTGTATGATACCCTAAGATGTGATTGTTCTCAACCTGATGCATTGCAACCCACAACTCTAATATGTGCTAATCACTAATCCATAAACAGAGCAAACAAACAAAATTAACCCTAATCACAGTTTATTCTTACATGTTTTCATGTGGCCTTTTAACTTTTCAGTGTCTCCCTTTTGACTTTTGTGCAAAACTTGAGTCTAGTAAACATTCTTTGTATCTAGCAAACACAGCTCAAAATCATGATACTTTATAGCCCATATATCACAGTCATTTAAAATTGTTTGGCGCAGACAGAAAGTGAATGCTGCATTTGATTTATGCTATGGCAAAAACAGACTGCCATTCAAATGCCATGTTGACAAATTCTTCGCTTGGATTTTGATCATGCTTATTGGAAATTGTTCCTGCCTCCAAAGTTAAATGGAGTCTTACATTAAATGGGATCCAGTGAATAGAATGACTAAGAGCGTGAGGCATCCAGCAATATGCAACCTGCAATACATACATCACAAGACACCTATCACAGTGTAACACCGTCAGTATCAGTGGTGTTTATTAATATGCCACTTCATAAACATGTGCTGACATGTTGTTCCCCATTCAACTCATCAAAAGGAATGGTAAATTATCAAGATTTAAGGACAGAGAAAAACAAAAAGATATCTTTTGTCATGACTCTCACAACGATGATTACATGGAATCGTTTACTTCATATTATGTGTCCAGTTAAAGCGCATACACATACCTTGACAGAATCAACAAGTCCACGATTTCGTAAACTGTGATAAAGTCTGTTGCGAAGCTCCTCCGCTGATAGATACTCGGCTGGTGCGGCATCCATTGTGTTGGAGGCGTTTAATTCCCCTTCCACTTACACAGTCATTAACACATAGTTGTTAAACAAAAGGATTGCGCATTTTTCGTTGAATATTCTCTTTTGTTTACACTTTCCGAACAATTTTTGCGGAAGCGGCCATAGTTGAATGTCGCGGGCTGAATCCGCAGCAAATATTTTTCTCCATCATGTGTCGTCAATAATACATGTTCTTTTGCAAAAGTTTGTCTTAAATAAACATAATCACGTATTTTTCTAAAGATCTTTTATTTCTTCAGAATTGTTGGGTATACATTATATCATCGTCCTTGAATTCATATAGTTCTTAATCCTATTGATCGTCACGTGATGAGAAAAATCATGTGACCAAACTACGTACGGTCGAAGAGGCGTGATTTGGTAGGTTTGTTTATCTTCTTGAGTTCATAATAACCCACAGTCAACTAAAGACGACAACTTTTGACGTGGCATAGATATCACATATCACTCATCGTTCGTGTCATATCATATCATGATCATCGCTGCAGTGATGTCTCCCAGCTGAACCAGAGTCGGCTTCTAATTGCCTGGCGAAAACGGCACCTTACTTCCTTTTTTACCTTGGTACTGAAACAAATTAAAATAAACTCACATGGTCACAAACAAGTTTACATTATAAGAAATTAGCCACTACTCCAAATAACACTGATTGGGACGGGCAGCTAAATCTAGTGTGAAAACATCACATGCTTTGAAGTTTTATGTACCTTTACTCAAATTAACTCAATGTCAAGCTGAAACTGTATTTGAGATGCTTATTTCGCCCAACAAATAGAAGCCGTTTTCGCAAAATGCGGTGACGTTTTTGCCCGAGAAGTTGGTGATATTTTGCAGAGGTGCCGTTTTAGCCTGTCCTTGCTCCATCATTTACAGCTGCATGACATTTAATGAGAATTTTATTCCTGTTTCCAAAATTTCCAACCCAAACAAATGATCTGCCCCTACCCCTTTGGCTGAACTAACAAGTCTATGCATAGTCCAATCACAATCGTGCAACAAAATCGAAATCCGGTTCGTAAAACTGTCGTGCAGAATTCAGTTGTTTGCAGGATTTGCAAATCATTTGCACCACCAACTCGTCAACAGATATTTTCCAAATCTTTTCATGTTTCTAATGAAGGTGCTCACTTGATTTAATCTGATTGGTCCATAGCAGAGGCATAGAAGGGACATAACTCATAATAACCACTGGTGGTGCTATGATCGAGCCCAGCAAGTCAAGCCTAGTTCGGCAAGGGTGGAAACTGGACTTTTAAAGTCAGTTAACTCTCTTGCCTCGGGAAGATGTTAATGTCATTGCTTCAGGTTGACACTTATACCACAAATATTATGAATAAACAATATCAGCCTCACACCCCCACAGAAGTTTCTGGTCATGCTGGAGGCTACCCCAAACTTAGCACTGCTCATATGCTACAATGGTTACGACACTACCGAAATGCAGCTTTGGTGTCAAACAGGTCCATGGTATTTGTCAGAATAGAATTAAGAGATACTAAAATTCTGTAAATTAATGTGTCACCAAATTAATACGAGACCCCGAGCCAAAAATGCAACTCAATATCAATGCAACTCCACCCACCCCATCCCCAGTGGAATGATACATATTCTTACCTTAATCCAATCAAACAGCAAATAGCACCACTTGTTAGCGCAGTGTAGAGCACTTCCGTAAGAACGATAAACAGTGTTTTCCTAAAAACAACACACAGTTTATATGTTCATTCTGTTGACTGGCATTATGACGGTGTCAACAAACTTGAAGGCAGATTACAAGACAAATGCTGTAGATCTGAGGAGTGTGATGAAGCCTATCAGCGCGCATTGGGTCGTGCCGGCCTGTGACGAATTTATGAGTGGGTGGTGTCTGTCTGGACTGGTGGAGTGGCCTTGATGACACGAGTGGCTGGAACTCTTGACCCCAGCAGTGATGACTCACATGATGGCTATTGTGTAATTCCTATTCTTTGAATGACATGGATATACTTGTTACGACTGCTGCACCATGTTTTTTGCTGACATTCAAGTTGGTATTTGTGGAATTTTATGCTATCCAAAGTGTGCAGTGAGGTCGTCTTATTGTTGATAGTCATTTTGGAAACATAAATGCGAAGTTACATAAATACGAACAAAGACCACACTCTTTTTTCGTATTTATTTCACGCTTGCGTTAATTTTAAGATTTACAGTATTACACTGCATAATCAAGGATGGTTTACTCTGCTCATATAATCATGATCACCATCGATTCTTTCTAGGAAGACATGTTTGATGCAAGTACTCTGATATGGCTGGTCAGCTGTATGCTGCTTCCGGTCATCAACAGTCTGGACAATGGCCTTGCACGGACGCCACCCATGGGCTGGATGGACTGGGAGAGGTTCCGATGTAACATTGACTGCAAGAATGATCCGGATAACTGTATAGGGTAAGTTCTCTGATGATGAGAATTGGGCCACAGATGTTGATCTGTGGTTTGGTTTAATACTGCTTCAAGTATTGCCTTCATAATATCATGGCTTTGTGTTGGAGGAAGGCATAAAGTCATCCAGGTTGTAGTGAAACACGTGAATAGAGGTATTGGTATGTGTCTTGGATCTTGGCAAGGATAAGGGAGAGAGCTATGCACAGCAAATTGTACCTGCCCCACTCATGGCCTCAAACTCCCAGATGAGGCCAAACATAACAGATATTATGAATCATTGACTGCAGTTGGTAAAAAGAGTTGAGGTGGGTTTAACGTCGCGTCCAAGATTATTGCACTTATATTGCGACGTCCATGCACGTGTGTGTGTGGCTGCTTGTACTAAACCGGTGTGCTAACCCACTGAGATACCATGCCACAGTTTAACATGAATACCCCACTCAGACACAGTATACTGACTCTGAGCTGACCAGTCCTTGTTTTAGACCCTTAATGCCAAGCGCCAGACAGGGTAACAACCAGTACCATCTTTTAACGTCTCTTGGAATGACGCGTCCGGGGATCAAACCCCGGACATTCCACCCTCCAGGCAGACTCTCTACCACTAGACCCCGGAGGCGGTCAGTGATAAGAGAGATGAAAATGGTGGCATCACTTCTGAAATACTCAAGTGATGTCTAAGGCACCTCAGTTCAGAGTTGTGTCCCTTTGGCATGCAAGAAATCTTTGTTTGTTTGTTTGTTTAATGCCGCACTCAGCAATATTCCAGCTATATGACAGCGGTCTGTAAATACTCGAGTCTAGACCAGTGATCGACATCATGAGCATCAATCCACGCAATTGAGATACGATGACATGCATCAACCAAGTCAGCAAGCCTGACCACCCGATCCCATTAGTTGCCTCTTATGATAAGCATGGGTTGCTGAAGACAAATTCTAACCAGGGTTCTCACAGGTCTGCCAGAAATCCTAATAAATCCCGGTTCGCCACAGTTACATGCTCGTGGTTTTCACCAAAGTGGTAAACGTCCGACACATGCATCACTGCGGTCTTTCCTCCAACATTAAGCTCACATGCCATGATATAACTGGAATACTGTTCAAAGCAGTGTTAAACCAAAGTCTCTCACTCACTATGAAATGAAGCAAAGCATATGAAGTGGAAATGATACGCAATGCGTTACTGTGAGATACTGTTTGTTACTCCCAACCTTTCTTTATTCAGCTCCATAATACTTGCTACTTCAAGTGAACCTATGTGTTGTGTGGGTACAAAGTGTGAAGACCATTTCTGGTGTCCCCTGCCATGACATTCAGGGATTTAATGTGGATTCTAAATTTAGTGCCCATGGCAGGCTAATTGGGGAAAAAATGTTATTTTACAAAAAAATTAAGTTCATATTTTCTTAAATTTAGAGATATTTAAACATTGTTTTTTGTAATTGCATTCAATTCAATAATATAAAACTAAGAATTAAAGCTGTGTGTCTTTTAAGTGTTCTGTCATTAGTGAATTACAAATTACCTCCACAAAGTCATAAAATTAGTTATTTATAATATATATTAACATAAATTGGGAAATTCTTAATTCAGATTGGGGAATTTATAACGACATTTGCTGCAGACTTGGGGCTGAATATCGGCCTCTGAGCATAAATCCTTGATGTTGCTGGAATATTGCTTGAAGCAGTGTAAAACCATGCTCACACACCCACTATGGGTTGTTGCAAGAATTAATGTATGAGTTGTACTTTTTATCTGACTCACCAAACAGATTAAATGTAGCGGCCTCTGTATGGGTTGTGTTATATTCAGAGAGAAGCTGTTGATGGACACTGCTGACCGCATGGCTGCAGACGGTTACCGTGATGCGGGATACCGCTACGTGTCCATTGATGACTGCTGGATGGCCAAGCAGAGAGATGCTAATGGTAAACTGCAGGCAGACCCAGAACGTTTCCCAAGAGGGATGAAATTCCTGGCAGATTATGTAAGTAGAGGTAGAATCAGAGTGACAACAGAGACCATATAATAGAGGGACGGCCCTCTAGCCTATGCGCGAAACCATCAGTGCTACGGCTTGTACTGCGCAGCCTGTCCGGAAGCGAGCAGAAACGCGTTCACTGCAGTCATCGTTGTTGCCTTTTTTTCCCATGCAAAAGATATATTTCACAATACATAATTACGCTCATGTATTTCTTAACATTGTTAACATTACAACTGAGATTTGTTGGTGCCCTAAAGCATGTCGTTGTCACTGTATTTGATGACTGTGATCACGCTTTGTCTTTGTCCGAGAGAACAAAATGGCGCACATGTAAAATCGGCAAAAGTGCAGATTTTGATTTTCAATAACGGCCTCTAATTCGCAATGAAAGTCCTTGGTTACGTAGGTGTATAAAAAGGAGATATGTTAAAAATTGGCTTAGTGCCATTAACAAATTTAGGGCGGATCCGAAATTTCAGATTTTGACTCCAGAAATGGGACTAAATCTGAATTAATCCGAAATAATTACATCACAACTCTTAATTTTCGCATGCTTTCAGCCAAATGTGTTCCTATTATCGGTCCTGAATTTAATAGTTTTACATTCATCACGATTTCCCCTATGGCTTGGTACCAACGTTATTTAGGTACGATCGTTAGTTTTTTTGGTATGATTTTTGGCGCAAGGCCATATTTTACGTCACATATTTTAAGTTAAATTACCATATAGCAGACGACATAACATGCATTTTGTCTGTGATTATCATCCGCATATATCCTTTGAAACATTCTACAAAATGACTTATATTGTATGATATTAGAATTGTTTTTGTAAAACGCGTATTTTTTTTTACCATTGCTTCGCCATTTCTTCGTAAGTTTTACTTTGTTTCAGTTAGGCCTTATCACATATCGCGCATATACTACATACTACAATACTACATATTTGTTATCTTCTGTAGATTTTGTCTGTATAAATCATGACTACATTTAATCAATTATTTATTTTATGCCGTGTAAATATTGATTATGAGCAAAATGATATTGGCCTAAACCCAATCATAATAATGTAAATATGATTAAGGTACTTCTTACTTTGTGTATTTACACAACAATGAAAACATCATACAAAAATAAAAATCCGTTACATGAAATATTTGTATAATAAAATTATCATTTGCTTTGTAAATGCCAAGAAAGAAGAAGGATTATATCGGCAGTCGTCGGGAGAGAAGTTCCAGACAACAAGGTCGAAGGTGTCATTCAGTAAAATATATAGATGGTCTATTGTCCTTTTCTGTGAAAAATACATTTACATATTTGTCAGAGTTTGTGATGTTTTGTTTTGTTTTAATAGTAATGCATGTGTAGTTGCATGCTTTGTTCCAGGTTAGAGTTTAAAGTTTGTTTTTCATTGATCAGATATAGAAAACTATGATGAAAGAATTTTGAAAACAACAAACGTTACTACAGTTTACGATATACTAGTAGATATCTGGTACCATGCTTGTTGAAGCTATATTGTTATACCTGAAATACCTAATTATTTGTATGCTGAAATATCAATCTAATCGGGTAATATCGGAATATTTGGAATTTAACAGTAGCCTCCCTTTGAAAAAAAACTTACCTCACTCCGGCAAACCCCTTTATCACTGCTAGCCCCAAACTGGGATTAACCAGTAACGTTTGATTCTTTCGAAGCCCATTGTCGGACACATCGAAAATTCATTTAACAACGCTCGTAGTTTAATGTGTATTTCTAATTCATTGGAACTATTAGCATTATAAAATAGTAGCGAATTTACATGAAATAAAAACATTAATATGACGTCATTTTTTTTCTAGCTAATAGTAAAGCATTTACACCAGTCGGTGATCATGCATTTTTGCAAGTAAATCTAGTCTGGACTTATTATAAGATATGAAGTTAATATGGAGACATATTTTGTGAACATCGGGAATATGGTGATATGTTACAAGTGTCTTCCCTGCTTCTGGATGAGTTTTATTTACACTTCCTGAGTTCCTGTGCAATTTACCGGATCGTAGTTTTCTGTGGCGTTCGTAGTAGATTTGGTATATTTGTTTATTTATAATAGTTAACAATTGCAGCATAAAATGAGATCTATTAACGGATTTTTAAAACAAATAGAATGCGTTATAAAATACTTTTGATATCGGAACGGCTTTTTCTTCACACGCCCTCGAAAACTTACGCTTGTGGACAGACGTCATATTTTCATTTCCTATCTTTTTCTTTGAGTGAATCTTTTTGGGAGGTATTTACCAACGGCTTGGTAGCGGTAACATCACTGTCATTCTATTTAGACCAGGAAAATCTTTGTGATCCGCTAAGAGACGTCCTTTTATTGGATTGTCGCTGGTCGTAGTCGGAGAAATCTCGGCTAAGGGAATTAACTCTAGCCCCGGATATTATATAATATTGTTTACGTGGTTACCAGAATGGTCAGTCGTGAATGTCTGCACATCTATTGCGCATCTGCAGCGGTACAGAGAGGTTAACAGCGGGGTGTTGGGGTGTATCAGTTACATGCCAGACCGTAGCGCTGATGGTTTATGATAAACTGTTGGGGAGGGCCATCCCTCTATTATATGGTCTCTGGTGACAACAAATATTGCAAATACAGTCAGTGAGTGCCGTTGTTTAACACAGCACTCAGCATTAATTACGGCTGTATGACGGTGGTCTGTAAATAATCAAGTCTGGACCAGACAATCCAGTGTTTGAAATTATGAGAAGCGATCCACGCTGCCGCTGTACATTGACAAGTCATGACCAGCTCATAGCCAGTGTATGTTGTTGGGAACTATGCTAACATGGAATCACCACTCAATGTCCACCTTGATGTAAGAATATGGCAGCTTGTATGAGAAGATAAATTTTTGTAAATATAAATAAAGATACAGATAAAAAATGTCTTTGGATATGCCATTCTAGTGACTTGGGAAAAGTTTATAACAAATCTCATTAAAATCAGATCTTTGTTCTCGTTATCGCTAAACAAAGATATGAGGACATCCCATTACGGGTCATGTCAGAACGACCCTTCATCCGACCAATCAAAGCATCGCTTACCAGATCATCTCTGGAAGATGGATGGGCCAGAATTTTGCTCATAACATCAATCACTGGAGTGTCTGGTTCTGACCACCATCCTACAGCTGGAATATTGCTGCGTGCAGCATTAAACAACAAACAAAAAGACGGATGTCTTAGTGGTAACTTTGTAGACATTGTGTACTTAAATGTAACTGTTATATTGACATCATAATATTTGAGTTAGAAGAAAAACGTCTCAATAGCTAAAATGAAACCTGCTGGTTCACCTTTGATATCTTGGACAAAGTATTTACCAGTACATTATGTTTGAATACAGACTTTTAAAAGCATTTAGAAGTTGGCAGTAATCAGGAGATGTGTATACATACACAACGTTTCAGGGCTTCTTTTTGCCACTTCAACAGACGTAAACGTTTGTGTATATATAAATAAAGAAGCTGTTATCAATAATAAATCTTTGTCGTAAAAACAGACCGATTGTCGAATGTGAAGCATACTATTTTGTTTGAGTGTACAGGATCTTTACCTGTGTTTTATTTGATGGGTTCTAATTGAGAGACAGGAGAGTTCAGCCTTACTACATGAAATATCAAGTTTTAGTGTCTTAGAAGTCACGTTTTACCTTCCCTGACTCCTACAACTATAGCACTGTGTAGCGTTAGGTAAGTATAAAAACATTGCATTTAATCAGAAATGGTCATGTTTTACCTTACCTGACGCTACATAGTGCTGTAGGTGTAGTGTCAGGTAAGTGTAAAAACATTGTATTTTATCAGAATGCTCATTATTGCTTAATAATTAGTCATCATGATTATAAGTATGTTGGTATTTTTAACAGACTGGGACTTTTCCAAACAAAGATTAATTTATTAATTTCATAAAGGATGCATTTGCTCACATTTATGCATCACTCAAACCATGAGTGTTTTGTAAAACACTCAAGACAATAGGTAACACAACTTGGATGTAAGCTGTGCATCTTCCCGAGGCAAGCGTGTCCACTAGCCTATATCAAAGACACTTTTCTTGGCTCGATCCTGGCGCCACCTCATGTAGATCTTACTTACTTTCTTGAGTTGGAGATTTTACATGCGCTTTCCGACTAACAGCGTTTGTCGCACACGGTCACGTAGATCACATGTTGTGCCCCTTCTAATGAAAACGCGATATCCAATGAGATCACTTTTCTTATCTCATATAGCTTCATGAAGATGGCGACTACCATAGGGGACGACCTAGTCGATCAGATAACTAAAACATTGGCAATCGTTGGGTGGTTTAAAAGATGAAAAAGACATATTCCAGCAATAAATCACTTTCATACAAAGGTGTACCAATTGTGGATGTTGATTACCGTACTCGACGCAATAAGCGCCCCCGCTCCAATAAGCGCCCACGGCGATATTTGCTAATATATTGGCTAGTGAAAAATCCCAATTGGCACCCCTTCCGATTGATCACTGTACACAAGACTTATTTATTCGTGTATAATTCGCACTCGTGTGTTATATGCACCCTTAATCATGGGCAATTAAATTCTAGAAAAATATATCTGTCGTACATAAACATTTCAGGCTGTCAGCATAAACCACGAAATTTATCTTTCAAATCTGTTTTTTCTTCACCAAAATAATATTCTAATAAGAGCCCCCTATTTCCAATTTTGAGAGCGCCTTGGGCGCTAATTACGTCGAATACGGTATGTGAAAAGTTCTCTGATGATTTGACTGTCAATATGTGCGATAGTCCAATAATATTTAGCAAAGGAAAGTGGGCTTGATTTGGTAAGGGTGAAAACAAGATTTTGATAAAAAGGCTAGCAGACGCTCTTGCCTCGGGAATATGGTATGCTGTGATGCCCCTTGTGTTATGTGGATGGTGACCCGCTCGATGTTATTCACGTCTGTTGTAGATGCATAACAAAAGTCTATTGTTGGGGATCTATGAAGACTTTGGTACACGGACGTGTGGTGGCTACCCCGGCAGTGAGTTCTTTTTGTCAGACGATGCCCAGACATTTGCCGACTGGGGTGTCGACATGTTGAAGCTTGATGGTTGCAATGCTGACAAGACTGATATGAGCGTTGGTATGTGTAGAACAGTGTCTGAAACTCAGCAGAGTAAACTGAGAGCCGGCACTTTTCAAAAACTGTAGGCCAAGTGGAAAAACTGTAGGCCCAGTGGAAAAACTGTAGGCCCAGCGGAAAAACTGTAGGCCCAGTAGAAAAACTGTAGGCTCAAACATTTTAACTGAAGCTGGGAGACATACTCTTGCAAAATAAATTACAGAACACAACCAGAAGCTTTTACTGCTATCACAACGAGTTTCCCAAGACTTGGTGATCTTTGCTACAAAGTCATACACCATTTGAAAGGTCTAATCTTACTGTTTATAAATACATGTATGAAAGTCATTAAATTATTATGAAATTATTTAAATAATTCATTAAAAACTTTATTAAGTTTGCTTTTAATAATAAAAAAAATATGCTAACACATTCATAACGTCCAAATTAATAAAGCACCAAGGAACTAAAATAATGGCAGTTCTAAGATTTCATAATAGAGCTATTCACTTGCTTATTTCTTTTTTATTTTCATTGTTAAGTAATCAGAAAATGATGATAAAAAGAATTTTAAGTATGTTCTATCATCAAATATTTCCCGATATTAGTGGCTTCCGCTCAGTGACTTGAGAAAATACTGGGAAATACCTCCGTTTTTGAAGCTATGTATAAAAAACATGTTTGAAGATTCGTTCGTTGTTTGGTATCGATAGAATGCTCTGAACTTCAATAATATTACAGTAACCACACCAGGAGTATGTTCGTAGTTGAAACATGCGTTTGTATTGGATACAAATTGGTTCCTAATGACACTTTTATCTTAATCTAATAAATGGATCGTGATTGGTCAAAATCAAGCGCATGACCTAAGGCAGCCAATCACATTACAGCAATGGGTATGTTATACGATATATTTCAGATTTAGATGAAAGTCTTTGGTTTATTAGTGTTATTTTGAAAGTTTTAAGCAGGAAATTGCGACCTGTGTTTAAAATTTGGAAATTCATGGACATATCTGCAAGGTTACTACCTGTGAATTCTTATGCATATATTTTGTGTCCAAGCCTAAAAATCAAGGGGAAAATGTCGAGATGTCATGTGACTTACATTACACGATCGCACGAAAAGATGGAAATAGTAACTTGAATGTAAGTTTGACATTTTTTAGAAATATGTTTGATGTATTACTTTGTTTAATTTATTTATGATTTTTTTTCGACACGTTCGATACAGACTCGTTTTCAAAGCATGTGTCCCAGATTATTTTTTTTCAATAACATTGAAGGAAATAGTTCATAATTTTAAATCTATTAAAAACATATAAGTTGAAATGAAATATGTATTTTATGACTTAAAAGTGATAGATTTATTAAATGAACGATATGACAGGTAGATTCATGAACTATATATTATTCGGCTTGTGGTTTTGAAAGAGTTAATGGGCGGAGTACTTTAAAGCTGGACCCTGTTTCACCAAGCACTCTCAGTGCTATGATTAATTTAGCATGTTTACAGCATAAAATAAACTGCAGGCCGTAAGGGCCTGATGAAATTTAAACCTATCAGCCCAAGAACAAATCTGTCAGCCTCAGGTCTACTTCAAATATTGGTGTAGAACATGTAGAGTGATAAACAACAACATCAAAGATTGGATTTGCACTGGAATTAAATATTCTGTTGCTACACTCTCTAGTGATTGAAGATATTTTAGTGACAAAATAGTGTTTTTTGTTTTATCCAGGATTTTTGACTATTTAGTGAGTGAGTGAGTATGGTTTTACGCCGCTTTTAGCAATATTCCAGCAATATCACGGCGGGGGACACCAGAAATGGGCTTCACACATTGTACCCATGTCTGGAATCGAACCCGGGTCTTTGGCGTGACGAGCGAACGCTTTAACCACTAGGCTACCCGACCGCCCCTTTGACTATTTAAGTGTCTGTGGTAGTGAAATTGAGAAAAAGCATTGTTTGGTTCAAACCGTCTTTGAGAGGCATTTAGAAGTTGGAGTACTAAGTAAGGATAAGATATATGGATGAACAACTTCTTTATTACAATTAGGAGCTAATAGTTGTTCATCCATATTATCCTTACTTGGTTCAAAACTGTTAAGTTAGTTCTTTGAGGTAAGTTAGATCTAACTCTTTTAAGACATAAAATCTATGCAAAATATTTGCTTTCACAGGGATTTATCTAGCCCATTTCAGAGGCAGATATTTGGCCTCATGTCTGCTGAAAATGTCAGTTAGCGGAAAAAAATATTGAAATTGAAAATTCCCAACTCATGTTTTAAGCTAATATATGGCTTTGAAGAGGGGACTTATGTTTCACTTATGACAGGACTAAGAAGAGGGAGAGGATTTTATGATGAGTATTCCATCATCGCATTGAATCCAGTGTTTAAAATGCCTCTGAGTTTAAGAAAAAGGGAATTTAAAACATCCCAATTTTGAACAAAATCATGATTTTTTTTCAAATTTGCAAGGCAAGGGTACAGTGTTTGGAATCCTAGTAATATCCATGTTTTTAACAGGGACAAGATGTGGGTGCTGCAATATTTGATACACATGACAGATTCCGTGTAATTTCATGGGCTGTGAATTTTGTGAAATCAGTCATGTCAGCCTTATTGAAATATGGACTATATATCTTTGTAAACAAATATGCTGCTATGAGTGTTATATACTTCGATGTTCATTCACCTGGCATCTCTTTGCTGTAATATTTTTGGTTTTATAGTCACTGGACCTTCAGACCAGGAGAAAAATGTTTTTCAGTTTATTTTCAAAATAGTCAGGTCACCAGAGTGCTTTTTTCCCTTTTTTTCTAAGTAAGCTCAAAACTAAGTCAAACTTGTTCGCAATCATGGCGACAAAGATTTGGCAAGGAAAGATAACTCTTTGGTGAGACGGGATGGCCTAGAGGTTAAGGTGGTCACCTGTCAGTGGGGTTTGATTCCAACTGATGCACCGCCTTGTGTCCTCCACTGGGATAATGTTGAACATAGTGAGAGCAGTGGTGTGAAAACTTCACTCACACATTGGCCTTTTGCAAGTCACTTTGTGACAGGAGAGGAAAGCAATTGCACTCTTTGTACCACCAATGGATCTGTCCCTAAGAATAAGGTAAACATGTTTTTTTGTCTGTTTCGGTAAAAGCCTTGTCTAGGTATTCCATTTGATCTTTTAGTCAGCCAAGATTTACCTGGAAATAAACAGACATTGTTTCATCGAAGACGTTTTTCAGGTTATCCAACCATGGGATTCTTCTTGAACAAGACAGGCCGACCAATCTTGTACTCATGCAGCTGGCCGGCATACACAGGATCTGGCGCCAAGGTATAGTGGTGCAGGATGGGGGTGTCAGTTGGCCGGCATAACCAGACTCTGGCGCCAAGGTACAGTGGTGTAGGATGGGGGTGTCAGTTGGCTTGCATACACAGGTTCTGGCACCAAGGTACAGTGGTGTAGGATGAGGTTGTCATTTGGCTTGCATACACAGACTCTGGCACCAAGGTATAGTGGTGTAGGATGGGGGTGTCAGTTGGCCGGCATACACAGGTTTTGGCGCCAAGGTACAGTGGTGTAGGATGGGGGTGTCAGTTGGCTTGCATACACAGACTCTGGCACCAAGGTATAGTGGTGTAGGATGGGGGTGTCAGTTGGCTTGCATACACAGACTCTGGCACCAAGGTACAGTGGTGTAGGATGGGGATGTCAGTTGGCTTGCATACACAGATTCTGGCACCAAGGTACAGTGGTGTAGGATGGGGGTGTCAGTTGGCTGGCATACACAGACTCTGGCGCAAAGGTATAGTGGTGTAGGATGGGGGTGTCAGTTGGCTTGCATACACAGACTCTGGCACCAAGGTATAGTGGTGTAGGATGGGGGTGTCAGTTGGCTTGCATACACAGACTCTGGCACCAAGGTACAGTGGTGTAGGATGGGGATGTCAGTTGGCTTGCATACACAGATTCTGGCACCAAGGTATAGTGGTGTAGGATGGGGGTGTCAGTTGGCCGGCATACACAGGTTGTGTCACCAAGGTATAGTGGTGTAGGATGGGGATGTCAGTTGGCTGGCATAACCAGACTCTGGCGCCAAGGTATAGTGGTGTAGGATGGGGGTGTCAGTTGGCTTGCATACACAGACCCTGGCACCAAGGTATAGTGGTGTAGGATGGGGGTGTCTGTTGGCTTGCATACACAGGCACTGGCGCCAGGGTACAGTGGTGTAGGATGGGGGTGTCAGTTGGCTGGCATACACAGGTTCTGGCGCCAAGGTACAGTGGTGTAGGATTGGGTTGTCAGTTGGCTTGCATACACAGGCTCTGGCACCAAGGTATAGTGGTGTAAGATGGGGGTGTCAGTTGGCTTGCATACACAGATTCTGGCACAAAGGTCAAATGCTGTAGTATATGGGTGTAATACAGTGCTGTAGTGGTTTACAAAATCATTCTCATGATGCTTTAATGTCAACAAGATTTCAGTGTGGGATGTCACCTCAATGGCTGGTTACTAAACTAATTTCTATTTTGCAAAGATCATAAAAAGGATCTAGAAGAATTTGGATTGTTATTTGATGAAATGTCATGAAAATATAGATCACCTTGAATTTGTTTTTATTCTGTCCCCTGGTTGTGAATTCTAGGCAGATTAGTATTCAGAATCTTATGCTTGTTTTGAAAGCCAACGAACATGAGGATCAGTTGGTTGTTCATTGTACCTGATGATGAAGATTATTGCTCTTGCAAGCATCCACTGGTTTTGTAAGGAAGACCCAAAGGTCACTATAGGATTATTGAAATCTTGTTACCTGGATTGTTTTGAACATGTTGAATGGCAGATGAAGGCAATATACTTCTAGCTAATGGTTTGAAAGCTGACAGATTTACATTGTGTTGTGCTATGTATGTATGTAGATTATACACTCTTCTCTGCATGTAGACGGACTACAAACTGATCGCCAAGAGCTGCAACATGTGGAGGAACTATGCGGATGTAGAGGACTCCTGGGCCAGCATCTATGGCATCATTCAGTACTACGGCAAAAACCCGGATAACTTTGCCGCTGTTGCAGGCCCTGGCAATTGGAATGATCCTGATCAGGTAAAATATTGTTTTTACCTTGGTAACTGAGTGACTTTATATCTCTGCTGTATGACTTAATAGTCAAATTTGGTTATCTGACAAACCCTCCATAGAAGTTTGTGGGCATGGACAGCCCAGTCGTCTAGGCACCACAATTTGCTGTGCAGAGTTACGTCCCTTGTGCACACCAGAAACTTATGATTGTCTGTTGGAAATCTGGTTCGCTGCAGTTATATTACCAGGTCTGTGAACACCATACCCGTGCTTGTGAGTTTGATCAAAGTGATAAACTTCTGAAACCTGCACCAGGCTCCCCAAAAGCCCCAAAATTTCTAAGAACTCAGCAAATAAGTGAGGAGGCATGAAGCATTTGAGAGCAGCATAACTAATAATAAGAACTTTTCCACTCAAAGTTTGCACCAGCATACAGTCTTACTTACACAGCCAGAATGTTGTCCCTGTAGCACATCCTGCCCCACTGTAGGACATAGAGATTGGTTCTTCCAGCTCTACTGATCCCACCTGAAATCATGATTGACCTCCCTCCATGCAGGTCATGTTTGGCTACATATGAATTTCAAATCTTTCGCCTTGTCTGTGCCACACTCGAGCAAGACGATCTGTGAAGTCGAGACAGTATCTCGATTCATCAGTTAAATGTACTTGATACCAGTCCTGGTCTGTCCAAGTGATGGGATCTTCAGCCCAATTCAAACCCTGCCTGCCTGCAATGTTGTTTCACTGGATGTGAAAGCATGCCGGAGACCAGCCTCACAGAGACAATTTTGAACTGTCTGAGTAGAAACGTTAACACCACTGGCGTTCCGCAGGTCAGTTCTGAGTCAGTATCTGACCAAAAGGGAAATGTAAAAACAACACGAAAACAAATTCATTGTCACAAAGTAATAACATCTTGCTGCAATCTTCCACCTGCATGCCGCTGGTAAGCTGATCCAAATGTCTAGTGTCGATTCCATGCCCTGCTGACACCAAACCAGTCCCGGTCTCAAGTATGCCTGTGGATGTTTGGGGGGGTGTAAGTGCATTCAGCTGTTGCAACCTTCAAAAGCAAATCTTATTGTGCTCTCTGATAATCATGTGCAACTCATCCAAACATATGTTTTCAAGCACCACTGCATGCCACTGTCCATTCTTCATGAAATTGAGGTCTGTAGGGGTTACCCAATCATTGTTTACTGGGATATTTCAGCCTTTATTTGTTGGACGTACTTTTGATATCATCAAAACATGACTTTATAAAGCAAACTTTGAGTTGTAGATGTAAATATTTTACGCTCTCTCAAGTCAGCCACGCCTTTCAATTAACAACATAAAAATTAGTTTTAGCACAGGTCACCATTTTGAGAATGAAGCAAAAGAATTTTAGAAGTTTGGTATTTAGTTTTGTTTTTTTTCATTTTTATCCCCCCGGCATATAATGCAGGGGGATATAGAGATCAGCCAGTCTGTCTGTCCGTCCGTCTGTCCGTCCGTAATCATTTCCTTTTCCGGGACAGAATTCGAAAACCATTCAGTGTATTTGATCGAAACTTGGCAAATCTATCAGGCACATACTGAAGTGGTGCCTTTTGATATTTTGGGATTTTTCTAATTTTTATTTTTTTAAATTTTTATGGAATGAAGTTGGACATAGACTCAATTGGGGATGGGGTTCGTTTCCGGGTCAGAATTCAAAAACCATTCAGTGTATTTGATCGAAACTTGGAAAATCTATCAGGCACATACCGAAGTGGTGCCTTTTGATATATTTTTTTTACGAATTTTTATTTTTTACAATTTTTATGGAAAGAAGTTGGACCTAGACTCCATTGGGGAACGGGTTCATTTCCGGGCCAGAATTCGAAAACCATTCAGTGGGTAAACAATGTATGCTTCTTAAAGAACATTCAACTGTTGACTCATTACATACAGAATTGCACATTTACAAGTGGTTACTTTACAGACAGCTGCCGGGGGGATATGTCATCTTTCTGATGACTCTTGTTTGCAAAGTTTAGGCAAGGTTTAAACTGTATAGCAAGAAAAAACTTGGTCTGATGTTGTTCTCTTTCCAGCTGATTATCGGGGACTTTGGTCTGAGCTGGGAACAACAAAGGGTTCAGATGGGGATGTGGGCCATCATGGCTTCCCCACTCTTCATGTCAGTCGACCTGCGCACCATCAAACCAGAGTCCCGGGATCTGCTGCTCAACAAGCGTGTCATCGCCATCAACCAGGATCCCCTCGGTGTCCAGGGCAGCAGGTTATATCAGGTCAGACACAGCAGAGACAACACACACAACACACTACAATGACTACAGACTCTTCCAAAACTATACACCATCCAGACACTACTCACACTAGACACAACACGCTACAGACACAACACACACTCCAAACTCTCCAGATTACAGACACAATATACACCTCAACTTAGGTAGTGGGTACCCCTTTTTCCCTAAATATTTGATAGTCCTGCAGTTCAACAGGAAATCGTTGCGCTCAAAATATAATAAGTTACTCCAAAAATAAGTTACTTATCAGGTTAATTTTGGGGGGAAAGTTCAGTTGCCCCTTTACATAGATAGAAAGTGTTTCAGAGACACAAACAATTGCCCATTCATCCTATTTGCCATAATTTGTTACTATACCTGTTGTGTTGATTTTTTTGATTTTTTTAATCACATATTTTAGCTGCCATGTGTAGTCTTGGACAGAATAGGTCCCTGGAACCAAGGGCTGGCTATCGATATAGATCATAGAGATCAATAATCAATAACTAAAGGGATTTAAAGCAAATATGCAAGAAAGTCCCCAAAGAAATCAACAGAGCACTGGTGAGCAGTGACACATTTATGCATGGATTACTTTCTGGACATTTGAGATATAACGAAAACAGTTGCTTTCCGTCTTCAACAGTTGACATTTTAAACAATGACAAATCTGTTTCGGTAAATGTAAACTTTATTTAATCACAATATATTATTTGAGTTTTTATCGATGACAACAGTTTCATATCGATAAATAATATTTTTTCCCATTGATGATAATTAGCCAGCCCTACTGGTACCTCAGATCTGTCGTATAAGCTCACTAAACTGGTGACTGGATCAGGATTGGTCACTGGGCTGATTATCTTACGGGGAAGTCAGGTAGCCTAGTGGTTAAAGCGTTCGATCATCACACCAGGACCCGGGTTCGATTCCCGACATGGGTACAATGTATGAAGCCCATTTCTGGTGTCCCCCGCTGTGATATTGCTGGAATATTGCTAAAAGCGGCATAAAATCAAACTCACTCACTCACTCACTCATTATCTTGTTCATGATATCAACCACTAGTATGCCGACCAAGTCTTTACAGTTTGCTATAATACAGCATAAATATTGCAGTAAAAGCAGTGTTCCTCGTGACCTTGAAGGACAAGAGTTTACTGTATATCTCACTGAAAAAAGATATTACTTTTCATCCCACATCCATATTTCAACCCCGAGGATTAAACAATTTCCTTTATTCTCCAGCTTGGAAAAGTTGAAGTGTGGACAAAGCCCTTACAGAAGAAATCCTACGCCCTGGCAGTTCTCAATGGAGACAACAAGGGAACACCAACAAAAATGACATTGACATTTGGAGAAACCAGATTTGACTTCAATGGTGTCTATGCTTACAATGTCACAGAAGCTTTTGATGGGAAACCTCTTGGAATATTTTCAGCTAAAGAAAAACTGCAAGTTACCATTAATCCAACTGGAATTTTCTTAGCTGTGGCCGTTCCGGTGCCTAAGAAAGATTTGGAACATCTTTGGAATAAATAGTGCTTCACCCATCGCCTTGTGAGGTGTCAAATATCGAACAACTCATCTGGAGTTAGTTTCTCATGGTACCAAACTTGTATTTGAATCTCCACAGATAGTTGGTAATAGGGTTACTATTGGAGGCATTTTATCTCATCCGACAATGCCAAGCAGGCTTATTTGTCCATCATCCAGCCATCATCTTCTCCTCTGAAACCACTGGACCAATGAAGATGAAACTTAAATGATGACATCCTGTTTAGTTCAAGAGGTTTGAACCTGATTTATGGCCATTACTTAGTCAATTCGGCTCAAAATGTTATGAAAGTTGGTGCATGTGTAGTTAGTAGGGGTCTCAACATAAATCTTCCGTTATTTGCAATATTTTTGATTTTGGTTTGTTTTTACCATACTGTATGTTCTCCCAAAATGAATATTTGCCTTTCTAATCTTCTCTGAAATTAAGGGCGGTCGGGTAGTCTAGTGGTTAAAGCGTTTGCTCGCCACGCCGAAAACCCGGGTTCAATTCCAGACATGGGTACAATGTGTGAAGCCTATTTCTGGTGTCCCCTGCCGTGATATTGCTGCAATATTGCGTAAAGCGGCGTAAAACCATACTCACTCACTCTCTGAAATGACCAGACGAAGGGAGCTGAATTTCTACATGTATGTGTCTCCTCATGATTTCATCATATCTTTGTTCAAAATCATTCGAGTTTAGTATTTATGCAGATTATCTGGTCCAGATTTGATTATTTTCGGGTCACCATCATATAGCAGGAATTAAACGAAAATCAAACTTGTGTATGAATAAGTTAAGCCAGTATATTTGTTCTGGAATGATCATTATCTTGTAAATATGTTTTCTACTTTCATCTTAACACTATATTTTTATTCATTATATTAAAAGAAGAGATGAAAGTTTGCCAGCCATTATAACTTGGCCCTTAAGGTGTTTTACAACGCTGTAGCTAAGTGCATTGTAGACGATACAAGAAGACGTCACTGAGGATTGTCCTAGTTACACAAAGCCTCACACGTCCCTCTTTAAGTTTGAAGATGTTCACATATTGTACAATTATTTTGTTAACGTGTGTATTGTGCAGATCCTAAGTTATGTGTGTCCATTTGGTATTGTTAGTCATGTAATTTGACACACATGAGATGATTACTTAACATGTTATATTATGGTAGTTATGACAATCATATCTCTCAGATCTCTTGACCTCCTTTTGGGCTTTGTTCAGATGAACATCAAGATGGTGGATTTCATGGCTTTATGTTGATGCTATTTCATGTGTCGAAATATCATATTTCTCTTATTGAGTGAAGGGAGAAATGGAGATATTTTCACTCATGGCTACACCACTCCTGAAAATGTTTCCTTTTCCCTCATCAAAAGATGTTAGAAACATGATGTTTTCTGAGACACATTGAATATCCTATTTTTTTTATACTTTTTGTGTAGTTGTTTACCGGAAAATAAAATTATTTCATTACAAATATGAAACCTTCTGTCACACTGAAGTATATAATAAATGTTGGTATTTGATCAATACATGGATGCAAGATGGTGATGAATGTTGTATCTTCATCCCAAAGATGATTCTTCTCAACTCTTCAAAGAAGCTGCACGCCTAAAAACCTTACTTACACTTGCCTTGCAGAATTTACACTGTGCACTAACTGATATGAAAAGTGCATCCTCTTTACTGGATGCTGGTTGAGGGTATCTTTTACAAATAAATCTGATGAAGATACTTTTCATCATCGTTGTAGTCATTTTGTTTAATGATGTAAAGGATTAAATCAGCAGCTTCAAGCTGTCTGACTGACCACTTTGTTGTTGAATGTTGGTCAACTGTTCAGTGAAATTTTTAATCCCATGTTTTGTGTCTCCTGACAAATATTACTGATATTTCTGAATGGGGCAAAGTAGGTATCCAGTCACCCCATACTGGTTGCAAGAGCTGACTAAATTGAGAATCAGGTGGTTACAAAATGTATGGCCTACCTGATGAACTGTTGCTCATGATATCGACCACTGGTTTGTCTGACCGAGACAAGATTATATATAGCTGTATTAATATTCCTGACAACATTCACTCAGCATATGTGGTATTATGCAGTTTGTCAGTAGGGCACTCCTATTTCTTGTTCCAAGTTACCTCCCTTTAGTATGCCAGGATTATATGATCATGGGTTTGAATGCCAGATTTGATCTTATTTTGTTCTGTTCTTGTCAACATCATACATGTGCTAGTGGGTTTCCCCAAAGTGGTGAACGACTGAGACCTGCAACATTTCGGCCAATCCTCCTACATCAAGCTGACAGCTTTATAACTAATAACTAATAACTGATATACAATGGACATGGTAGCCCTGATTATATTTCTAGCTTTGTCATCACGATGCCCTCTATCATGGGTTCACAAAAGAGGTCAACGTCTAAAGCCTGTCCCTTTGTAGCTGAGATATTGCTGAGTGCGACCTTATACAACATACAAAGTTTAACCCTCACTCACTCCAGCGGTATGTCTACTAATCCCCTTAATGTATTGATGTTTTTTTAAATTTATTGCAACCTTCATAAAGACATTGAGTTTATGCTGGAACATTTGATGTATAGCGATTTTATTGAGTTTACAGTCTCTATTTTTGCCCTAAAAGGCGACTATGCTGGTTGTAAGTGGCGACTAACAGGATCGGGCGGTCAGGCTCCCTGACTTGGTTGATGCATGTCATCGTATCCCAATTGCGTTAACCGATGCTCATGATGTCAATCACTGTATTGTCTGGTCCAGACTCGATTATTTACAGACCGCCGTCGGACAGCTGGAATATTGCTGAGGGTGGCGTAAAACAACAAACAAACAAATTCTACCAAAGCCTGATTCTGCTGACATATACCGCTATAAATATGAGGAAATGTGCACCGATAATTGCAATACAGTTGAAAACATTCATCACAATATTGACACAAAATGAACATCAGGCAAGTAGCCAACAGAAGATTAGTTCGACACCTTGCTTATGTTAAAACCTTGATAGTGTGGAATCAGCAGCATACGGGTACTCAAACACGGAGAGGGGGCACGGGAGGCCCAGTCGTCTAAGGCGCCGCGATTCGCTGTGCAGAGTTGCGTCCCTTGGGCACGCCAGAAACCTATGATTGTGGGTTCGCCCCGATTATGTTTCTAGGTTTGTCAGCACCATACCCGTGCTCGTGGGTTTCACCAAAGTGGTAAACGTCAGAGACCTGCATCACTTCGGGCTTTCCTCCCACATATAGCTGACACGCCGCGATATAACTGGAATACTGTTAAAAGCGGCGTTAAACCCAACTCACTCAAACACGGAGCGCTGTTAGCCGTCCTTAACACTTTTCTTAGACCATTAGCTGAGTGAGGGGCTGCACTTCCTTGTTATTCACGTGCTCCTCAAGTAGACCTATAGCAACTTCCGACAGAGCGTCATCAAGTGCAATACAATGCTATCTTTCTGTAAAAAAATATTTGTCTTTTGATTCCATACATTCAATATGAAACCTTAAGTAATAGTGCCATATACATTGTATGTGTTTTATCACCATGACGACGCCAGAATAATGTCGCAACACATCTTTATAATCCATATATAGCTTTTGCGTATTGTCGCTATTTCTTTCAGGACTCAGCACTCCATATCATCGGTCAACGACTTCCTTCGCGTCACCAGATTGACTTACAAATATTCACATTGTTGAATTTTATCCAATTGTCATAGACCCGTGAAGATCCGGGGTAGAAAAGGTCTTCAGCCACCCATTCTTGCCGTAAAAGGCGTCTATGCTTGTCGTAAGAGGCGACTAACGGGTTCGGGTGGTCAGGCTCGGTGACTTGGTTGAAGCATGTCATCGATCCCAATTATGTGGATCGATGCTCATATCACTGGATTGTCTGGTCCAGACTCGATTATTTACAGACCGCCGCCATATAGCTTGCATATTGCTGAGTGCGGCGTAAAACAACAAACCAATCAACCAATTTTCATATTTTTACCATTAATTTCAAACTTCCTCTTAAATGTAATGCACCTCTCGCATAAACCTTAAGCTCCTCATAAGTCCTTTCCCCAAGGCAAGAGCATTCACTAGCCTTATTATCACAGAAAGTCACACCATTTCAAGAAAATCAAAGAAAATGCATCACTTTATGCTCAAGCTGAGACGAAGATTTCAGACCAGAACTAACATGGCTACATCTGTTCTATCGATTAACTGTGACTCTGAATATTGTCGCATCATGCTACACGATCAATTTTCACAATCGATAGCTTCCTTGGCCAGTGTTTGCAAAGACTGTTGGCATCAATATAAATCCCTCATCACCTGTCGGAGGTATATCAGTCCTGTTTGATGTCAACATGGGTATGTCTTTGATGAGACCATGCAGAATATTCATACCCAATCATGGGCGGATATATACAGCTTTTTTTAAAAGGGGGGTGCACAATTAAGATCTATTTATTGTCTTTGGTGGTAATTTATACAGAAATAAAGATTTTTTTTCGAAATAAAAAGGGGGGTGCGCAACAACCCCCCCGCCCATGCCCAATTGTTGCCCCGATAAATGAACCAACGGGCAATATAAAGTATGCACCTATATTTGATGGTGGCTAAAAATGAAACAAACAAGAAATGGTATTCAATGGTGCTGTATTTGATACGGGTATATATCACAGTTGTGATTTAGACCTTAAGTTTGCAGTGTTTCGGCGAACGTTTTCTGCCGAGTAACGTTTAGTTAACGTGTGTCATTGTTTTGGTCAAGTATTTTCAAGTGTATACTTTCTTTCAACCGATTTTTTATATACTCAAATGCAAAAAGTAACTGGTCATGTTATAATTTAGAAATGGCACGGTATGTCACTCACTTTCATTTGCATCAATTTAATTTGCTTAATGGAATCAACAATGTCACGGCTCTATTGAAGTTTATATACTGAGTCAAATTAAAAACTTCACATTTTTAAAAGTAATCCCATATATGATATACAACGGACACATGTATCAGAGAAGGTAATTTTTAATCATTAATGTCCAAAGAAGGATTTTAATTAACGGTGGTAACCATAGTTTGTTCCAAGCACCTACGGTATTCGGTAATAACATCAACAGTTTAAATCATAAGTCCCAAGCACGAGAATCTGATGGCACACAAGTTCAGTAGCGTGTATGGCCACCATGTGCGTTGACAACTGCCACACAACGCCTCCGCATGGACCTCCACACCCTCGCCCTACCATCAGCAAATCGAAGATTAAATCGGGATTGAGCACTGAAGAAGACTTGATTCCAATTCCTCTGAGTCCATCGTAAGTGTCGCTTTGCCCACAATTGACGTTGACGTCTGTGTAATTGAGTCAGAATCGGCCCGCAGTATGGCCGTCGTGCTTGAAGGTGAGCAGTTCTCAGACGGTTTCGAACAGTTTGCGCACTCAGTCTACCCCTAAACAGTTCATTTCTGGTTGATGTAGCCGTCAAAAATCGGTTACGGAGGTGACGTAAGACAATCTGACGATCCTCTGCATGTGACGTCACACGTGGTCGACCTGGCCGAAGGCGATCAGCGGTGGTACCCGTTTGCTGTAGACGCGTCTGTAAATCATAAACAGTCCGTCGACTACAACCCATCGTCCTTGCGACTTCAGCTACGGACGTTCCAGTCTGCAACATGCCGATGCCACGTTCACGTTGCACATTTGAAAGGCGTGGCATGACAAATGGCCGTAAAGACTTTTGTTTTCTTGTGTTTTTCTTTTTTTGTTAATGACTGCTAACAAGTATGTCTGAAAACACGTGCGGTATTATGGCCACGTGACCAGTTACACGTGGAAAACCACTTTTGCCACTATAGTGCTGTGAACATGATTTTGATCGATTCACCTGCACAAAAACGGGTGTTATCTGAAGACAATACGTGGCCATTACTGTTTAAATACACAATAAGGGCCCACAATGATAACTGGTCAAAATGTTAAAATTTTAGGATTGTGAAGTTTTTAATTTGTTTCAGTATATTTTATGAGCTGTTTGGAAACATGATTCCTTTAAAACTTTGAACAGTATTCCAGTTATATCACGGGGTCCCAGCTTAATTTGGGAGGAAAGCCCTAAGTGATGCAGGTCTTAGACCTTTACCATTTTGCTGAAACCCGAGCGTACTGGTATGGCGCTGACAAACCTAGAAACATAATCGGGGGGAACCGGGATTCGAATCCACACTCATGGGTTTCTAGCGTGCCAAAGGGAGGCAACTCTGCACAGCGAATCGCGGCGCCTTAGACGACTGGGACACAACAGCAGCAACAAGTCTATAGTTGTTTTTTTTCATTTCCTATTTGAGACGTACAGCAATTTAAAAAAAGAAAGATAATTTATCCGTTGTACATGTATCCGTTGTACGATATGACAAACGTTTTGCTTTGTACTCAGTCAAGCGATTGTTGATTCTATAGAGCTGTATGACCCATATGATCATAATTATTTTTAATTTTTAGTTAAAAAGTTGTATGAGCACAGTTGCCTTTCTTTGAGTTTGAGTATATACGACTCCTATTTTTGACGTATTGTCTTTCCTTGTACCTTGACCTATCAGCTGTTAAGACAAGAGGTCAAGGTCATCTGAACATGGCAGTTCTGAAGAGTGAAAATCATTTGCACTCCTCGCTCCATTTGTTGTAATGAAATATAAACATTGCTCTGTGTATCAGCAAATATTGTATATTTGCCTCTTACTTCGAAAACAATTGGTAAGTGATCTTTATATGGATTCGGATACATCGTTGTGGCAAATTAACAGTTGAAGCAGGCAAATTTGTTGGGGAAATTACAAGGTATGTCACGCAGAGAAATAATCTTATTTGCTTCATCACGTCACGCATCAATGTCACGACGTTGCTCTATCAAGTTTGTGTTTTACGAGCTGTTAGGAAGCTTGTCAGTCACGCAGATTAAATAATCAGTGTTTGCTCATGAGCAGTTAAAACATTCATCGATGTTTTGAACAGATAGTCGTTGCTCGAGAACCATATTTGCATGGAGTTAATAGATTTCATATATGATAAACCCAAAAGAGTGGGAGAGAGGGTGGAGGAGAGAGAGTAACAGAGAGAAGAGGGGTTGAGGAGAGAGGGTTGCGTTATGTAATTACTGTATGCAATGCTTTGACAATATGAGATTGTAACGCGTAATAATAAAATATTCTTCATTATCATACCTCCATGTCAGAATGATGAGATCTGACTGGTCCACGTGATCATAATAAAATACTATGCATCCCGCCTTGGAGGGGAATACATTTCTCAGTGGGGGAATAATTCTCTTATGCCCTGCCACGTGCAAGTCAGGTTGCACGTGGATTTCTGAGAGGCAGAATAAATCCCTTATACTCCGCTTCAAAGCAAAACGCTTTTTCCGAGTCAATGGGAGTCCCGCGATACAGCGCAAGCTGACCACACCTCAATCGAACAGCTGTTTTCTATCAATTTTGAATCTTGAATTATTTTACAATGTCATATTAAAACATGTCGGTAAGATATATTCGTTGTAGCTGGATCACCAGGGATACACTGAGCCTTATGCGTCCCGCGTTAGGTCCCACATAGTTCACGTTCATCGCAAACTCTCTATTAAGCCCGAAAATTTAGTAACCATTGTTTAAAACAAAATAAAGAAACTACCCTCTTGGCAAACATTGAATCTACGAAATACAGTAGTTATGTGAATAGCAGACATAAGCCATTTGATGTGATATGACAAACGCAATGAATAAGAACAACCAGTCCGGGGAATTCCGTTAGATCAGTGCCCCTTTAATGCTGCACTCAGCAATATTCCAGCTATATGGCGGCGGTCTATAAATAGTCGAATCTGGACCAGGCAAACCAGTGGTTGATATCATGAGCAATGTTCCATGTCATTGGTTCGTCATACAGTGCAGCATAAAGCGTGGGAATTCCATTCTCAATTTTTGTCTGCTTCATTGGGCACACAGGTCAACATAACAAAACCTCAATGCGTCTAAGGTGCTCCAATTCGTTGTGCAGAGTTGCGTCGCTTTGGAATGCCAGAAACATATGATCGCGGGTTCGAATTCGCCCTGATTACGCTTCATGGTTTGACAGCACCAAACAGGCGCTCGTAGGTGTCACCAAAGTGTAACGTCTGAAACCTGCATTACTTACCTGCGATCCTCACACGTAGAACTGGCTCATCATGATATTAACGAAATACTGTTAAACTCATTACTTCCTACTTGATTAGCTGTTAGTAATCTATCGGTTTTTTGTTATTCTTATGACTTAACCCAACGCAGAATAATTGTAGAAAGGCAAATTAATAAAGTTTATTCACAAAGAGATCGGAAAAGGTATTTATAATCGAAAATCTATATAACGATATCGAGATACATCTGTGGTAATTATAGTAATAGAAACATAAGTGGTAATTATAATAATAGAAACATAAGTGGTAATTAAACGCAACAAAACCATTTCCATAATCATAATAAATCTCTGGAACTTATGGTACAAGTCGGGGCACGGGTGGCCCAGTCGTCCAAGGCGCCGCGATTCGCTGCGCAGAGTTGCGTCCCTTGCTCCCTTGGGCACGCCAGAAACCTATGATTGTGGGTTCGAATCCCAGTTCGGCCCGATTATGTTTCTAGGTTTGTCAGCACCATACCCGTGCTCGTGGGTTTCACCGAAGAGGTAAACGTCTGAGACCTGCATCACTTCGGGCTTTTCTCCCACATTAAGCTGACACGCCGTGATATAACTGGAATACTGTTAAAAGCGGCGTTAAACCCAACTCACTCACTCGCTATGGTACACGTCAAATATGTAATTACACATCAGGCATGTTTTTGGTCAAATTTGGAAATTTCCTCCACGTGGCTACCATGCAACTGTTTGAAAGCTTTTTTTAAGGCCACACCGGCCACTTTGTACTTATATCTGTCGTCATCTGTGTACAGAGGAGTATTCACTAAATTATTCAAAGAAATGTCTGCAAAAAGCTGAGTCCATTGTACGATTTGGACTATCATATAATCATGTGTTGATGAATCACTATTAAAATAGTGATGAAATCAGGTGCTCTGATCCTAACCAGAAGCACCCGTCACAAACACACCAAAAGGTCTGGACAAGTGTTCACATTAAAGACACGGAACATATTGTTCAAGTCAAAATAGTGAATTGCATCAGACATTATTTTGGTCACTGATGTGTCAAATTTGGAAATGTCCACAACTCATGTTTTTTAAAGCTTTACGAAGGCCTTGAATGCTGAAACGACAACTTTCATTGTACTAAATGACCAAATACACCAAATAAATCTGCCTGTCGATGAATGCTGTAACCCTGACAGTTTCAGAGCATGAGTCGTATGACGCATTTTGGAATCTTTGGAGAACAAGCCTACTCGGTTGTACCTTACAATCTGTGAAATGTTGACACCAAAGGCTGCAGATGTTGGAATAATTCTCGACATGAATAGAAAGTAGACTTCGTCAGTTTAAATCACCTCTCTTGTTATACAGTCATGAGGCTATTTTAAATCACTCCGAATCTTTACACATAGATCATGATCACAGATTCATGCTTGTTCTGTTAGCATCGCTGGACGTTAATGCACTCCCCCACCCCCCACCACACACACACGCTGTTGTTGAGTGAGTGTTCGTCAACAAAATCACTTCAACAACTCAGACTGAGCAAAACCAATTTGACAAAAACATAAAATAAAATGGTCAGTTCATTTTTATGTGAGCTGGTAAACGATACCTTTCTCTATCTACCGATATACTAGAGCATATAAGAGAGGAATATTACGCCGATACCAGCAGTTAGTGAGTGAGTGAGTGATGATGGTCAGAACTGAGCTTTACACATTGTACCCATGAGGAAAATTGAACACCGTTTCTTTATGTTTAACGCCACACTCACCAATAGTCCAGCTATCTCACGGCGGTCTGTATATAATCGTTCTGGACCAGACAATCCTGTGATTGACATCATGAGCATCGATCTACGCAATTGGGATACGATGACATGCATCAACCATGTCAGCGAGCCTGACCACCCGATCCCGTTAGTCGCCTCTTACGACAAGCGTAATCGCCCTTTACGGCAAGCTGAATACCTATTCTACCCCGGATCTTCACGGGTGTCGAACACCGGTCGAGCGAACGCTTTAACCACAAGGCTACCACCGCCCCGCCTACAGAATATAACCGTTACTGAGGACAGATGACACTAACCATATATGAATACAGTAAAAAGTAATTCCTTATTAAGAAAAAACAACGGATTGCTGTGCTATCACATAAAGGATGCGACTTGCCTTTGCATGTGTTTGTGACGGGTTCCACCGTTGGGACATGATATGCTCACCTTATTGCCAACACCTTGAATCAGCACTATTTCGTAGAGATTCATAAACACATGCTCATGCTTTTGATTATGAAAATGTTTTTTGTTTTGCTCTTTTATTTACCATGTCCTTTCTCAGTTTGTGAAGCACATGCATTGGCCTAAAATACAAACCTCTTTATTCACGATCTTTCTTAGTGCAGAATTTCAGAAAGGGCAGAACTTTGATGAAATTCTCCTTAAATCTCTTACTCTGAGATGCATAAAGAAACGGATTGATGGACGACTTAACCCACAGGAGCCAAGTGAAGAACTCATACACGTGCTTGTTGAGACAGTCATCACATTGCGTCACTGCAAAAGTAGCGATGGTATACGGTGCCCAACAGATGAAGAAGGTTACCACCAATACAGATAATGACTTAGCTGCCTTCAAATCCTTTCTGGCTGACGTTTGTTTCACTGTGTTTGGATTCTGGACAACAACATCGTTGTTTCTGTGGTGCTGATGTTGTACTTGTTCATTTGGCACAATGATCACACTAACGGGCCTTCCTTCTGTGGAATGAAAAGGTGGTTCCCCTTTAGTAAGCTTTCCATTAAGACTCCTTATATTTTGATTCGTTGATTGTCCTTTGTCGTGCACATGCTCTGTGTGAACACCTGTGGAGTGATTCCCTTTTGGGAAGATTCGCAGCCTTTTCCTTATTGCTAAAAACACCAAAAGATTGAGGCAGCTTAGAGCAATGAAAGGAATGGTCAGTTCGAATAGTGCCGTGATAAGAGTAAAATCGACATTCATAATAAACTCAGCATCACAATCTCCATCTGCAACGATACTGTTCCCTCTTGCGATGTCCCAAAAGATAACACAAGGGCCATATATCCCAAATGCTATGACCCAGGCTATACCTATCTTCACCATTGCTACCTTCTTTGTCTCTTTGGCGATATACTCAGCTCCATTTCTAAGAAGGATGACTCTGTCAAGACTCAAAAGGAGAATGAGCAGCACAGACATCAAGCACATAGAATTATCGTTAACGCACCATATCTTGCAGAACACTCGACCAAACACCCACTTCCAGGATCTGAGCGTGTAATCTGCATAGAAGATCATGCTGATAGCTCCAAGGAAGAGATCCGCTATAGCCAGGTTGAGGATGTAGAGGTTGTGGACAGTCTGTAGTTGTTTGTCTCTGAAGTAGGAGATGATAACGAGCAGGTTGCCCACCACAGCAAGCAGTATCAGAACACTCATTCCAACACCAGCTACTCCATGTAACCAGGGAGGAATGTACCATTCATCCACTTCATCCACAGTAGCTGCAGTTGACGTCGTTATGGTGGGAGGTGTTGTCGTCATGATCTTTGAAGGTTCCTTTCAGTCATCCTTTAACCAAAATATTAATTGAGAAGGAAGAAAAACAACAAGCATACATATTTAATACCTCAATACTCTGTATTCTTTCTGATGAATTTTAGTGTTAACATTAAAGATATATGTATACATATTTACTCACCAAAATTACCAACGATTCCAGTTACTAGTTTAGAGTCTTGCAGAAAGCCACACCTTCTCAACCACATAACTGATAACAGAAACATAGAAACGAAGATGTACAGGTGCATTTTCATTCACCTCCAGTTTACCTCAATCTTTGTAACTAATGTCGGCAATTAGCATGGGGCCATTAAATGGCGCGGGACACGGTTGCTAATAAGATGTAAGATTAGATATTATTGTTCACAATATATAGAATCCATGATCGAAACTTTCCTAAGACTGGATAGATCGCTGTTCACATTGGACAGTCATGGTGATTGAACATTAAAAAAAACATCTGATAAATGTGTCTGTCCCTAACCTAAGTTTCTAAACTAACCGTTCCATTATAAAGGAGGTCATCTACTTGTGAGACAGTAGTACTCTTATTCATATTGTGAAGTACACGTATGCATGTATACCGTGTATAAAGACAATTTTACTACACAGCAACATATTAATATGCCGACGATTTTGAAATTCTGATTCACCTTTTAGTATTTTGTTGTATATACGAAATAGGAAATCACAATATTACGGCATGTCCAATATCAAGCAAACGACTATTAACAATGCCCTAGGTGGCGAATCCCAAACATTTAACACAAACAGAAGTCTTACCTTGCTGTTCAGAAGGGCCTACATGACTTGCTTCAATTGACCATCCGAAAAGACGCTAAATCGCAAAGACAAACACTTTGATGAAACACTATCCTGCATAATCCTACCTCTGAATCCATCACACCAATATGTTCTTTACAGTTTATTGATTATCAAAAGTATGTATGGATTTACGCTCGTTAGAAATACGTAGCGTTGGCTTTTATTTGTTGAGTATGGATTTGGATTCAGCTGCAAAGAAAATAAGGGCGTGATGGGCTTGTGTTTAAGGCAACACAAAACTGTTATTGTCTTGGCGGCCCAATTTCCGTTCAGTTGACTTTCATTGTCACGAATATTTCATTGTATACCTGGAACGAGGTAATCATCGCGCCAGTCGAGATACACGATGGAGTCATGGTGTCCACAAAACAACTCTTTCCAAACCAACAACTTTATTCACGTACTAGTAAAACGCGTTGCGATATTTGTTGTTGTTTATTTGAATGGAAAGGTTTGGGTAAATGGTTCGATAATCATGACGTTAAACGAAATTTCCTCTAGCATTGCTGTCACTGCGACCATCTATATATACTCTGCAAAAAACACACGCAAAAGTGATTCCAGATGTATATTTTTTATATCGTATACGTAATCAACAGATGGTAATCGATTGTTCAAAATTGGCACACATCATTGTTATTGACCATATTGACCAGGTTCCATATGGCACACATGGAACAGTAGATGTTTAAGATGAAGGTCATCTGTTCCCAATATCTTGTACCAGTAGAGTCTAAAGTTGACTGGCATCGTCGTCCCATGGAAGCAATGAGATCCCGAATTGTGGCCTGGGGAATGTACACTCCTTCTGCCTTCAGTGCTTGTACCAACTCTCGGAGGCTCTGTGGTTGTTGGGGGGCACGGGTGGCCCAGTCGTCTAAGGCGCCGCGATTCGCTGTGCAGAGTTGCGTCCCTTGGGCACGCCAGATACCTATGATTGTTCGAATCCTGGTTCGCCCCGATTATGTTTCTAGGTTTGTCAGCACCATACCCGTGCTCATGGGTTTCACCGAAGTGGTAAACGTCTGAGACCTGCATCACTTCGGGCTTTCCTCCCACATTAAGCTGACACGCCGTGATATAACTGGAATAATGTTAAAAGCGGCGTTAAACCCAATTCACTCACTCACTCACTCTGGGGTTGTTGCTGCGGTGCTCGCAGTCGTTGATCCAGTGCATCCCATAAATGTTCGATTTGGTTTCAATCTGGAGACCTGGAGGGCAATGGCAGGATCTGAATGTTGTGATTCCTGAAAAAAGCTGTTGTCTTCCTTGCTGTGTGAGGTCGGGCGTTATCTTGTTGGAAAATGACGTTCGCTTGTGGCATAATGGGAAGGACGTGTGGCCGGATATATTTCATGTAACGTTGTGCCGTTAAATTCCGAAGAACTTGCACCAAGTCTTTTCTACCAGTGTAGAAGATGGCTGCCCACATCATCACACTACCACCACCAAATCACTCAACATCCTGTATGCAGTTTCGTGCATAAAGTTCCCAGCGACGCCTGTAAAGACGACGTCTACCATCCGCACCGCGAAGCATAAAACGTGACTCGTCACTGAGCCAAACATGTCTCCATCGCAGTTGTGGCCATACTCTGTGTCACGGAGCTGAGCTCCAAGGATCAGGTGTTATTAAACAAGAATAAAGTAATAATGAAAACGTGGTAATAAGTTCACAGGTTTATTATGAATGAGTGAGTTGGGTTTAACGCCACTTTTAACAGTATTCCAGTTATATCACGGCGTGTCAGCTTAATGTGAGAGAAAAGCCCGAAGTGATGCAGGTCTCAGACGTTTACCACTTCGGTGAAACCCACGAGCGCGGGTATGGTGCTGACAAACCTAGAAACATAATCGGGGCGAACCGGGATTCGAACCCACAATCATAGGTTTCTGGCATGTCCATGGGACGCAACTCTGCACAGCGAATCGCGGAGCCTTAGACGACTGGGCCACCCGTGCCCCCGGTTTATTATGAACTGTTAATTATACCATAGATGACAATAAAGGGGATAAAAACAAAACAATATGCACTGTCAAAGATCACTGAGTAATTAAATCAGAACAAATACACAAGCGGCTTAGCTGAGTAACTGTATTACAGTAATAAAATGAGCATAGCTGAGACAACACTTTGACAAGATACCGACCAGATGCGTAGACATCCAAATATATCGGCTACGACCAATTAACACCTGAATTGATTAACTTAACACTCTAATGAGTGAATCACCTCGGCTGGGTTAAATAACGGGAAATAAACACAGAGGGCCCATTCCCAAAATACGTCACTAGGACGAGAAAATATACTAGAATGTCAGAACATCAAACTAGTCTAATTGACTAAACATTCGGTCACTTTGAATGAGCAAGGAAATACTAAAACTCCCAAGAAGCTAAACAAGCAGAGGACGGTTGATTATCCACGGATCACTTGAAAAACTGAGTATTGGAAACCCTAGTTACTAAGTTTAGCCCAGTACAACCCGAGTAAGTCAGAACTAGATCAAACGTGCCGCGTGCCACTTACTTAAGTTTCGCGTGACCACCCAGCAGCGGGACAATCGTAAATGATCGAACGAATCCTTGGGCTAAAGACACAGGATCCTGACAGAAGTATAGATATACTGCGCGCGGACCTCAGAGGGGCCAATCTCTTCTGGACATCCCGGAAAATCAATAGACTGAGGCGCTTAACCAATGTGTGTTTCTGAACATGTGGAAAACACGAAAAGCAAACTTACTTCTATATCTTTACGGAAGATGAAAGCATCAAAATAGAGCGCTGAACATATGCCATCCAGCAAACTATGAATTGAGGAGGCAAAAATGATCATAAATACATGAGAAATATCTGAGTGTACATGTAAATTCCCCTAAGGTTTGAAAACCATCGTTTACAAAAACATTTTCAATACACGAATAAGGTAGCGAACATATGTGATATAACAAACATCAAGTCAATACATAGTAAGAGTGTGTCATTAAATCACAAGAAAACAAAATACAAGGGTCATTAATTCTCCAACTTAGAGGGGCGGTCGGGGCTTCGATTCCCGACATGGGTACAATGTGTGAGGCCCATTTCTGGTGTCCCCCGCCGTGGTATTGCTGGAATATTGCTAAAAGCGACGTAAAACCATACTCACTCACTCACTCAGTCACTCCAACTTAGAATGAAATGACACTGTACAACGACAACCACTAGACTAAAGCGAGGGAGCGGAGGGGTCACTGGACCGTGACACGGGAATATTTACGACACGGTGACACTCTGTGACCTTGAAACCATTCACGTCGCAGCCGACAATGCAGGTCCGTCAAAATGACACCTCGAACTGGGCGTCTAGCGCGAATACCTTCAGCGCAGTAAACGGTTCCTAACTGTCTGGGAATAATAACCCAATCAATCCGCAATGGTATTGCCGAAGTTGTAGAGGTGACGGTGGTGGTCCTTTACGTATCTGACGTAGCCGTATGAATCTGTCCTGTGCTCTAGTAGTGACATGTGGTCGAACGGATCTGGGAAGGTCACGTTTTGTACCGTGTGTTTGATGACGGTTCCACATTATTGTAATGGTGCTTGGTGCTATGTGGAAAAAGCTGACTACAGCTGAAGATGATACTTCTGTTGCAGTGGGCCGATGGCGTTGTTGTGTTGGGCTTCCGTCAGTCGTGGCATGTTTTCACTGTTCACTTGCTGTAAGATTGTAATGGCATGCAAAGGAAAACCCAACGTTTTTATAGCGCTACAAGTGATGTTGCACGTGCATGTCATGTTGGTGTTTTTCGGCGCCAGACATCTTTTCACAAAATGTCTTTAGTACCTCATTCCTTCTACACACATCTAACTGTGTATTCAAGTCAATTACAATCCATGCAGAAATAACCAATTCGTTTTTGGCATTAATTTTGTAGCGATGTCGGCAACACTCTGTCAGAGATTTGCCATTTTACTACTTCTGCGTTTCATTATTTGCAGATTATACATGCGCTCGTATTCAGCTGGCAATTTGAAGAGCTTCTGTAATCATCTGAATAAAGGAACCACTGGACGGCTCGTTATTTGTACCAAACATTCCCATTTAAGACTATCACATCAAGCCCTTGTAGTGAGTGAGTTGGGGTGGACGCAACTTTTAAAAGTATTCAAGTTACATCATGGCGTAATAGTTCAATAGGCCGAAGTGATGCAGGCCTCTGTGGTGAAACAAGGGTATGGGAAACCTAGAAACATAATTGGG